TTGGACATTTAGGTAAACTCTTTCGCGCTTTGGGTGGAAAGCATAAACAAATTAGACTCCTCTTTGTGGAGAGAGCTGTGGAGTGCTGGTCATTGCTATTGGTTGCTAAAGGTAAATCAAAGTTTCCCATTTTTCTGGTGATGATTAATAACTGCTGCGAACCTCAGCCAGTTCAGCCTTCTCACTGACATTGTTAAAAGTAAACGTAACGAGCATTGAACTAAATAAAATGCATATTTAAGTTGTCATTAAATTCGAAATCATTGAAGCACGAATCGAAAGCAAACGGCGGCTGCATATTAACTAGAATATAGAACTTGGCAACATCACACAGAAATTGGCAAGTACTCGCATATGAAATCAAAGATAATGCATGTATATATATACCTGGTATATATGTATGTCGACACGATTGTGACGACAATAAAACAACAAGAACAACAGCAATGTTAATGGGAATTGTGGGAACGTGAAATGAGCCGCGTTGCCTCTTTTTTATGAGCACGAAACTTTCACGTGAGTGTGGAGTGAGTTGCAGTTCGTGATTAAGTGCAAATCAATCAGAGTGATACTATAAGTCCGAAAGAAATCGAAGCTTTTCTACATTACACACGAATTGCTGAAAATGTCACAAACTAGTGGCTCCCCTACCCAGCACACCCCGGCCTACGTACTATGCACACATAAATTCACATTTTTATGTGCATGAACAAAAGTGCTGAATGTGAAATATTTAAAACATTGCAATTCACAAAAGTTCAATGGCTGGCGAGCAAAATGCATTGGTCATACAGTAATTTGCAAAGAGCTGCTGAAACAACAATGCCACAACAGCAGCAGCATATATTTATAAAATAACTTTTAGACAGCGCTGTGTACCGGTTTTAATGGGATTTTTTTTGTGGATTGTGGTTTGACCAGCACTTTGGTCCACTTGCCGCTTTCTTCGTTGTCGTGACGTCGTGACTCATTGCTGCAGGAATGCCCTGTCGAGTCAGCAGATACGATAGGAATTCTTCGGCTTACGTCAGTTATCGATAACACTAAGCAGCAAAGCTTGAATTATGTATGTGCGCAGTATTGACATTGTCTCTATTCAAATTGGACGTTGACTCAAGCTCAAGACAAGCCGTTGACTGAGGTAAGCATAGACCGCCCACTGGCAATTACTTGATATCGAGGGCCGATCAAATAGTCAGTGATTATTGGAAATACTAAACTCGATTCAGTGGTGGAATGCCCAAATAACTGATCGGGATGGGGAATATATTATTGGAAATATTGACCCGACCAAGCTTGTAACTTAATAAATTATGCCTGAAATCATGATTGTTGATGTTATTGAGTGGAGTTAGTCGGAAATGAAATTATGAATTATACCATTAAATAGGATAAAACTTACTTAGCTTTATTCTAATTTAACAAAGAACTAATTAAATATTATTTCATTGATTCGCTATGCTTTCTAGCATTAACCCAGAACCCAGAAACTTTTCTATATTTTATTTTGTATTATTTGAAAAACCGTATAATTCTAATAAAATGATGAAAATAATAACTTCGTACACTATGCATCACATCATAACTTTATTCCTCTTGAGTTAGGGCCTTATACCTTAATTTTCAACACGATATTATCTTTTATTAAAATGCAGTTTTTACCTATTTTGCGACCCACAAGTGATTCAACTCCATAACATTCTCAATATGCAATTTGGTTCCCAGATCTTTAGAAATGAACAAGTTTTTAATACAAAATAGTTGTCTAAATAGTGATCTGACATACTTGGCCTCTCTATATTATCTGTATCGTTGCGTCGTGCACCTTCTTTCTTCTGGGTGTAACAAACTTGAACATTCCGGAGAATTCAAAATCTTATCGACCTGCCCTGGTTTATTGTTATTTCTATTTGTATCTCAGAGGTAACATTTTACAATTACACGTTTGGCGACACCCACACTGTTAATTTGTTGTCTATTTGCCTCACAATTTGGAGGCTTATCTGAATTATAAGCTAAACACACGCTCGCTTTTAATGATTATGCAAATTTTCAGAGACTCAGTCTATGAACGATGCTGTGGAAATGCGCTTGCGCGCTGACTTTCGTGGTGCGCTCATTAAATGAAAATGGAAAGTGGTTTCATCTTTGGCAGGTACAAACATAATTTGTGGAAATTTACACATTACTTTGTTATAATTTAGTTGCGGTAATAACTGTATTATTTCGCTCGCTATCAAGTCTTGACCGTTGAAAGCAATAACCTGAAACGGAAGCTTGGCAATATCTCTATTGCAGAATTATGTATTCACATATGATGGCATTAACAAACGAAAAAGTTATGCGTTTTTAATGAGACAGGAAGAAAATGTTTTGCTTAAATGTGAAACTGTAGGCTTTTAAATGTCACGAACTTGTTTATACAGCTTTAATTATTGCCCAACATGCTGAGTAAACATCTAGCATTTGACATACATCTGTACTATATATGTACAATATATAGTATACAGATATTATGTATATCCACTGGACAAATATAGATACGGCAATACTTTAAATAGAATGCTTTATATATTCATTGAACTAAGTTCATCGTTTTAAATGCCCTTACCTTGGAAAGTTTCGTGCGATTTGAACGATTTTTTTAAATGTTATATATACATGAATAACCTTTATTTCGATTTGTAATATGAAATTCCGCTAACCAATTACTATTACTCAATGTCGGTTTAATTAAACTCATTAACTGATCAATACGGGCACCATACATCCACACTAAATGGCAAATGCTGGCAATAAAACAAATGAAACTAAATATGGCTAAAAAGCACTACAAGTGCTAAACAAATCTTAAACTGGATTATTGAAACCGAAGGTAAGATAGCCAATTGATTCATTTAATTTTAAAATAATCTATTCTAATTAAAGGTGTAGCTTCTTATTATGTAGCGGAGGAGGGGGACTTCCAAATCACTTCCTTCGAGTTTCTTAAGGTACGATTTTATCTAGGTTCATAGGTTACACATTTATAAGCTTGTCTTTGATAATTATTGCGAATATGTTTCTCAGGCATTCTAAATCGACTATTCGATGCAGCATAAGGTTAAAGAAAATGTTTGAATACATATTTAAAATTAATAAATATTTAAGCTTCAAATCTCATGTAGCATTTATACGCATGTTATTGAGTTTATTGTAAACAAAACATTAAAACTGTATCTGTCCTCTGCTCAAGGCTTTTAATTGCCACTCGATGTTTAAGCCAATTATGACAGATGCAAGTATTTATTTGAAATTTTACGACAAACACATCGTTTGATCATTGACTTCATAAGTGTGTGTGCTCCAAGGATGTGACTAGACTAGTTAAAAAAAAAAACTCACTCGTAGAACAAATACTTAAAACATTTTAAAGTTAACAACAACTTTTGCTATCTCTACACTAGAATATTATAAAATTCAGAGCAATAATAAAAGTAAATATTTGTCAACATACGTAGGAGTACTCGGGCATCAAGGACTTAAATAAATCAAGTGGCCAAAACAAATAAAGTGGAACGACAATAAAAGCACCGTTTGTTTTTGATAAAAACTCTTCCGCTTACTTTTTTAAGTTTTATTTTATTTCAAGGCAATCATTTAACGTAAACTTTCAGCAAGCGGGCCAACCTTTATTTGTTTTTACAGCTTTCTAGCCACGAATGCTCCGCTACGCCAAGCCATATAGCCAGGGTGTGTGCTTCCCCTCTCCACCCTTCGCACTTCACAAACAGTAACAACAACAAAAACAACGGACTAGCCAAAAGAAAACAAATAAGGCAATAAGATCGTTGCTCAACACGCAAGCAAGCCACGACATGTGGAGTGATAAGTGCTAGATTTGAGGCAGAAGAAGAGAAAAGCAATCTACAGTGCGAATACAGTTTGCATGAATCACAACAGTTTCCACTGTCAGACGATACTCGGCCGCCTCGCTCTCCCCTACCCGCCAGCCTCTGAAGAATCAAGTAGCTAAGTAAATAACCAGATATACTTGTATATATTCATGCCCTTTCCACAAGCTCGCCTTTAATCAAGTACATACTATAAGTATCTTTTCTCAGTTGAGTCTACCAAGAATTGTTTTCATGAGTACGATATTGCATTTATGAGAATCACACCAATATAATAGCTATAGAAGCTGCAAGTCTTATCAACCTTTCGATATCAGTGTTATTTACGACGAACACATTGGCTGGTGCCGTCTTTTGTTTGTTTTTTTTTTTTTTTGCCCCTTTTAGATTATTCATACATACTATGTAAAGTATTTAATCTTCATTGGTCGGTTAATTACTTCAGGTTCACTCTTTATCCACTCTCTATTTTTACTCATATATTGTTAAAATAATGCAAATTTACACATTTTAAATTTGTCAGAACTGAAAACATGACTTAAAACTCGGAACCATCAGCTATTGCACATTCCTCCTGACGAACAAAATCTTAATACTTCAACTCAAATCCTAATCGTAGCTTTAGTGACTAAAATAGTTCGTCGTGGCACTTGCTGTATTTTTCTCAAAAGGGATAAATGCTTACAGAACTGAATTCAAGAATTGTTTCAAACATAGCTGAGGCTTTCTCAGCCATCAATAGTGTATTGAAAGTTCGAGTAGAATCTATTTAAAGTAGGTCAGTAAAATCGCTGTATCTGAACTAATATGATTGAAATAGAGAAATTTTTATAATTCGATGGCTGAGATGTTGAAAACCAAAGAGTCAAATTTTCCGGCGTTTTTCTCAGTCGACCAAGTTCAAAGCTAATTGGAATTAAGAACTTTAAGACAAAAAGCCCTCTGTCTTTCCTGAGATTCACAAATGAGTAAATTCAAAGCATTTAACAATTCTTGTTGTTTGTTTTGTGATTTTGTCAACTCAATGAACTATTCCGCATCCCAATTGGTTTCATATTTAAGATAAATCTTATACTATGGGTGTTATGGAAATGTTTATGAACTTACATTTTGTAGCTGCTTTCTTAACGTGCTTTTAGAAATGTGTAATCCAATGCAAATGTATGAATAGGAGATTTAAACTAATTTACAACCTTAAATGCTTTATTTATTAATGTCCACTATTTGGTTATGCAACACAATATTGAACAATGCCACACACACTATAATTTTATTAGATTTAATTTTTTTTGTTGTGAAGAGACACTTCTCATACACAAATCAGCGCATTCAAATTTAAATTATTTATGCTCCGATTTGTATTCACTTTCCCAGGCCGGCATATTAGCCGCGCTGGCGCATGGCAACAAGTGGCACTTGCCACATTTTGTGGCAGCACTTTTACTTTTTGTAACGCATTCGTTTCGAGTACTCGTCGCGTATTAATTGCTAACACGCCCGATCAATCACAGCGGGGAATTAAAAACAACCGCGACGAATGTTGCACAACCCGCCGTTACAATTGGACTCCGATAAGGCAACGAAACAATGGAGCATTTGCTCGAAGCTGCAACTGAAACTGAAACTGGCGCAGGCACTGGCACTGGCACTGGAGAGCCGGCGCGAATCGGGCGCTAGCTTAATGCTTTTTCTTACGAACGCGTTCGCGAGCACGGCAAGACTGAAAAAAATAAAAACAGCACGGAGTGAGTAAAGATCGTTGAAACAAACACAACGACAAAAGCAATAACAACAACAGCAGCAGCAACGATGACGACGATATCGATAGATTTGCCGCCGGCACGAACGAAGCTTTTTTAACCGAGGTCATAGCGCACGAAGTCGCCATAAGAGGAGCAGCGCTCACTTGCCAGAGGGAGGATGATTGACTCTTTTCTAACCACTGCTGCTGCTGTAAACGTCATTAAGCCAATTAGCATCTTTCACAGCAGTTGAAGCCTCTCCTCTGTTTTTTCTCATTCTTTTTTGGCCAGCAGCATTCTTCTTCTGACGCAGGGCCGCGCGCCTCGTTTACCGTTATTGTGTAAACTGTGCTCGATTCGGCGCGAGACAGTCGCCAAAAGTTGTGCCATAAAAAAGCGGCAAAAGCAAAACAAGTGGAAATAATAAGATAGAATGAAACGTGTAAGCAAGTACGACTTTCAAAAACCCTTTACTATAGCTTAGAAGGGAAAATTATTTATACAAATATGTATAAAAATTAGTAAAAGTTTTCAAATTAAAATTAGGTACTCTTACTTACTATTTTTTACTCTATCAATATTTTGAAACAGAACAGAAAATCCCCATACCCTAAGCCTTATATAATTTGATAAAGGTGTCCTATGAAAAATGTTAGTTTCTCCATACGTTCTTTACAATATAACTTATGTAATGTAACTGGTTTTAAACCGATAAATTCCATGGTGGTATACTTTATATAACTTGTAGCCTGCGAAATAAAAGCATTTACAAGTAGAAAAACTTGCTGGTTTTTCTTCATGGAATCGATTATACATGCTCTGCGAAAGGTTAATATGTGGCTCATTTCAATAATCGGCATAATAACCCTATACGAGAACACTTGGTAGAATTCATTATATTTTAAAATTGGTAAAAGTGTCCTATGAAAATTAATGCTAATATGTACATGGCTAGATAACCATTGTATTATCCAAAACATGTTCTACATTGATCAATTTCCATTTGTGTGCATGATCAAAAATTTCTCTATGTGCAGAGTACAGCAATAATAGCAAAGTCCACATTATTAAAGAATTCGAAACACGTTATGGCTGATATCGCTATCTGGTAGTTTTTCGTCGTATTAGCTTTTTTTCTTATTGCCTACAGCGTTCGCAGTGCAAACAAGATACGCGCATTAGAAAGTAAAGTAAATCGCTAGTGGCATTGGACTCGGCACCACTTCCATAGATGTTCAATGAGTTTGGCTTTGGTGCCCACCTGCGTATGTGTGTGTATCTATGTGAGTGTGTGTGTGTGTGTGTGTGTGTGTGGAAATTGACCAAAAGTGAGCGTTTTATTTGCCCAATTTGTGCTGCTCAAGCTGTCAGACAGGAAGAGTGCCGCAGTCCATAGAGCATGTGAAAGTGTATCTATTGGAGAAGAGTATGAAGAATACAGAATGCAGTGAAAACTGGAAAAACTGACTTCCTGTTGAAAATTGCAAGTCTGGCGAATGATTGCCACAAGAAGTGGCGAACGCCTTGCTGGCCATGATTGACGGTCAAATGGACGTGCTGTTGTTGCCCAAATATAGAAACCATACTAACTGACCCACTGCGAAACTTGTTTTGAGCTTTTGGTGCGACAGACGCGAAAAGATACTTGATTGAATTAGGAAGCTAGCAACATAGAATTTCTATTTTACATGTGATTGCAACCATTTTGGGGAGGCTTTCAAAAAATCGGAGACTTACAGACTGTTCTAAAATAATAATAATCTTTTGTTTACGAAATGAGTTTCTTAATAAAAATGGATGCGTAGACAATGTGACCTTTGAATAACCTTTGATGGTCACATTCTGATTATTCCAGTTCATTTATATGCACGTGCGAAATACTCATGTTGCAACCGTGATAAGAAGAGCAGAGAAGGCAAGCCGTTGTGGAGCATATGCTTTATTTTGAAATCCAATCCATTCAGTCAATTACGATGACTATTAATGGCGCGGGCAGTGAATTTGGAGGTGTAAACTATTATTATAAATAAACATTTGCAAATTGCTTTCAATAACTAATGCGTACTTTTAACAGTTAAAGTAAAAATTGAAAATAAACAAAAATTTCCATGGAGTTTTTGAAACCAAACTTAATTATTACGACTGATCGCTAAAGAATGCATTTAATTTATATTATTACGACTGATCGCTAAAGAATGCATTTAATTTATATGCATTTATTCTTCTATTATATACCACTAATATAAAATAGTCGGTACTGATGAAATAGAACAACTCATAGTTGGAGGAAATTCAACTCAGCAGCGGAGAAAAGAAAGAGCGCATATTTTTGGAATGCATTGAAAAAAGTGAAATGCAGCGTATTTTAAAATGTTTGCTAATATACCAAAATATCTAGTAATTGTAAGATGGAATAATATTTTTATATAATAGACAGTTTACTTGAGTTCGGGAAAACACGTCACATCAAGAAACTACTTAATAAAGAATTATTTTAATGAAATTCTGCCGTTAGACCAATCACTAAAGATGTATGTATAAAAGAGAGCATACTTTTAGGATTAACCTGTAAAACGAAAGAAACTTTAGCTGAAAATATATGATGTTCTAAATATGTAAATGAAATGAATATACCATTCCAATTGCTGTACATAATTAATTATATATTTTATTCAAGTTCATGCTCTTTACACACTCATTTTGTTTTCCATTTGCATTTTTGGCTTGCCTTCAGTTTATTTTTGTTTGCAATCGTGCTGCTTACGCTAAGTTTTAGTAAAGTTGTTCTTGTTGGTGCAAAGTTGCGTCCATTATGATTGGAACTATAATTAGTGTGTCGAGTAAATGTTAAGATACACATACTCTCTCTCCATCATACTCGTATAATATTTTACTCTTAGATTCTTGTAAAATCGTTTTTAATTTTAATTTTTCGAAAAATGTTTCAAACTTTTCAGTTTGCATTTTATCACTCTAAGTTCAATATCATATATTGGTGCAAGAAAGGGTGCTTGTTTTTTTTTCTTTTTTTTTTTTTGTAAGATAGTTTTACATATTTTTTAAATGTATATTTTAAAACGAGTGTTGCAATATGTGCATATGCCGCCTAGTGTAACACGTTCTCTTAGAGGCACAACAAGTATTATTTTCCCCCGTAATTATTTAAAAAACAAAACAGGCATAGAGCGACAAATAATTCAGTTAACAATATCGGAGACGCATGACAAAATTGTTTCAAAAATTGTTCTCTTTATATACGTTCAATTAAAGTCTAAGTACATAATTGTAAAATGTTCACACTTTATAGCAAAAATTGTGACTGTAAAAATACTTAGAGCATTCCATTTGATTTGTTGATATTACCGCCGAGTTTAATAAAAGAAATAGTTTATGTGAAAATTTACGCAGACACACACTTGCAGTTTCTCATAAACTTCATCCCTGATAAGGTTTCTCTATGCTCGTATCGCGAAACTAAAGCATTGATTAATATATAGTATATGTATGTATATTTGCTTTTATTTAAACAAAAATGTATTAACTTAAGCAAACAAAAACACAAAATATTTTCGCGCGCTGCAGTCCTTGCTGCTTGTAGCTTTCTTTAAGTTGAGATAGGATAGTATAATTTATATATAATACAGTAAAATAAATATTAAAAATAAAAATTAAATAAAATTTGAGAAGAGTGGTTTTATTAATTTGAAAATGATTTTGCGGTTCTTCAGTTCCGCCAGCTAAATATATATATATTTTTTGTTAGGCTTCTCTTGTTCATTTACTAGAATTTAATCTTTTTTGCATTAAAGAATTCTGCTTGTGAGTTATTTTTGCATTTCAAAATGTTATATGCCTACACATGAAACATTTCATGTTCTTGTTTTGTTGATTTTGCGGTTTTGTTTCTTTTTTGTTTGTTTGTAATTTCACTAAACTAATATTTAACATTTCATTACTTTCACACAATTCACTTAACAATTTCGTCAGAATAAACAAACGTATCAAAGAGTCTGCATACGCTTCATTACAAAATATAATCGTAAATAATATTCATTCAACATCGCCCCTTTCCTCTCCTCCATCAACATCAAATATGCTTTGTAGGTAGGTCCTTCAGAAGTTCCACCTTAGGTCGAAATCGCATCGTTAAGCAGCGAGTTCAGCTCCCGTATATGTTGCGCCTTCGAACCAGTCGCCGTCGAGGCTCCAGTGGGACGTCCAACATAGCTGAGGGGGGCAAGGAACACAAATCAGTTTCAATTGTCTTGATCGATGATCAGATCAGATCGGTAAGTACACATAACATTGGCTTTTTGTACGAGTACGAGTATTTCTCACTTTAGTTAGACAACGTGCACTAAGTTGTTATGCCGAAAGTTTTCTAATCAGCACTTAATATAAATATGAATATACTTATGCATATATATTTATCTTTTTTGTTTTTAGTTCACTGATGAAATTGACGTTCAATGAAATGCATCTTGTTTAGTAAAGCGTCGAGAGAAAAAGCAAACTGGTAAGTATTTGTTTAAGTGGTAAGATGTTTTAATTAAATGAAAGTTAACACAAATATTGCGCAGCGCAAAATAAAACGAAAAAGTAATTCTAAATTCTATAAATGCGTTCGGACAAACCCTTAAAGTTATGGTGTTGTAATAATATACGAATCTTTAGAGATTTTTATTGTAGGGAAAACTGAAAACTGAACCAAATTCTACCAAATCTTTCAGGATTTTTCAAACGCATGTCAACTATATGATGTTGTAGATCTGCAAAACAGGAGAAATGATGTAGGCCCGAAGACAAACCCACATAATATACATTCAAAAGTAGTTCCTTATGTCTGGCTTTACAGCTAAAATGTATGAATCGAATTATACTTATTAAAAATAGTTTAGGAAAAAGTAGTATCCCAAAATCTTTTATATTAATTTATTTAGTTTAAGATGTATATTCGTTTAATTTATCGAAATCATTATTATCCTTTTACTGTATTTGAGAAAATCTTAAATGCTTTGCTGTCTTTATAGATAGGGAAAATATGGCATAGAAATGGGACCATTGGCTATTTACAATGGGAACATATCGAAATTGGAAACACTTTTAAAAAGTTACTTATTGTTATTAATTTATTATGCCTTGAACATTATGGCATAGTTTGTCAACAAAGCAGGCACTCTTGTGCGACTAATAATCTCATCGAATAAGCTAATTTATTGAAATAACGGTAACGTCACACTTCTGGATTGTCATATCCATATACTCTATCCCCAGCATTAAAAAGTCTTTTAGCATAGTTTGCAGCCCTTTTTAGGATTAACCGTTTCGACGAAATGGGTTCAATGAGTGATGGATGGGTGCAGTGAGACCGGGCTATCTAGGCAGAATAATTCAGTTTAGCTTTGTGTACTCATGTAGGTCTTTTTTTTTTGTGTATTGTGTCTTTGAACACAAATTGGACAAAAGTACAAGGCAGAAACGTTCCACTGATTTGGTCAGACACATAATCGTAGTATGTATATGTTCTGGAGATATCTTTGGGATTTTTAACAGCCAAACATACAAAAAAAAAGATCAAACGAAAACTCAACACAAATGCGCGTGCTCCAAACAAAATCATTGAACAAAGAGAGGTGCGGTTACATAGAGATTGAAGTAGAGTGTGCTTTATAGTAGGTAGTACAAGGTCTATGTGGTAGTAAGTTAATGTTTTTTTAAGTAGATGTACGTAGACGCAAACATTGAACATTCATACCAACGATATGCGCTTGAATGTTTGCAAAATCAAAACTTATAATTATGCACAGAAATTAGAAAGAAATGGGTAGAAAATCATAGGAAGTACCCCCCCAACGGAGAGAGATACAAATTAAAGGTTAGACGAATGTAAAAGATTAATTTCGAGAAATATTTGGTTGTGGTCGAATTATTGGAATAGTTGTTAATATTAATTGCAGATAGATAGTAAGTAAATAGTAGTTGGAGATAGTTAATATATATAGAGAGAGACACAGAGAGAGAGAGAGTTCAATTGACGCGCATCGCTTATATCTTGGTATTTGGCCCTCTCACCTAATTTTACGTCCGGTTTTTGTCTTTCGCGCACCCGGGGCAGCCGCATTGCCCGCGGGTCTATTGAAATCTTGACGCACATTCTTTAAATCGAAGTGCTTGGCGGCATTGAATTCGCCAGTCAGAGCGCTTTTTTCATCGCTGCCTTGGGGCTCACTTTTATTTGAGGTGAACATGCGACTTAGCCAGGGTTTCGATTTGTTTTCGGAATCGGAATCAGTATCGGATTCGTTGTTAGTATTATCAGTGGTAGTAGTATTGGTTGTTGTTGTATTGGAGAAGGAGGATTGTTCATCGCTTTGGCTGTAACAATAACACATACACAGAGAGAGAAAGAGAGAGAGAGAAAGGATATGTTTTTCGTTGGTTGTGTTTACATTTTTTCTTTTTTCAGGTAAATTTTGATATTAGGATTTGCGTAAATTTTGTTGTTTGCCGATTGTTTATACAAATTTTTGAACAGTGAACAAATTATATGTATAATTGTACACAAATAGGATAGAGGAGGATAAGGAATTTAAGTAACAAAAACAACAATTGTTTTGGTTTTTCTCTGGGAACTTTAAAAACTTACACAAATTAACTCTTCATTAGTAAAAGAAAAAAACTCAATCATAAGTTCAAAAATATTTGTTCATAAAACTCAACTCAAATGATAAGAAAAAAGCCATGCAAGTAAAAATGGACGGTGTTTGGTGGACGGTGTGGCGATCGGTCAGATGAGGCATGAAGCCAATTTGCAGATGGAATCGATGCAAATAATTGCGCGAGAATTTCGTTTGATTTCGATTTTCAATATGTGGATAATGTTTCAATGGGTATATATTGTGGATTCTCAATCCTTCGGGAGGACAACATGCGTATTGAAGAAATGTATAATTTGTTTTGTCTGTACGTGTGCGTGTAGAGTGTTGTGATGGACTAACGATATTCACTATTAACTACTGAACGGGACCTCACAAGGGCGGAGAGGCTCAACTATACAATATTTCTACAAATTTGGCTGCTAGGTAGGTGAATTAAAGAATAAAGGAGCGCATACAAAATAATATTAGTAACAAAGAGCTGTAAAGAGTTAGCAAGATAAATGATGAGTGTGCGGAGAGATGAAAAGTGAAGAGTGCAAAAGTTAAATCAAATGAATTGTTAATGCAAAAATAGTCGAATACGAAAAGTTCAATAAAAACTCCAAATAAAGTGGATAGAGAGTGCCACAACGCACAGTGAAAGAGAGAAAGAGAGAGAGAGAAAGAGAGAGGAACCTTTAAGAGTGCGCTTAGTGCAGCAAAGAAAACGAGAAAAAGTGAAGAACTAGAAGAACCAATACAACAAACGGAGCCGCTCCGTAGAGCAGCCGGTAATAATTTTCTCAGATACGTGAGAAACAGAGATAGCGCGGCTAAAAGTGCGGCATTTGGTGGTGTAGAGTGTGTGTGTGTGTGTTCATCTGAGTATTCATCTTAAAAGCTAGGCTCCTACCTGACATCCCGACTGTGATTCAGAGCGGTGAGGAAACGTGGCTGCACATACGTCCAGCTGCCCTGATTCTTGTGTTCCTCCTGGGCCCAAACGAGCTCAGCATTCTTGTACAGATTGGCCTGCTCCTTGACCAGATCGAAGGGGAAGGGCGAGATCTAACACAGTCAAACAAAAATATAAATTAAATGCCCCAGGCTCGCCAAACTTGCACTCTCGGCTTACCTGCTCCACACGCACGATGGCAATTTCGCTCTCCAGTTTCTTGTCAGCTCGAGCCTTGGTCAGATCGTAGTACACACGACCCGAGCAAAATACGACCTTCTTTACGTTGCTGGCATTCTCCCCAGCCGGTCCATTGTCAGGTATGATGCGCTGGAACTCGCTGCCCTCGCTCATCTCACTGAACGGGCTCTTGGCCTCGGGGTGACGCAGCAGAGATTTGGGCGTGCAGAGAATCAGAGGCTTGCGGAAGGGCATAGCAATCTGGCGACGCATAATGTGGAAATAGTTAGCGGGTGTCGTGCAGTTGGCTACAATCCAGTTGATGTCGTGCAATTGTCTGATGGAGAACTCATCCGATTCGGGTGGGAAATAGTCGGGATCGTCAGAAGACATTTGCAAGAAACGCTCCAATCGGCACGACGAATGTTCGGGACCCATGCCCTCCATGCCATGGGGCAGCAACATGACCAAACCAGACTGGCGCACCCATTTCGACTGACCGCTCGAAATAAACTGATCGATGATCGATTGTGCCGTGTTGCTAAAATCACCAAACTGCGCCTCCCACAGAACCAAAGCATTGGGATTGGTCATCGAGTAGCCGTGCTCGAAGCCCAACACAGCGTATTCGGACAAGGAGCTGTTCGATACGGAGTAGGGAGCCTGATCAGGATACATATGCTGCAGCGAGTTATAGGTGGCCTTGTCGACCAGCTGATGATGCAGCACGTGATGACGATGCGAGAAAGTGCCGCGCTCCACATCCTGACCGGAGAGACGCACGTGAATGCCCTCCTTGAGCAGGGAGCCAAAAGCCATGGCCTCACCCAGCGCCCAATCGGCAATCTTTTCATCAACCATGGTTTTGCGAGCAGCCAAGACGCGCATCAGACCCCTGAAGAAAAAAAGAAATGATGGACATGATTAAATCGATACAATTGTTAGATATTTAAGTGAAAATGGATAAGCAATTCGAAAAACTCACTTGTGAATGACAAATTCTGCGGCATTGGGTGGCGGCGACGAGAAGCGATTACCAATGTGGACCAAAGTCTCCTCCTTGACGCCCGTGGGAGCCACCTTCAATGGGTCCTTGCCCTCGAAGAAGCCAGACCAAGGAGAATCGAGCCAATCCTTGTACTTGACATGTGTTTCGGTCTTGGCCAGAGCAAAGGCTTCCTCGCAAATACTTTCGTATTTGGCAGCCACTGACTTGACCTCCTCAGCGGTAACGGTGCCCTCAGCAATTAGCTTGTCAGCATACAGTTCCAAGCCGGTCTTATGCTTTCGGATCTTCTGGTACATAAGGGGCTGTGTAAACATTGGCTCATCGATCTCGTTGTGTCCGTTGCGGCGATAGCCCACCAAATCAATAACCACATCCTTGTGGAAGGTGGCGCGCCATTCAGCAGCGACCTTGCACACATGGATGACCGCCTCGGGATCATCAGCGTTCACATGGAAGATGGGCGCATTGACGACACGTGCCACATCCGTGCAGTAGGGCGAGGAGCGCGAGAAACGTGGATCGGTGGTGAAACCAATTTGATTGTTGGCCACCACATGAACCGTACCGTGAGTGGTGTAGTCAGGCAGATCCGACAAGTGCATAGTCTCGTAAACGACGCCCTGACCGCAGAAGGCGGCATCACCATGAATGAGTATGGACATAACCTTCTTGCCCTCTTGATCGCCGCGATAGAACTGCTCGGCGCGTGTCTTGCCCTGGACGACGGGATCGACAGCCTCCAAATGCGAAGGATTAGCCACGACAGCCAGTCGAATATTCTTGTTTGTCACACGATTCAAACGCTCGATATATGTGCCCAAATGGTACTTGACATCGCCGGAGCCCTGATCAGAAAATTACCACAAATTAATAAGCCAATATATTTGGATTTAAGTGCGCAATTGACTTACATCATCGGCCGCCTCCAAGCCGGCGAACTGCGTGAATATTTGATTCAATGGTTTACGACACACGTTCGCCAAAGTGTTGAGGCGACCACGATGAGGCATGCCCATGATAACGGACTCCACGCCCAACTCCGTGGACACATCAATGATTTCCTTCAGCGCTGGAATCATAATCTCGCAACCCTCCAGACCGAAACGCTTCTCGGATGAATATTTCTTGGCCAGGAAAGCCTCGAAGCCGGTAGCACGTGTCAGACGGGCCAGAATCAAGCGTTTCTCCTCGGGCGTGAAACTCAAAACGCCGGGCGTTTCGAAGCGCTTTCTAATCCAATTGCACTGCTCCAGTGAATTAATAAACATGAACTCAACGCCGATTTTGTTGCAATACACATTCTCCAAGCGATTCAAAATTTCCCTGAGAACGAAATTATGATTAATATTCATTTATTGTAATATTACAATTGCTTCCGCACTCACCTGAGAGGCAGAGAGGCCTCATCGCCACCAATGAATGTGGTGCTGGGCAATTTGAATTGCCTTTCCATGTCCTGTTCGCCTGTTGTTTTTTTTTCAGTTTTAATTGGTGGGTTTACAAAGGAGAAAATGTGATATTAGTTACCATTGCTTAGCCTTCTTTAAAATTGGTGGGTTGGTTAATTGTTTTGGTGTCTTATGTTTGAAATTCGGAGTGTATCGCTTGTTGCTTCTATGTATATAAGTATTTTGTTGATAGTACACATGTACATGCTTGCTTTCACATATAAATATGTATAAAAATACATACATATATTTATGTAGTATTTACATATATGTACGTAGATATTAAATGGAATTTTGTCTTTTTTACATATCGAATTTTGAAATCATTCGTGCATGCAAATTTCAAAAAAATAATAATTTCAGTCTGTAATTCATTTGTGCATTTACAATACATTGATGGGCGTTTTTATTTGTTTCATTTTGCCAATTAGAATGTAATCCCTTCGATTTAGTTATCTATTAAATCGCTTTTTGTATTTACCCGATTCAATAATAAACGAAAATTGCTTTACAATATCAAGTGCCGACTTGCATGCAAGCTACTAATGATACGTATAAGACACAGCAAATAATAATAGCAATAATAATTAACAAAAAAGTTCAATTCCCATGACAATAAGATTAGAGGACACACATATTTATATATCCACAATTGCTATTTACAAAAACAATTATACAAGAATTTACAACACGAACTAGGAGATATTTACTTGTGTCTTTTTATCGAGGTGTGTACTTTTGAGTGTGTTTTGTCGGTGGAGTGCGGTGAAGGGTACAAAAATATCACTACCACAACGTAAATTAACAAACGGAAGCTAAGAACTAAAAATACAAATGTTTGGGGGGGAAATCACGTTTCCATCTAACTTACTTACCAAAACTGAAATTAGCGTAAATGGATTTCGTCGAGGAGTTGCCAGGCAATTCTGGTGTATTAATTTCGAGTGGGTCGAGGTGAGCAACATTATGTCCTCGAATCTAACGTGTGTCAGTTGTGGTTTGGTGGTGGTAGTATTATATATATATATATATAGTATTAACAATACGAAATTCGCATGATTTGTTTTGTTTTTGGTTTCGCATCATTTTTTCACATTACACATAATACAAGAGAGAGAGAGAATTTTGAATTTTGTCGTTTTGTAGATGATTTTTTTAATTTTGAAAATTTGTTGTTTTCATTTCATTTTTTTTTTTTTTTTTTTTTTTTTTTTTTTTTGATTGCAGAGTTTGGGGTTAGGAAGCAGAGTAATATATATAAAAATAAACGAAAAAGAAAATATATAATATATATGTAGAATAAAGCAACAGAATATATATAGAGTATATCAAATAAATACACGTACAAGTATATCATTAAAACATGAATATAAAATTAAACAGTTAAAGCTGCATTTGAGAGTCAAACATAATGGGGAACATAATGAATTGTTTTTAATTGTCAGTATGGTGGATCGGTTTTGTTGTTGTTGTTGTTGTTGTTCTGTTTCACAATTTAGAGTGTTAAACAATAGTAATACCAATTTTTCATTACCAATATCATTGCTTGGTTGGTGTTGGGATTTAGAAAAAAGTCGTGTGTACAAAGAAACATGGAAAAAGTGTGCCGAAAAACAACGTGTACAAAATTAAGATACATTCTTGGTTAGCTGCTAGATACAAGCTCAACACCACTAAGGAGTAGAAAAGGTTACAGTATACAAAACAGTCTGCTTATAGGTGTATATTTGTAAATCCAACTAAATAGTGCGTTTGTTTTCAGTTTTCAGTTTTTATTTTTCTTTTCAATTTATATTTCGCTAACTTATGCTAGAAACATACTAGAAAACCTGACTGGGGCAAAATGTCATAGATTTATGCCTCATCAACTCCGAATTTCATTTGAATATGATAAATAATTTTGAAGCGGTTTGATATTTGTATTTATGATCGAAAATTAGGATGGTTTGTATTGGTATGGGCGGGTGTGGTGCGGTGCGGTGCAACAAAGAGGAGGTGGAGGTGGAGTTGGGGTGGTGGTGGTGCGACTATAATGATAAATGCGAGTTTTGAAAACAATTTACCAAACAAAAACCCAGAATGCTGCCTGAGCACGTCTTCGTTAGCCCGACGTGCAAGACCATCCTTGCAAACGGTTTTTTCGCGTGTTAAAATTCCAAGCGGATCCAGATCAGATGCCAAATGACCACGGGACTGAATATGGTATATACATACATACATATACATATATATAGATTTATTATATGTGTAAAAGGTTGATTTGATTTGGTTTGTAGGTTGGTTTTGGTTTGGATTGGTTGATTGGTTCGTTTTTTCAGCATAACAAGGTTAAAAATGTAAAGGCATAGAATAAAACGATGTTGTTGTGTATATAATATATAATACATATATATAAGTACATATGAAACCAAGTGGAGCAGCAAACAGGTTTACGAGCCGTCAATAGTTTAAATTTTAATGCAACCAATAAGACTGAAAAAGTGCAGGTAGCAGTGCCCTTCTAAAAGATTCCATGAAATAGAGATAGAAAAGAAAATATCTAGAATCTACTTAAGTGCCTTACCAAATTAGTGACATCTATACTACTATGTTAAACTTCACAAACAAAGTGAACAAATCTTTGTAAATCTAATCGAATTTCCACCACTTGTTAAATTTTCTAAATACAAATTTGAGAAGATGACGAATCTAACAGCAACTTGGAGTAAGTCTCAGAATGAAATATCTTAAGTCACATTCTCTATTCGTTACAGGGGAACCGAAACGATATACTTAGAGCATATGCTGGGTGCAACTAGATATAGAAAACGAAAATGAATTATAAAATTAAAATTTTTGATATTTAAGTAATTTCGTGGATTCCATCTGAGGACGATTTGTAAACTCAATTAAAACAGACTATTCACATACGAGAAATAATAAAATAAGTTCTTATTAATCCCATTTCCATATCTTTCTTTCAATATTTAAACGAAGTACTTTCCGGATACTTTAAATGCTGCTCTTACCTATTCTTGGATGTAAATGGTTGGCTATATCGATTGTGAAATAAGAATTATAGTTGTTTGATATTTTGATTCAAGGATAAATTATTAAACCAATATTTATTTAAACATACTCGACAGCCGACGGCACATTAAAACTTTAAAGCAGCAATTAAAGAATGATTTTTGCTTTGTTTTGTGTTTCTAAAAAAAGACATGTCATACAAATGCAAATAATATGTTTTAGAAATGATTGGTGATTTCAACAGTGGATTGTTTCTATACTTATATCTCAAAATTATGATCGCAAATTATAAATCCAATTGATTCACATATAAATGTGTTGAATGGAATAAGAGGTGCGCTATTTCTGAGACTAGAAAAACAAATAAATCAAAATTAGGAACTTAAAAAAACAAAAACACAGTGACTACGGGAAACTATGCGCCCTACTTGCAAGAAAACTGAAAAGCATGTTACACATACGAATAATAATAATAATATAGGGTTGCGGGTAAGTAAAATAAAAACCTAAACAATAATATTACATGGCTGAGTGTGAGATTTGTGGGAACAAATGGATGAACTACTTCTCACTACAAACACAAGGAGTACTATGTAAATAGTTGTATGTGATTTACTGATTTTTCGGTTTACATATGTATGTACAAGATGAAACACAAAGGAGGGTGAAGGCGAGCAGCTCTAAGATTCATAAACATAAACAATATAAACCAAAATCTAAATGGAAAACAACAGAAACAGAACCATAGAGAGAAGTAGAGAGAGGCGGGGGTTGTATAGAGAGCAGCGTCAATAAATTTTTATTTGCTGTTCTGAATAACCCAACGACTGCTCCGACGAATGCTGCTAACCAAACGCAGCAATCAACTGTTTACTATGTGGTATGTCAGCTCATAGACGGGCACAAACGAACACACATACCTGATAGCTACGGATGATGGCCTGGACAGCCAAGTGATCGTCGATGGTCTTCGAGTCGGGCGCTGCCCCAGCCACGGCGCCGAAATTGAAGGCGGACAATGGCAGGGTATTAGGCTGCACGGGCGCCAAGTTGGGAGGACTCACATAGTTATTACTGCGGAAATAGGCATCCCAGGACTGCAAATATTCATACAAATAAGCAAAGAAGCACAACTTATCGATCTATAATAACTTACAGTGTGCACCGAGGTGGGATCGCGCAACCAGGCGTTGTACATCTCCTCCACATAGGACGCAGTGCTGCCATTGGCAAACGGCTCCGCTGCGGCTGAATTGTATGTCCGCACAGCTGCAGCAGCAGTGACCTTGGCCAACTATAAGTAGAGGGAGTTATAGTATTAGTTTAATTTATTAGTTCCATACAAATTTATTAAAAATATATGCGTAGCAGTCTTATAAGTTTATGGGGTACATTTACCCCAATCTGGAGGGAACGAATTAGGCGCGAATTAAAAATCGCGAACTAAGTACGAGATAAAAAATTGTAAATATATACTCGATTATGGTAGCAATTAAATGTGAATCACATTTAAACTGAACAATTTCAACTTGTTAATTAATGGAATATTTTGCATTTATAAATATGCGATTTGAATTTGATTTACCGAATGATATAATATATAAAATGTTGAATGATAAATGGTTATAGAACTTAAAGAGGGATAACAAGAGCCCCGGCTCAATCCCCTAAGAACCATTTAAGAGTATAAACAAGTTTTTGGTAAACTGTACGTGTATATTGTTTTGTATTTAACTTTTATATTTCTTGTAATTTTTCAGATTTTTGAATGATAATCTTTTATATCTTATCTTTACACCGCATTCCCGAATGCTTACAGGATTATAAATAAGTAAATGATAAATTGTTTTGTTCTTTTGGTACAAAAAAGGTTTATGTAAAAATAAACGATGCAAAAATGTTTAAAATCAAACATTTGATATCAATATTTAAAATAAATAATACATCAAATAATCGGTTCCAAAAAATTAATGGATTTTAAAATATAAAAGTAGATGTGGCAGTAATATCAAGATTAATATTATATTAAGCTGATCACTGAAATTATTTTAAGCCTACCCTATTTCTTTTTGTATTTATAATGCATCTATAATACCCATAAATGAATTGAAAAAGTTCTGTAGCTTTAATTTTCTTTTGAATTTAAAGATTTACGTAGAATTGTGCAGGTTGACGGATCTGTTCTCAAGGCAAAGATATGTACATAAATACTATATGGATACTTTGCAGAAATATTGCACTTATAAACGTAGAACTTGCAAGCACAGCCAATTGTATAAATATTTGTTACTTTGCATAACATTTCTTTGCATTAATTAAGCAACAATTTCTATTGACGCTCAGGAGGAGATCAATAACTTACCTTCCGACTGCTGCTGCTCTTCAAAAGCCATGTGGCAAAGTTCTGATGCGCCATCGGCGACAAAGCCAGACTAAAGGCTGTGTGGGCTCTATGCATTTTGTTGTAGCTTTACAAAATATACCTGCAATGAGATAAGAGGGCACATGTATGTACATATATTTAGAGAGTAACGGCAGTTAGACAATCAGCTTTTGATTAGACTTGCGACAAGTGTAATTAGTGCAAACGCTTCTCGCTGTTGCTCTTCTGTAATCAAACACGGCAATTTTGTTGACAAACATTATACGGGTGCATGTAAGTGTGTGCGTGTGTGTATGTAGGTGTGTCGTCTATTTGAATGATAAGATTAGTCTGCGCTGTTATGCAAGTGAGAGACTCAAATTTAGGCGTACGTCATGGCCAGTGCCTGACGCCCACATCTGAAGCTCGACATCAAAACTTGTTGCCAACTAACGATCAATTTACATAAATACATTCATTAATACACATTTATATATGTATGTGTATATTTATGTATATGTATATAGTGACGCGTCTAGACTCTAGCATAGTCTAGTCATGCCAAATTTGCAAACAGCCTTGCTCCAAACGCAAAACGCACGTGACGCTCCTCCACAGCTCGTGACGTCAAACTGGCAACGAACGGTTGTTGGGCTGGTACGAACATGTGTAGATAAATGGTTCGTCTTTTTGAGTTCTGGCCAAGAATGAAATGTTTTTGCACCTTTTATACAACAGTATGTCTATATGCAAAGCCTTGGATGTGGCGAAATGAATTCTTTTGCAGCAGACTTTGTACTTTTTTTCGTGTTGCGCAGTTGGCAAATAATTGTTAACTTTTTTCCTTTTATTATTATTATTTACTGTTAAATCAAGTAAGCATGAGAGTATATTTATTTGTATTTGTGTGATAAATGAAATGTTACTTTGTTTGCTTCACATTTTACGCTTTTACGACTGTGTGGCATTAACCTGATTCCTTGAGTCATGCACCAAACGAGTTTGCGAATTTTTGATAAATTTTTTTGTTTATTTTTTCTTTTTTTTTCAACTTTATAAATTTGGGTGAATGGCTGAAGGTTAATAAAAGGCTAGACACATTCGTATTGCCAAATCTTTATGGCATGCATGTAGGTATGTGGAACAATCAGCAAAGTGACGCTTTAGTTTATAACCGGCATAAAAAGAATAGTTAAGTCAAGCGCCTTCCAAGCCGCAAAGACTGCGTACTAAATTTCGTTGCTCATAAACTTCCAGGAATGTAGATTGTGTATAGAACCAGCCCCTAGTCAAAAATATAAATCATGCCATGCAAATAGTACGAGCGAAAAAACACTTGAGAGCCCATATCGTTTGGGGTCTTGACTTGCACTCAAATTTTAGAGATATTCCCTTGTGTACATAATACCTATTTATTAATGAAAATGTTGAAATGGCGACCAGACGGTCGACAGCGTTGATAAGACAACAGCGCGACACTATTTCATAATGCAAGAGCAACAAGCCAAGTCGAAATCAATGTCAGCGGCGCAAAGAGTCAACTTTTGGGTAGAAATCAGATCGTATTGTCTACGGTCACATGTTCTTATCAGCAGAAACGCGTGGCGGGGTTTTAAGGCCCCGCACGCTGCCCTCAATTCGGTTAGTGGAATTGTGATTGATTGGGCCAACCAGCCAGGCCAGCCTGAAAAAGTTCAGGCGAAATATTTGGAAAAGCTCAACAAGCCAAGCGAAAGTTTTATGTAAAAACCGGTTTCGATTTCGGTTTCATATACATTTTCGATTTCGGTTTTGAGTGGCTGACATACTTAGATGAAAGTACCGCTTGAGATTACAACACACTAACAAAACTCTCGACAGATAATTGAATTTAATTTGTTGCACCTCGCTCAGCTGAGTCGTCTATATACAAGTATGTACTATACCTACATACATAGACATGTGTATGTGCATATGTATGTGTGTCGTTATTTATCTGTTTGCTTGTTTTGTGCGGGCATTTTTCACAAACCGTTTTTCTTGCAATTATATTTTCCACTCACTAAAAAATATGTACAAGCAAGTCGGCTGCCGACGATGTCGTCGTCTCTTTTGGTTACGAAAACATATTACATAATTGAAAAATGTTCGAGAGCGTCATAAATATGACATTCTATCGATGAAAACAAACACTTCCAAGTAAACCAATTACACATTTTCATGGACCTTTCCCCAGACTAATCCTTCAAGTTAATAGCTTTAAACCACCTTGGTTCCAAGCAGTCCGCAAATCACAAGCTTAAAATGCATTGAACTTAAAACTCGTGAGCAACAATTTGCAGTATATACGTGAATAATATATACACATTCTATATGTACGTATATACGTGTATGCTCCAAAAGAACACTAACCGAATATTTGTATTATACTATATTTGTGTGTACGCGTCACGTCGTATCTGGGGAGATACGTTGCTAACGTTCGTGTTGAGTGCTACGCGTCGACTGAACGCCGAGCAGCCGAAAACCTTGCGACGCCCGTAGAGAGTGGAACACAAAAAACCGCACTATTTAGAAATCGAATTATTTTTTGAATACCCTTTCAAAGTCTGCAAGAAGAATCGTTATTTAAGGCAGCAATTTGTGACACAATCGTGTTTCAGGTATGGAGTTGAATCAGTATTGATCAGTTGATAAAAGTTTTCATATTAAACGCCTTTCTATTTTCTGAAGCTAAATAAACGCTGCAATTATTGTGTATATTTTTAGCAAATTATTATTTTTAAAGTTTTTTTTTTAATTTTTTAAGTAACATAGAAAAGAAGAATGTGGGGCAATGTTTTCTTTCAATTGATTCCAATATTTTATATAGACATACCATTCAAAAAAATTCAATCAAATGTAGGAGTATCATACGACCTAGTGTTTCAATTTAATCATTTTATCTACAAAATTAAGAAGTTGTTGGTATTAGGCAAACGTTTTAAAATGAATAGAGGAAATTAGGCATATATTAAAACATTAACATTTTACCTAATTCAGTCATGCTGAACGAGTTGATTCGTTCATTAATAAAGAAGACTTGTGAAGAAAGTGTCTAATTTCGATCACAAGTCAGAGAAGAACAACTAAACGTATCTATAGGATTTAACTAAAATCTAATCATTCTGAGCATATTTTACGTTTTATTGTGAAATAATCAAGAATTCAGTAAAATATAATGTTCTTATAGAAAATAATATACAGTTGCAAACATCTTGCCTTAAAACAATAGTTTTTTTTTAAATGTTGAAAATTTTTTTTTTTAATAGAATCTCAATCAAAGTTAAAAAATATTCTTTCTCAAAACAGTCGAACTAAATATTGTAGTTAGAAACATTCAATAATGTCCAAGTTTGGGAAAAGGGGGTATGGCTGATAATAATCAGATATCGTTTTGGGCTATCTAGCGCTGTCTCTGAGTGAATGAGTTAATGAGTGCATGACTGTGCCCGTATTTATAGCACTCTGCCAATTTTGTTTACAATTAACTCAAAGTCCGTCCCATTCTCAAATAAAAACGCGAGTGCCGCGCCAGCAACGGTCCGAGCAGCTGGCAACGATCTCGCCGGCCACTTTTCATATACAGTTGTGCTCAAAATAATAGTAGTGATATTTTTCACTACGTTCTACCGTTCGTATTTTTGTGTTTCCTTTCATTTTTAATCCTTTCTTTCTACCTATGTGATCTACAACAAGAGCACAATAAAATGACGCTTTACTTTAGCTTTTTGTGCACTTGTTGTTGTTGTTATTTGCATTTCCCACAGCTAGCCCCTATTCTACGCGCTCAAAATAATAGTAGTGCTTGCACAAACATTCCAAAAATATTAAGTGTGTCGCTCCTTAAGCTTACGAAAAGTTGCTAATAGTAAGTTCTATTATTTTTTAATAGTTTACAATAGTTTCTAATACACATTTTAGTTTGTTTTTTTTTTCTGAAATGGGTAGAGCCAAGCACTGCGCTCCTGAACGACGTGCACTCATTCAAAAATTGATATCTGAGGGAAAAACTTACAATGAAGTCCAAAATATAGTAGGTTGTCCTCCTACAACGGTGTGTAATGGTATAAAATTTATCCCAGGTCCCTAAGCACGTGGAAGACCTCGCGCTATGCCAGATAAATTGGCGACCCTTGTAGTGAGATACTTTAGGCAGAACCCATTTGCGAGCTCTACCGATATAAGAGATGAATTAAAACTCCATACTAGTACACAAATAATACGGAGATGCCTACTGCAAAATAATATGGCAGCTCGGAGTCCAAGGAAAGTGCCCCTTCTCACAAAAAAACATCTGGCAAGACGAATTAAATTTGCACAAGACCACATTGATTGGCCAGTGCAGTAATGGAGAAACATTTTGTGGTCAGATGAATCGAAAATCACGCTTTATGTTGGAACTGGGTCTCGTCAGTATGTTAGGCGGCCACCAAACACTGAATGGCACCCTCGATTCACCACGAAAACCGTAAAACACGGAGGAGCTCGTATTATGATATGAGCCAGTTTTTCATATTACGGCACGGGGCCTTATATTGGCTCCGGAATGTCATGGATCGCCACCTTTATGTGCATATAATGCAGAATATTATGCTGCCAAGTGCCATTGATGAAATGCCACTGATTTGGGTATTCCAGCGGGATAATGATCCGAAGCACACAAGTAATGTTGCCAAACAATGGTTTCAAGCTAACAGGATCAATGTACTAGAATGGCCGGCACAGTCTCCAGATCTCAACCCGATTGAGAATTTATGGTACGATGTAAAGAAGGAAGTTGCCAAGAGTAAACCAACTAATTTTGAATAGGTTTGGGGACCAGCTAGACATGCTTGGAGCTCCATTCCTTCTCAAAGATGTCACAATCCCGTGGACTCCATGCCAAAGCGATGTGCTGCAGTTCTTGCACACGAAGGCTATGCTACAAAATACTAATATTATTTAGAAAGTCCTAATATGAGTAATTAAAATAATAACCGTATTATTTGGATCAGTTGGGACAAGTAAGAGGCCAACAAATGAAACACTACTATTATTTTGAGCGACCAAATTAATGAAGTTTTGGAAAAAAAATTATTTAAATTGTTATATGACCAGAATTTGTTATTATATCTTTATAATTTACTTGTTAATAAACTATACTTAGCAATAAAATTTATTTTAAGTTCATTAAATCACCATTTCATACATTTTTTGAACGAACTAAATTTTTATGAAAGCACTACTATTATTTTGAGCACAGCTGTATGCCGCACCGACTAGCCCACACAAAATGTGTGGAAATTGAAAAGAGAGCCCGAAAACTGGCACACAAAAGCACTCACAAGGGCACGCACACACTCAAACACACACACCATATGTTAAAAATATTTGAACTATGCATGAAGTCAAATGGGTCTAGCTTGGTACGAGAACTATAGGAATCGTTTAGAACAACTGGTTGGCAGTCGATTGCATTTATTTGGACATTGAAATGAGTGCTTTTTTCTTATGTAACCTTGGCTGAGAAACACCGTTCCCCATATACCCTTCCTCTTAACAGAAAATAATGATTTATTGATATGCAATATGACCGACTTAGGCATAATACATTTAAAAATTGACATATATTAATTTATTCTCCTACCTATTATGAACAAGCCTATTGACGATATCTAAGAAAAACAAGTCTATATACAATTATTGGGCTATATAGAATGTACATATAATAAATTTGGTTGGGAAAACCTATTGAAGGTTTATTGGGCGTAGATGATGTTCATCATACAAATCAATATATAGTACATATCCCAAATCTTAAAACTAAATTGGATATTATTTAGTCATGATTGCCCGCAAAATTCGTTTACCACCAATTTCACAATTTCAAGTTCAAGCACATGACGTATCTATGTGCGCAGTGCGTCAGTAGACATAAAGTCAAGGTGTTTTATCAACTTTAAAAACCGCCCATTTGATAAGGCCCAGCCCATTAGATTTTGCCAAGTTCCAACTGCAGTGTAGAAACGCAACCATAGCATAGACACAAACCCTGTAGGCCAGCTGCAATTTGATTGACATGCAGACGAGCCCCCAAAAAGGAAAGAGAGAAAGAGAGAGGAAGAGAGCGTGAATATAAAGCCGAAGCTGTCAATTGCAGAGCGCAGAAAAGTTAAAGAAGTACTTTTACGTAGCTCCACATGTAAAAATCGCGAGTTATAGAGATCGTTCACACACAAACACAAATACACACATACAAAATTATAGTTAGGCAGACCGCGTGAGTTCATTGAAGCGAGGCTTGTGATGCCGGGAACTTGTTTTTTCTTCATTTCTTTTTTTACGATGGCTTGGGCAGCAACAACTTGCCATTTTTTGCAATGTGCAATGTGGAATATGCAGACCGAATCATCACGAGTATAGCTTTTCCGATTAAAAATGCCGACAATGCGGCCGCGCTGATTTACTCTACCCCTCAACCGACAACAACAACGAACAAATGCCGTTGTACGACCACTGCCTGATGATGATGGTGATTCACAGTGGCAATGGAAAGTACACGCGGCATAACGAAATTGCGTCATCAATTCATAACATTCGCTTAAATTTACAAAAACCTGTGACGTTGCCGATGGTGTTTTTGTTGTTGTCCCTAGTCTGTTGCGAGGCAATAGCAATATTGAGAAATTTCACTTTTCTTCTTTGGCACAGGCGCGCACAGGCGCTGCGCAGAATGGACAACATACACACAAACACACACATTCACATACGCCCACTTGCATTATATAAGCGTCAGCAGGCTGGGCCATTGAAAATTTATTAAAACTGCATAAAGCTTTAGTTAATCGAAATTTTTGCACATGCTTTGGCTTTCTGGCGCACATTATTAATAGAGTTTCGAAGTTTTATCACGTCTTTGACCTAAATTTACGCCGCCTGCCGTGGCCTTAAGACTATTTGTGTAAAGCGAGAAAGAAATCAAAACTGCGATATGTCAGAAATGCCATCGTTTACCAAGCAACACAACACGGTTTTGCACTTTAATTATATTTGTATTTATTGCAAATTTGATCAATAATTACAGTTATTCCGCGCGCTGCTTCGAAGCACCCGCACTGCACAGCTGAAGAGTGAAGTGTGAGCTAAGTTGGTATGTAAAAACATCGATATATTGGACCCCGATAAATTTAACACAACGCATCGATGTGTTTCGATTTTTTAGTATTATCGCGATGAATTGCCTATGCATCGATGTTTGCTTATAACGCTTATCTTTGTTGCGTCGTTTATTTATTGTGTTGTAAAATTGTTGTTTTTCTTGGGTTTTTGTGATTGTGTTGCTGGTAGGAGTAATTTATTATTATTTAGTTTTCTTTCTCTAATAACTTTTTTATTTGGTAGTTGTTAATATTTAATTTTTTTGTATCGTATTTACATGTCATTTCAGAAACGGCTAAATGGCGAATAAAATTTCTACAACTTGACGAAATCATTAAATATTGTAATTGGCTGACATTTCCTATTTAGTCTGTTCGGTTTCCAAGGTTTTATTAAACGTGTGTATTCTGTAATCTACGTACATATGTCGGCAGCTTACACTTGTATATGTACTTATTTTTAAATGATCAAATATTTCCCAAATAAATTTTTATTCTATTTTACTTAAAAAATATAAATAAAAAAATAGTAGTGAATGTCATATATGTATTACAATAGTTAATTACCGATACTCGTTGAGAAATGAGAAAAAGGTAGACAAAGGTTGCAGATAAGATTCTTCTCCAATAAGTATTTATGAATTTGGCATCAGAAAACTTTATTTATGTAGTTTAGGCTTAACTGTCCAGAAGTCATCGAAAATACTTCATTATTCTACATCGATATACAGGTGTTTTGGAAATATCGCGTTGGCAACAAACACGATATGCCTCTTAGGGATTAATGTTTCTGTCCCTCCCACTGAGATTAACATTTGATTGTTGTGCTCTTTTGACGTACAACACTACATAGTTGCAAGATTTTTAAATAAATCGTATACTTAATTTTTCTACTTTACCAATACAAGAATACAATCAAATAACTTTCATTATTGCACACTCTTCCTACTCAAAAGTCACAAAGGATTCATTACTGATACGCAGCTGAGCATACTGTGACGTCACACAAAGGAAGCACCCAAAAAACAAACCTGCGCATTGGCATTTTGTGTTTGCCTCTGCCAGGGTGTTGCCAACTGCGCAAAATTTGTACAGCGCTATCTAGTGGGAAGTACATACAACTGATGGTTGTGTGACGACAGGTCACAATTTTTAGCAAAGACATCACCCTGTTTAGTGTGTACTTAGTCCTATATACGGAAGCTAGAAAAAAAGTGCGGCTTCCTTCTTAGAAATATTTTGTAAACTATCAACATATTTGGATTCAGAATAAGAGGCAATTATATAAATATATATTGTCGTATTGATATAAATAAATACATTTGTGAGTGCCAAGTAAATTTGAAGTTAATTGGATTGAAGGCGGGGTGGGAACTTTTTATACAGATACTACTAACTACTAATTATTGTTTTATTAGCATTTTAAACATATTCTCCAAGCATTAGTGTCTACTATATTCATCCAGACAATAGCCTGTAATTTGATCCGATATGCAATCAAAGACATCAAATGCCAAATCACAGCTCTCCCCCTTCTGTGGCAACTGTTTGCGATTCACTTTATATTTGTTGGTAACGGCGCGCAGGCAAAGATTGACGGAGCGCAATGTGGCCATAAAGAATCCGTGCTCATGGACGCCCTCCGAATAAAAATCGACCAGACCGTCCAGCGTCGGCCAGCCGAACTTATCTATGGCGTTGTTCTTGGCATAGACGCAGTGCAGCAGACACTGGAAAAAAGCAGCAAGCGAAAAGGCGTAAATTCCATTCAATTTGCTGAAGCATAAAAGCCAGTTAATGTGTATTAAATGCAGCCATAAAACGTGCACTTTTCAAGCCATAAAATGCAACTTGTCAGTGTGTGTGTGGTGTGTGGTGTGTGCGTGTGAAAATGCGCGTTGCGCTTTTCTTTCAATTGTCTAACAACCCTGACTTTTAATTGCAAACTCACACACACTTTAACAAAATCAATGACTGTGTTAAAGCCAACAAAAGCCACCAACGCCATATTGTTTCTTTAGTTGACTGCCATTGAACTTAATTGCGCGTCTTCTGTGTGGTCGTCGCTGTTATTTTGCATTCCATTAGAAACATCAAGAGTTGCAACTATCCATATGTATGTATAGTGTCTATATTTGTATAAATCGGTGTCCATACTTACGCCCGCTATCCGTTTATCTTCCAACGGCACCAGCGTCGGATGATATATTCCCGTACTGGCCACATCCAGGCGTCTGATGTTGCGCATCAGTCGCGCCATTCGTCGATTTGGCTGTTCATCATAGATCAGATATTCGTAGTGACTGGCATTATAGGGACTAGATATGGGAGGGTGCTCCAGTGCGGTGTCGCTCTCTTGCTCAGACGGCCACTCCGGCGTCTCTATGAACTCGATGTTGTCATCGTGCGGATTCAGTGGCGGCTGAACCTCGGCCACCTGCTCTTTGAGTATCTCATAGGCCTCTGCAAGTCGCTTACAGATTAGACATTATTGTTTATGCATAGGGAAAATAAAGAAAATGCTCTTGAAAGTTAGCAAGCATCGAATCAATAAGCGAAGAAGAAGAAAGATCCGAAAATATTTAAGTGTCAAGAAAATCCGAAATGTTCCTTTTATTGCATTCATACAAAAAATAATGACGGAACATATGTACATATCTGGTTTTCTAAATTTGAAAAGAAATAAGTCCGACTGTGAAATACGCTGTAGCCAATAAACTTCCAATACTAGGTATGTTATATTCTTTGTAAAAAGTGTGCATGGTAAGTAGAAGCGAAAATGAGAAGAAGCAAATGAGAAACTCGCGTTGCCTAGGGACTGGAAAAGTAAATATAACAAGTATTGCTAAATGTGGACTCAATTCAATTCAATTCATTCATGATATGCCCTTTTTACCATTCGGATACAGGGTTTATGAGCTAGGAAATTTCATAAAATTTAATAAATTTGTTTTCTAATTTTTGGTGCAAAGCAATTGACTTGAATCTTTAAAGACTCAATATATGTATGTTTTTATTTATTTTTATTATTATTTATTCCAAATCAACAGTTCTTTAGTTTCAATAATCTCATGGATAAGGTAGCTTTAAGGAAGAGATAGTACACTTTTAAATAAAGTCAATTTATTTTTAGATTTTCATCATTTTTAGCATTTGAACCCGTACTTTGTAATTGTAAACTTGAAATTTACTTTTGTAAATCATTAAGATCTGTCAAGTTCTGGACATGAAATGAACATGCAATTTATTTTAAAAATTACGCTTTTGATAGGATAATAGCTTTTTGACTTTACATTAAAAACTAGACTAGAAATATTGCTTGTTGTGGAAACGCGCCAAAGAAAAAGCTTTGTAACACTATTTTCTGTTGGACTGTTTTGCATTGCTGGGTGTCCAATTCGGGTTTAGGGCTAAGTCTAAAGTCATGATAATATTATAAAGTCATGAGCAAGCTTTAGGACTCTTGCATTTATTTATTTTCTAACTAGATGTATTATTGAAAAAGCGTTGCAGAAGTGTTACTTTTCTATGCATGTGGGAATTATTTCAATATCTTGAAAATCGTTAAGTGACAAATTGTAGATTTAGTTATATCGAATATGTAATCCTGACTTTAAGTCAATCGGGCATAATCTTCTCTTTTAAATAAAAAACGAACCACTTGACGGAACCCAAAAAAGTGAAACCAAAAGTGCAATTTGTTTTGTATGCTGGCATAAACATTAGAACTACCCTAAAACATAGAAGAAACATTCTGATCCATCCAGAAATTGATGAGCTTACCGTTTATCAGCTTGTTCTTCACCTCGTCCTGACAATCCTTGATAACAGACTGTACGCGTCGCGCCGTTCGTGGCGGATTCAAACAGCGCGCCTTCTTCAATTCGTATCGAACTATGTAGCCCAGGGATGATGCCGATGTGGCCATCGAGGTGATTATGCAGAGCACATGGAAATATTGTGTAATTTTCATTTCGTGGCTCTTTGTGATTGATCGGCCACTTAATAATGCCAGCTTTGTGAACCGCACGCCTTGACCACTTCCAACTGAATGCCACGAATTGGGCAAATGAAAACGAAAGCATTTTCACTTTCCATCACACGAACCGGGTCAGGATTTTGCAGATGGATAGGGGCAGGTGGACCGTGGACGGGGAACGGGGGAGGGGGCAGGGGCAGTCTTGTGGAGGCCGGCTTAGTGAAAATGTGCATATGAATTTCCAGTTTTCATCTATTTGTTTCCACTTTTTTACTATTCACAGTATGGGTATGTGGTTCAATGGCAACGACAAACGTCAGCAACCGCAATAACAACAACAACAATAACACGCAAAACTGCAACAACTGGTTGCATATTTCCCATGCGTGCAGTCGCCTTGCCTTCAAGCCGTCTGTCAAAACTTGTCCTTTATTGGCGGCACACGGCAATGGCCAGTGACTGTATTGTGTTTCATTCCATTGTTTCGCACTCTGCGAATGTGCGTGCGTATGTGTGCGTGTGTGTGTGTGTGTGTGTGGATGAGCTAAGAAAATTGTAATTTAATTTATTTGCTCAACCATTGTGCATTGTTGCTCCAATTGACTGCACAATTAACCAATAAATGGACAAAAGATCTCAAAAGTCTCTTCCGCATTTTTTCCACCAAAACCTAACAAATTTACATATAAACTGCCATATGGAAGAGTAATAAAGATTATCAGACTGCTGTTGATATCATATGCGGTAGCATAAAGCACGATGCCAAACATATTTTGTTTCTTCTTTTTGTTTGTTTGTATTTTTCTCCATTACTTCTTGTTTCGGACTTGTGGGTCACTAAATCAAAAGACCAGCACCGCCCACATATGCAAACATATTACCGTGTGTGTCTGTGTGTGTGTATGTGTGTGTGTGTAAGACGGGTGGATGGATCAACAGGTGTGCAGGCATGAAATCAGCCAAGCATACTTATTTACTCAGTAGTGTAGAGATGTGCTGTGAGCAGAGAAACATCATAGTTCACGATAAATGTGAAAGTTATCGTAAAGCTGTGAAACACGAAATATCTGTCGTGATACTGCACCATTATCCACCTATCTCTTTAAAAATATATGTATTTATTATGGTTGCGGAATTGTTTAAAGCGGGTACAATTAATTCTGTTTTTACACGGTAGATTGCTAAAATAAATGACTGGTTCCTTATTTCTAAAATCTATTAATATCAGTGGAAAAAAACAAGGATTTATGTTTATTTTACTTAATCACATATTTTATGTGAATAACGACCCATGTTTTTTTTTTATTTATTTTGTGTTATTTTGAATCGTGCTAAATGCAATAAAGTCGTGTAATAATATGCATATACTGATTTTAATTTTCAAGCCGTGTTAAATCAAGACCGTGTAAAAACAGAATTAGGTGTAGATCGTATGGGGCTTCTTAAGATAATTTACGCTCTCTTTTTCCCACTACAATCGTCTTAAATATATGTACATTTTTTATCAATCAATTCTCTGGAAGCTATTGGTTGGTACTTGTTTTATACTTCAATCGTTTCTATGGTATTATCTATAAATTAAAATTCCTGCCTACGCCCTTCAATACATAAAACTACATTGATTACATTAGATTGAAATAAATATAATTTTCATGGCCAACAACACATACAGATATTTAAGTATAATTTATCACCTATACAATTTAACTTTTAAAACCGACAAGCAGTGAATCGACTCATTTCGATTCTAACAAATTTGATCAAAATCGAAATTTAGAACAGCTCTGACTGATTCGACTTGACTATGATTTTCCTATTTGGACTGAAGAACAATAACGGAATTGAAAGTATTTTCTATTCCAAATATTAAATTGTAAGTATGATTTTTAATTCCACTTTGTGATCGTGATTTACATTATAAAGATTTAAAATATATCACCCATCTCTATGTTTGTATTGTGTATTAAATATAAATTGGAAAAGTAAAATCTTCAGAAAAAAACTGTGCTATGATCTTTAAATGAATGCAAAACTTCATTTTCTATAACTTCTGCTCTGCTACTAAGACCCAGATGAAGTTGTGGTGCAGAAAGTTCGTGCCTTAAGTCTTCCGTTTCGTTCGTTCTAATCAAAAGGCTTGACATATTTTCTTGCGAGTACGCTCATTGTGGCTGAGAACAATGGCCAATAACTGTAACTCAAATTAGCGTACAGCATTATTAGCTGAGCAGGCGTAGCCGCCACACACAAGCACACACACACTTATACAACACACACACAGTTGCTGCCTAGAACTAATTATGCTCATTAAAGCTTGGAAAACTTTGGCGCATCCTATGACTCGTCGATTATTGCGGAAATGTGGTTTGTGGCATGTATCGTAAAGCTGCCGACTCTTCCTGTCCTGGCTGTGCCAACGTACTAGACCAGAGCTGACCATAATTGCCTCTAATTGCGCCTCAAACCACAGCCAACGGCGATCGCTTGCATAATGTGGGATGGGGGTGGAGCGGGCCTTGCCATGCCATGCCAAATTGCAGCTAAGACACTGACCTAGACTCGAGGCGCATTGAATTGTTAATGGCTGCAGGCACTCAGCTAACGGTATAAAATGTACGCTGGCGTGCCATATTGGAAATTGGTTTGACCAGCAAAATTCCAAATTGCAGATCTGAAGTTCAATGTAACCATTTCGTCGGCTGGCGGTGAATGGTGAGCATAAATCGCGAGCTGGAAAATTGTCAAAGCCAAATGGCAATAGCAGGTCAACAGCAATAAGAGGAACATGGCCAAGAAGTGCCTCATGCCTAAGAAGCAGCATTTTAACATTAGAGGCGTGCATTTTTGGTTTGTTGTGGAGCTAGTCGAGCCACGAAAAGTTTGAAATTCACCCAAAATCTTATGGAACTAGGCGTTGCTTAAAATTGATTCCTTGAAATACTGCTTTAATATCGGTAGATAGATGAATCTGCTCTTCAGTTTGCAGAAATTTTAGTTAGGGAAACTTAAATCTTAAACCAAAAGATCGGAAGGATGGAAGACATCGAAACCGACCTACATGATTGTAGGCAGGGTAAAAATAAGTGATGAAAATTAAATAAAGGTATACTATATAGTACAACAAAAGTAACAATTCTAAAAGAAATCTGAAAATAATTGTATATATTTTGCCTACCGTAAGCATAAGCAAATTTAGAATATAATCCAAATGAATTTACTCCGAGGAAAGGCAATTTCGATAAGATATTAAGACGTTATCAATATAAATACTTTAATTTCCTAAGTAAGCATGCTTCTGGTTTCTAAGGATACGCTGCCAACTTACATGACGATGAAAATATACATACAATTAAAAATCAAATAATTTAAATGAGTTCTACCGATATAGAAAATGGTTTAAAAAAGATCCAATACCGACATGTTTTTAGTTATAAATCAAATCTGTCCCATCTGTAAATTCAGTAAAAATAAGCAAGGTTTTTATTAACTTTTCTGCTTACATGTTGAAAATAAACACAAGTCTTAAGCCAAATTAAATAATACATATTTGGAACAAAATTGTAAGGCGAGAAGCAACCACACATTTTACTGTTGCAACAGAAAATATTCGAAAATATACAATTTTAAAATAATTTTTTAACAATTAAAAAAACACTTTGTATATTATTTTTGTAATTATAATTATAATTGCGTTCTTTTTAAATGAATATAACCTGTTTGCTTTGATTGGATTTACTTTCGAAATGGTCGTTCCTCATGTTATAATTTACTGTTGCTGTTTTTTCTTCAAAAGGATAGATACAAGTTTAATGAATAAAAATTATAAGACTCTATTTCATATGGCTTATAAAATATTCAACATTAAGTGAGAACAAAAAGGGGGGCGCTAACCTGATGACGCGCAGTGTATATCCTAAAATTATAATTTTATTTTTCCAAATTTTTAACATTATCTGTGTTTGTTTTTGCTTGCACCTAAAACGCTTTTCAATTCTGATAGTACGGTTATTTTTTTCGCCATGATTTCAATTGTCTCTTAATATCTTTTTAGAACAACCGATTTTAATCAACAAATAATAAATAAATAGAGTGTAGTTCGCAGGCACAGTGAAGTGATCGGTTCATTGACTTGAAATCTTAACCATTCGCGCACAGCTCCCAGTGGGCAGCAGGAAGTAATGTGAACGACAACTGAACAACAGTAGCAGTTGTTGTTGGAGCAACAAAAACAACAACAGCAACAACAACACTAACTAATTGACAGACAACCCCAACTGCGCAGGCCAGGCCACGAATAAATTCCTTTGGCAATTTACTGAACAAGCGCCAAAACAGAGAAGGAGCCACAGAGAAGGAGAACTCTAAGAAGTCGGCCTGCTGGTTAGTGTTGTCAACATTTTCTGTGCAACAACAAACTGCACTTGCGTGTCCATCATTAGAACAAATTCTCTCACCTGCGCACTTACAATGTCATCTCGCCCCTCCACCCGGCAAGATGCCCGCAGCTCGTCCCCCGAACGAACATCTCTTGTAACGCAATTTGCACACAAATGTTGTTTCATCTTCGTGGCTGCTGCTATTGCTGTTATTGTGGTTGTTGTTGTTGTTAGTCGTGGTGGTGATGGTGGTGGTGGTACTTGAGTTTGGTGGGTGGTCAGGTGAAACAAGTGGCTGTCGTGGTGGCACGAACCGCTGGCTACCGTTCGCTGCCTCGCCTGAGAATCGTATTTAAATACGAAGGTCTAACGTTTGTGCGCATTCAGTCATCGCTCTGTTCTTAACGCTTGCACTTCGTCTCGTTCGCGTCTTGCGCATCCAAAGCTGGACTCAAAATAGCTGCTGGAGTTCAAGTAAACAGTTAACAGTTGCAGTTGAAGTTGAAGATATTGACGTTGAAGTTGTCTGTCTGGGCAGCTGCAACCGTTTCTTGTGCCATTTGGGCAGGATGTTCATTTGATTGAGAGCAGTCCGTTAAAGTGGAACTTCATTGAAATGCTTTCCCAGTTTTGGTTATTCGGCGCTTTATTTGGACTGTTTGGTGACCTCGTGCTTGGTGACATCGAGTACAATACCATCAATGAAGATGGATCGTTTCGATTTCGGTACAAAAGTTTTCTCAAATATATCATAACTAAAATGAAGTGATCAGAACAACTATAAACTTTATATAAACACATAGAAATGGATATACAAGTTCATTTATGAATCAATTGGAAGTTTATAAACAAACACTAACAATATGATAAATATTTTGTGTGCAAAAACGAAAAATAAAAATACATATTTAAATTAAATATGTATAGTTATATAAAGTGAACATATCCTTAAACGTTACTTATGCGACCAAGCCCACCCTTGGCTACTTACGACCATAAATTGCTTTCTAATATAATTAAATATTTTTGAACAAACACTAGAGCATAGCCACAACTTATAAGTTCTTCAAGCACGGGGAAGGAATATTGAAATTTGTTTTCGTATTTAACTTCGACTTGGCAAAGATGAGAGAAATGTTTCATTTATCACTTGTAAATAGAATAGTATAGTTGATCAGTAAAGGATAGATTCCGACTCGTCTGTAAGCCTCATATACACATACATACATAACTTTTTATAATTTAAAAAAAAATGCATTTAAAACCATACTAAATAGTGAAATGGTTTTCTTTTTGTACCATTTTGCGAATCCGAAAATACTGACTATAGACTGTTTTAATAGAATTTTCTCTTAGCTTGAGAATAAAACAAAAGATTCTAGATCCTTTTTGAAATTGATTTCAATATTCATTGAAAATGTGCATTTCAATAAACAATAATACTGAAATACTTATCTCCCCTCAACAGTAGTCGCTTATAAATAAATCACGCAAAGTTCCCCCAATTGCAAGCAATCCACTAGAAATTACATTTACATTTATTTCAATGATTTCATTAATGGAACTTACATATTCAGAAAATAGGTTACATACAATTTGTTAATTTGTTGTACAGAATCATCGATTTTGCGGGTAGGTTCTGACCACAATATTTGCAGAAGTAATAAGGCACTTTAATTAAAACTTAAAATTACAGCAAATAAATAGCAAAAATAACGCATTTTAAATATTTAAAAAATTAATTTTAGTGTTTAAAATGAGTTTCAGTCATTTGTGGAAAAAAATGTTTTTCATCCAACATTTTAAACGGATGTCCTGAAAATCCATGAAGGATATTAAAATTGCAAAACCTAGACATATTTATTATATTTTATTATATTTTCATAAAATATAAAGACTATATATTGCAAAAATTTAAAAAAAATATTCAGTAGTTTGGCGTGAAAGGGATATGTGGAAAAATCACTAATATTTAATATGTATGTATTGCCAGATATAATTTTATTTATTTAAATTTCATTTATAATTTGAAAAAGTGCAGTATTAATTCTATTAAAAATTATTGAATAGTATTATTCTTATAAAATATTCTGATAACGACGGTATATAAATTGAACCTACCGCCAAATTTTTTAAGTTTCAAGAACATAACTATTACTACTCTAGATATTAATTTTCGAATTTTTAAAAAGTAGACTTGATTGTAAAAGTTCAAAGCATTTAAGTCACCGTTTTTTTTTTTTATTATCTAAGTGCTTAGCTCAAACAAATCGCACCAATCTCAGAGTCTTTTGTTTTCCATGCCATTATTAACACCTTTTTAATGCCGTTTTGCAACCACACACGTATCCGTCATGCGAATCGGTCTATACCCTACCCACCAAACACACGCTGCCGCTGTTGCTGTCTCTGTCTCCCCTACAACCGGTGCGCATGCGCAACGCAATTGCTTGGATATGGCACCACCAACGCCGCCGACAAATGGACAGACATGCAAATGATGACATTGGGGGCTACTATCATAGCGCCTCGGGTACTCCAGACAAGATCGTGCGAGGTCGTTATGGTTCGCGTAGTCCAGCGAGCGGCCAGATCGAAGAGACCGTCTACACGGCCGGACCACGTGGGTGAGTAAAGGAAAGAAGCAAAAAGCCAAATGAAAACAAAAAGAAGCGATCGCCTTCTTCATAGGTAAAGTGCGGTAGCAAAGTAAGTTATTGCTGGCCGCCGGCCGAGCTCATATTTTAGCCACAACAGTGCCGGGCAGCCACTGAAGCATGGCCGAGGCAGTTCTAACACATTCGAGTGGTCGGGCGTCCAACTGGGCCGTTTATTGTTACCTAAACGTTTTTGCCATAAGTTCAATTTCAAGCAGACAAAAATGACTCTACAGACCGACCGACAGACAGGCAGACAGACAGACATATGCACAGCTTGACTGATGGATACATAGTTGCTGTTTTTGTTGCCTTTTTGCAATCTCCGGTAGTACGAGTACTCGTAGTTGAGAAAACAAAAACTTGTTAACAAATTGTGTGTGTGTTTAGTCAGTGCAAAGAGCCAGCAATCAAGCAATCAAACAAACAAACATCTAAACTAACAATCAGAGCCAAAAAAGTGTCTGGCTCGAGAAAAATTCATTAAGATGCTCACTGATAGCTTGATTTTGAATGGAGATCGTCGACGATTGTGTCTCTGGACGATGTGGTAATCAAAGTAATGACGTGCCGCCATGTAGCAGATCGTCCGATAACATTAGAACCGTAGTGCTGTGCTCCGTGTGTGTTTATGGGAGCGAACGAACGACTTGAACGACCGTCTGCTTCCGTTAGGCATTGTAGCCAGATTTCCCAATAGATCTGGGGGCGTTGCATTTTCCCACAGCAATGTGCATTACATTTCTCAAACACTTCGCACGTCACAGCTTTCGCGTGAATGGACCCAAGATACATCGCAAAATGGATCTGGCACAGTATCCGGTACGGCCACGTGGCAGTCCCGATGATCCCCTTGCCGACCCCTACGACGATCCGTCCTACAGCTTCAGTTTTCGGACACCTGATCAGTCGCGTAGCGAGGAAAATGATGCAACGAATAGGATCCGAGGTAAGTACAATGTTGAGGTATAAGTTTGTTAGAGCCCTGTTTTTGCTATACGGCGCTAAAATATTGTGTGGATTTCTTACTTACATAAGAGTACTATTTCTGATTATGGTTGAAGGGGCTCAGAAAATATGAAGACGAGGCAATTAGCACTAAAAACTGTTTGCCCGTTAATGAAAATATAAAATATCTCTATAATTATAAAACCGTTAGTCCTGACTGCCTGACTGACTAACTAACAGATTGGCAATCAACGCTCAGCTCAAACGGCAAAAGCTAGGAAGCTGAAATTTGGACACAGAGAGGGATCCTCTCAAGATGAAAGTGAGCACTAAGAAGGGATTTTGGAAAATTCGAACTCCAAAGGGGGAAAACGGGCTACAATCAGATCATCAGATTAGCTTCAAACTTAGTTTGTATACTCTCATAAAGAATACAAGAAAAACTGTATACTTGGTTTTTCACCATTTTTCCTGGGGCCAGAAGAATAGGGATTTTCCCGTGGAACAATCGGGACATGAAAAGCTATGCGCAATCAACGCACAGCCCAAACGATAAGAGCGAGGAAGCTGAAATTTGGACTCAAGTATCCATTTATAGTATCCATCATAGTGTAGGTGCGTACTAAGAAAGGGGTTTGGAAAATTCGAGGTCCAAAGGGGGAAAACGAACTTTAAAAAATACTAATTATATAAATATTTTGGTAAGAACAAAAATTTAATGGACTACTCAATAATTGTTTGTCAATAACAGAAAATGTTCATTTAACTAATAAGGTGAAAACATATGGGTAGGTCATGCACACACAAAATAAATACAATTTGAAAAATTATATGGAGCCGGGTTAAGACGGGTAATACCTGCTAGTATAACATATTTCCGGTGTAAAGTGCAGTTCTGTACGTACTTTACAGTACTGTGCACAGCCACGTATTACAATACTGTTTAAAGTGCTCTTAAACGTTAGTTTGTAAACACTGTTTAATTTTTCTAAATTCGATGTGGGAAGTATCATGAGTTCACTTCCATTAAGTTTTGACTGCCGTGCCGAGCAGTCATCTGGTCCTCTTTCATTTTTTGTAGGATTTTATTTTTTTAATTATTTATTTAGAATCTATGTTTATTTTTTGTGTATATTTTTGTTCAATCCGAATAAATTCTTTTTTATTGCCTTTGTACGGCTACTCCCCTAGCCATGGGCTATGTAATCTCTTTCATTTTATACCTCGTATTTGGTTTCTAGTATTGCTTCAGCAATTGACATTAAATCACATTACACTTATAAATAATTACGAAATTCTTATTTTATCCTTTTGTTTTAATTTTATAATGATATTTAATAAAGTTTATTTTCGTAAGACACATGTTAATGTTCTATACGGTCTCCGCATAACGAGTGGCAGATTTCCAAGTTAAGTTAATTTTTGAAACCAGACGGACTTTTCAATTTGCGTACGACAGTCCCATAGGCGTCTGCAGAACCATAATGGATCCTGCTGGTCCTGCAAAGACTACCTTTTTAAGGTCTACAGCCGTTGAGAGAACCTCATAATCTCCACTTTTTTAGGACTTGAGGTTGCTACACTGATAAAAAAAACACGGAAATTTCAATATTTACGCGTAGATTTAACTATTTTTACCATCGATTTTGCACCATCGTGTGTTTTAGTAAATATGAAGTGTGCACAATTAAATTTGAAATTTAATATTAAAATATTAAATTTAAAGTGTGACGATATTAAATCATTAAAGTGACGATGTGGAGACGTGGGTTTGATTCACACCAAAGGTTTATTTTTTATAATTATAAAATATTTTCTCCACATTTTTGTCTACTACTCTTCTGTTTTTTTTAACTCTTTTCAATAATGACCATTTCCATAATGCATATTTTATTTATGTATTTTTTATATATACCATATATTTCTTTTTCTATAGAACCATTTTTAGCAGAAAAGTAATTTTAAAATTCCTTTGTTATTATGAATTAATTTTCTTGATTTTTTTTATTGCCTTTTAGTACGGATATAGTTTGGATCAATATTAATATTAAAAGTGAGAAACAGCTGATTGAATAACACTTGACACATACCTAACGACCATATCTGTACGTTGATCGATTACACTTTGTATTTATACCACACAACCGCTGAAAACCGACTTGAGAATTCTAGTCAATTGAAATTTAATATATTTCTACTATATTTAAATCGACTACAAAAACTTCAAAGTTCAGAAAAATATTATAATTTACTATGGAATATAGTAAATGTATATATTGGTTTTTTGAAGTGTTATAATATGGTTCAACATTAAATTAAATATGACACACTTTAATAACGAAGTTTTACGCATTGTTTGGTATAAAATTTACTATGTTTTTTATATTTGATTTGAATATGAAATAGTAGAACATTATATTGAATATGAAAATATTCATCTGTACTATGCAACTTTTTTATCAGTGTATAGGTGATACGTGATATAACATAAATAATACCCAATTGCACTGAGATTTCACACAAAACATGTTCCCTCACCCAAGTAACTTCGATGAATTAAATGAGTTGATTTTCTAAACTTGGCTACAATTTATGCTCCACAGGCCTTTATTCCTACCTGGACGATGTGGGGGAGCGACACAGTGTACGCTATGCCGCTGGTGCAGGCACCGGGTTCGAGATTTCTAATGCCGTGCCAGATAATCCTTCCAGCGTGGGATACTCCAATCCTCTATACAAGGCTCACCCAGCCACGCGCGGCAAGATGTCTGTTCAGCGAGGACCAGCGGGGAGCTATAAATTGATTGCAGCGGGGCCAGATCACAGGAGAGCTGAGAGCCGCGGTACTGATGGCCTGGTGCGCGGCACCTACTCTTTTCTCGATGACAAGGGAGTGCAACGAACGGTGGAATACATAGCGGGTGCAGGCATTGGCTATCGGGTGGTAAAGAATCGTGTGGGCCCCGGAACGCATGTCAATCCTTCGGTCGCCGATTTTCGACTGACTGACACCGATTTTCGTTTGGCGAATGATTTTGGTCGCGGCGCGGGTGGTGGACTCGCAGGTGGTGCTGGAGGAGGCAGCGCCTTTGGCGGCAGTGGCGGAGGCTCAGGACCGAGTGGTGGTGGAGGAGGAGGCCGAATCGGTGGGAGTGGTAGCGGTAGTGGGCCAGGGGCGAGCAGAACACGTGGTGGTGGCGCTGGTGCTGGTGGTGGTGGTGGTGCCAGCAGAGGGAGTACAACGGACTACTTAAAGCCAGCTGAAACCACCAGAGATGAGGCACCTAGTGATGGGGATGCATTCCAAGATGGTTTAGGAACAGTGGATAACAGCATAGGTGGTGGAGATGACGATAGTAATTACGGTGGTGGTGGCGGTGGAGGTGGAGGTAGTGGTGGCGGTGCAGGTGGTGGCACTGTTGCCTCAAATGGGAAGGAAGATCGCATAGGAGTCGCTGCGGGCAGCGGACAACGTGGAAGAACGAGATATGAGGGCGGTGGAAGCGGTGGTAGTCGAGGTGGTGCTGATGGCGGTGGCTATGGCGGCACAAACGGCCGTGGAGGTCCCAAAAATAGGCCTGGCACACGCACCGGATCTGGAGCTAATCGCAATACCGTAAGTGGAACGCGAAATCGCAATCGATACGGCGGATCAGGTGGTACTCGAAGGGGTGGCGGTGGCGGTGGTGGTGACAGCAACGGTGCGGCCTCTGGAGAAAGTGAATCAGGCTATGGGTATTTGCCACCCGCAGGTGGCACGGGGAGCGGTCCCGCCGACAATTACAATCTCAATGATGACGATGTCGGTGGTTCATTGCCACCACTTGTCACGGCCAACCATCGCATACTGGAGATCGATCGCGATCGGGAATGGGTGCAACGGCATCGCGACTCCACGGTCATCAAGAACGTGGGCAAATGGTATGTGGGTCTGCCCCCCGGCCACAGCGTGCGAGCCCATGTCCAGAACATTGACATTGTTCCTCTAGGTGGCCGCATCCTATCGCCATCGGAGGCCTTGCGGCAGGATGAAATTGCCGAGCTGGCTGCCTCCAGGGAGCACTAGCGGAGGCTCCACACCCCCCTACCCCCAGCAGCCGCATACAGCAGCCTGTGAGCGTCTCTAGTGCCTAGTTGTAGTTGTAAGAGCTCAAAACTATGTAAGAAACACAATAAGAAGTAACTGGGTTGGCCTGCGGTCGACCCGTGGAAGCTGTAACTCTAACAGTATTTATACTAAACAAATTTTAAACATAAATTTAACTGTAATTGAATAATTAAAGAAAGAAGATCAGCGAAGAATGTATACCCTTTCGACTCTTTTTTGTGTGGGGAGCTGGTATCTAGAGCCAATGTACTCGTATATAGTAGTAGGCAATCAACAGATTTGTTTAAAGCTCTGGTCAGACAGGCAAACAATTTGGCAACAAATTGGTCTAATTTGATGAATTTTTAAAAACTTCCTGAACGTATCATGATAATCTTATCCAAATAATTGACCGATTCACAATTATTATTTATATTTATATTTATTATTTATATTTATTTTTATAGAAGCAAAGTTTAATTTCCGAACAGAATATAATTATATTCCATGATTTGGAAACACACCAAAAACTTATAAAAACAAGTGGATAAGCTAAAGTCGGGTGTCCCGTCTTTGAAGTACTCGGTACATATATGTGGAATAATTATAGAAATTTGTCTTTTTAAAAGTAACAAAATTCTAAAGTTATAAACATCTTTTTTGTATTGTTGATACCTTCTTGGATATGCAAACTCACCTAAAGGCTGCGTAACAGAACTTTTCATGTAGAGAGTATAATGAAAACCAGAAATAATTGCAAACGGTAAAGAATAAGTATTTGAAAATGTCAGACTAATGAACAAAATATTGGATTGAAGTCCTTCAAACATACGTATGCTATTTAAAGTTAGTTGAAGAAGAGAAAGAGTGTCCCATTAATAAAACGAAAATAAGGTTTGCCCTGATGGTTCACGCGTCTAGTATACTCGATCGAATGCATATCGGCTGATTGAAGACAGTTGACTTGAAGCGCATATACTTCCATTATTCGATAGAGAATTTACCGTTAGCTTAGTTAGAGAACGGGGCAAGAGAGAGACATTTAGCCTGTCACTCGTATAATGAAAGAGTAGCCTGCATCACATTGGTATTGAAGAGTTAACTAATGGATGTAATGTATGGATGCATTTTTTCCTTAAATTCATTCATAGCCTATAGAAACTAGGCTTATCTTCATTCACAATTTTCAAAAATATCGACCACAAATTGTAAATTATTGTGGATCTGCTAAGATATAACTTACAACAAAAACATCATCGCCGCTTAAAGAATGCTAAGAACTTGATCCAAGTCTAGTTTCCAAGGTACATCACTTTTAAAGAAGCAAAGACAGCATAGCCGTGTAGATGGATGACAGATATTGCAACGGATCTCAGACATGTAAAGGACATTCTACAGATGAATTACAAGAATTGTGTATAAATGTGAGATATTATATAGCCATGTACGGACAAAGTGAGCTGAGGACACCGATTAGGTTAACTTATGCATGGGGACTTCCCAATGTTAGGAGGTTAAATGTGTTTATATAAACAAGAAATGTCTGTTACGTTCGGTGGTTTAGTTAGCAGAGATGGAGCCCATGTATACAAATATAATAAAGTTATGTATTCTAAGTACATTCAATTTAATTTGCTCTCTCCAATAATTCTTATAAATAATAAGCCTAATATCCCCCGCAATATAAATCAACCTTCATCATTTAATATATTTAACCTACCACAATTTAAATCTCCTTTTATGGTATAAAACACTAATCGAAAAGAATAACATACTGTTAATCCAGTAGAAAAAAATATAAAAAAAAAATTTTGGAGCTGAAGAGTATATGCGCAATGGCCATAGTATGTTAAGGTATGGAAGAATCGTGAGAACTTACTAAGGCTTTCTTAAAGATACTACAATAACAAAATTAAAAGCTTCGGGGGACTAAGCATAAGAATGCAGGTCATATTAACGAAGAAGTAATCTTCAAGAAGTATTCTTCAAGAAGTAATCTTCAAGAAGTAATCTTCAAGAAGTAATCTTCAAGAAGTAGTCTTCAAGAAGTCATCTTCAAGAAGTAATCTTCAATAAAAGCAAAGGTAATACTTAACTCGCTCACATAATTTAGGGAAGCAATGTTGCTCGCATTATCGTTCGCTTCAAACGAAATGGTAAAATGCTTGGACTTTTATTAAGTCAGGGCATCGTAACAGTTTTGCGATATTTGTTAACCGTATCTATTACACGCCGATCCATTGCAACTCAGAACAAGACATTTTTTTTTTTGTAGTTTGTGGCTTAGTATGTGCCGCTCATATAAAGCGGTTACTTCTGTACGATAGGCTTGCAGTTTTTGTTGAACTTTGGCTGCAAGATGAAGTGCTCGCCGTTATTACCCGCATTGCTGATGCTTCTTGGAGGTGGTGGCTACGTGCAGGGCCAAAAGCTACCAGGTGCTCGTTCGAATGGCGCTTACGTGTACATGGAGCTTAATGGTCATAAATATTCTTATGACACAAGCGTGCCGTTGCAGACAAACGATCTAAGCGGCAACTACGACTATCAACAGCAATTGGAGGCACAACCGATTCAGTCGCCACAGTCCTACGTTGAGGAGGGCGTGGTGGGGAGTCCAACCAACGATTTGGATGCATTTAGTCCGCAGAGCTTTGTGCAGCAATCGCTGCGGCGCATGCGCTCCCAGCCTCTGCGCTTCTCCTACAGCACTCGACAGGGTCAAATGGGGCAGGAGGCCAACCTGGGTGCAACCTTAGCTCCGCAACCGGGCAGCGTTTATCAGCCCAGATCAGGGACGGTGCCCATCTACAGCAATCCACCGTCTTACAATTTTGACTTCAACACCCCCCACATGTCGCACGCCCAGAGCTCGGATGCTGCGGGCAATGTGGTGGGCAAGTATTCGTATTACGATGCCGCCGGATATCATGAGCTCAGCTACAAGGCAGGCGACGGCATCGGCTTCGTCGTCATGGACGGCAACTTGGCCAAGTCGAGTGAACAGACCGCTCTGCCCATCGAAGACTACAGCGATTCGTATGACAACGTCTTGACTGCTGCCTCCAATTTAAACGATTTACGAAAGTATCGACGATTTGCTTAAGAACTAAAATAAAAGCAACAACGAACTCTCTAACTGTTCTTCCAGTATTTGTTTGATTAGCTGCTTGTGCTTGTGTTTAAGTTCTTATGGCTTAATTATATGGAGCTACCGGCACTTAACTGTCGTTCGCTATCTACACACGTTCTTAATGAACCGCCTTTATCGCATGTTTGTAGCTCGGATTCCAATTTATTTTCAATTCCAAATTCGAATTTGGATCTTAATTCATCAGTGTTCCGTTGAATATCCCCTCTTATTAAATTGGGCGATTTATTATGTTTTAAATAAATTACAGTCATCAAACGATTTACAACTTTTACATGCTAATTAACAATTCTCTAGCTTTAATTGCTTGCTGGCACGATCCAATTCTTAACACATCAAAAAAAAAAAAAACTTTCGACCCAGTAGCATTTGCTAAAGGGGTCCCGAATTAAGGTTAATATTCAGTAATCAGTATGTGCAGCACAAATCGGCCTGGTTATCGTTAAGTTCATTCGAAACTTAAATCAGAACTTTGCTTTTGTTTTAATTTTTTTCTTGTTTTTATATAACACAACAGTTTTACATTTTTTATTAATGGGACCATGCTTACAGAATTTACACAACTACAAGTTATTTCAAATTTCATTTCGTGCTGAGCTTATTATTGTCTGCTGTGCCTAAAAGTCAAACGCAGTCTAGATAATAAGTATTCATGTAAGGGCAGCATTATTGGTATTTTGCGATTAGGATATTATATTGGTGTATACTGCTTAATCGCTACTAGTCCTGGAAGTTTTATTTAAATTTTAACTCGATTTAAGCTATCTAGTACTTCTTAAGTAATCCGTCTGCCTGTAAGTAGTTGTAGTAGTAAGTAGTTGGCAAGAATAAAGAATATACTAAATCATGGAATTACACTTGGTCTAATTTTTATTCAACATATGTATGTACATATTATTAAAAGTGTAATCAGTGTACCTTTATCAGTCTAACCACTTTTTCAATTGTCGACCTGCCAACTCTTTATAAGGGTGCTGCCAATTTATCTTTATAGTAGCGCAACAATTATTGCATCGATATTATGTCAGTTAGGGAGAAGTCTTGTGTCGCTTTAGCCTTTTCCGCATAATATTTACACTAACAAAGGCAATATCTTTGTTCATTTTTGTCCATTTCTATAAGCTTTATTTAAATCCAATGTATTTTTTACGCCACCATCAAATATAACCCCGACCAATATTTTCCCTTACTAAAAAGTCATATCTTATTGCGTTTTCCTTGTTTATTGACAGCAGCAATATGATTAGAGGAAATGGAAAATAATGCTGTGGCCTATCACGTTATTGAGATTATGTTACGCTCTGATTAATCAGATTTTGAAAGCGACCCTTATGGAGATTGTTTAACAGTTCCTAAACAATGTTAGGTCATTCATCAAGCTAAGGTGAATTTCATTACTGCTTTTAAATATTATAATAGAACAGTGTCTTTAAATAGAGAGCTTCAAGAATAACGACAAAATAAGAAAAAACCTTCTCAGTTTTGTAGGCTAGCAACTGTTGCTATTAATCAACGATACACAGCTATACTGTTTTATGAGATGGCAGTTACATTTTATGCGCATTGCTCCATAAATTGAATTTAAATGCAGCTTGTTAACAATTTGTCGATTGGCGCGTGCTAATGCTAGACCCTTGTGAGCAGCAATAAACTCATTTATAGGCTTTAATTGATTGCTAAGCAATCAAATGTATACATAATTGTTGTTGCGATGGCATACTGGGTTGACAAAATTAGACGTCGGTATGCATATTGACAGAAACTGAACTAAGCTGGAGAAGCTTATTATGCGACAACACGAGTGGCAATTCGATGTGTCCAGCGTCTATGGAGCTGCACAGCATTATAACTGGAATTGAGTCAACACTTTGCGGTATTTCTGTATTTATTTTTTTACACACTGTGGCGCGCGCGCTTGAAATTTGAAATGTGCGCTGCGTGCCCGCACTTGCCAAATAATTTCGTATCGAACGGAAAGCCTTGGCGACTGCACAGACAACATTGTCGTCGTGGCCTAAATAAAAAACTGTCCATTGTGCTATAAAAATAAAACAAAAATGAAAACAAAACAAAGTCAGAGTGCCCCTGTAATGGCAATAAATATTATATTGAGCTTGCAAATATTTTCAAAGTGTTACCCAAGCTTTAAAAATGCTGTCTCAATATTAATTTATTTTGGTTGACTTAAAGTCGACTTTTTGCTTTCAGTTAAAAAATTCTAAATCTCAATTAAAATGTTCACAGTTTATTCTTAGTTTGTTCAGCTTTAATATGCTTACTTGTTTAATTCGTAAAATACATGTTTTACTGATTAATGCTGGGATTTATTAGAAATGTGAGGTTTTATTGTAAAAATTATTTTTTAAATTCTAGATCGGTCGAGAGTTTGGATAATGATGCCATCTTTATCTCAAATATTTCACAAATATAAATTATATACATATAAAATAAATATACACATAAAAGGCGGAAAAATTGCTTGTAAGTTGACAGAATTCACATTCTGATTGAGGAGCTCATTTCTAAACCAAAAATAAAACAATCCGTTTGTTTTGACATTGCTGTTAAGCATTTCTACAATATTTACTAAACATCTAAGAACGTTTAAACACATTTACAGGGTAGAGTGTAAAATAAACTAAGTAAGGGCTCGATTGATGGATGCCCAAATATTCAAAACACCATCTAAAAGGCGATAGTTAAGATAATTAATTGATTAAAAAGTAAATGAAACATATGCAAACAAATGTCGAACAATATCATCAAATAAAAATAAAGTGTAAAACAATATATATGTATATAAATTAATAATTTATATATAAATAAATACATATTCATGACCATAGTTATATTTTCGTTTTCCACAAAGTATTACAAAAATATTTGCTTATTAGTTTTTGCCATGTTTTTTTAAAATCGTTTTGCATTTATTTAAATGTATATTTTCTCTTATTTTCAGCTCCTCGGAAGGGGAATTTTTCAAACAATATTTTTAGATCCTAGAAATCTTGGGTAAGAAATCTTAAACAGTCAGTCCAATTGTTATAATAACTTTCAAAGCATGCTTCAGATGCTTTTAGTTGTTTATTTTCTGCTTTAATTAACATAAATGTCTCACTACAAATTCGAAAAGCTTGATGCCTACTTATTTTGTCGTAGTATTAAAATATACTTTCTTATTTAATAAAATACCATCTGCTTTTTTAAAGATACAAGTATATATGGAATGCAGTCCATCTGTAACGTGTTTTGGAAGGATATACGCAAGCAGCTCCCACCCTAGTGAGTAAATACAAAAAGTAGGCTATGATTTACATATTTCTTTAATGATGATTCAGTTGTTTCTCAAGTCATGTCGTCAGACTTGACTTCTGCTTAGAATACTTAATTGTTGTAAATACATTTATATAAATAGGTTGGGTATTAACTTTTAGTATAGCCCTTGCCTTGCCAGCTAAAGAGTTCCTTGTCATATTCAGTTGCTAATAATAGAATTATACACACGTTCATAAAAAATTTCACTGTCGCATTTAAATTGTTGCCCATAAAATGTACGAAAACAAATTTTCCTTTTAAATGCTTTTAAAACAAGTTAACGCGACGCAAAACCACTTTCTTTAATAATTCATAAAAAAGATAAGCGTGTTGTTGGCACAAATATGCTTTATGTGCTTCAGGGCAGCAGATGAGCATAAAATTCTATGAGAACTCGTCACGTCTACAGCGAAGAGAGATTTTGAGACTGGCCTGACACTCTTGCAACCAACTAAAGTTCACTGCCAACTAATTGCAGTTAGAAGAACACAACAACAAACAGCACCAGCAATAACTTCGGGTTGGTCTGAGAACCAACTCCATAATTGGGTTACTGGCTGCACTGACATGAACAGACAGACTACACATGAATACCATATAACTGTCGGTTGCATTAACCGCAAATAACTTTTATTATATACCATAATACAAGCTACCCTAGTCCCAGCTGCAGGCACAACCCACAATACAACAACTACAACAATTACAGCAACGGCAGTGTAGATTCTGGGCATGCAAGGTAGGGTGTCTCTTTACAAAAACTTAAAACCCATTCAAGCATTTCTTTTAGAATAATAATAAATTATTTATTTCATTTATTATTTGTAGCATTGCATATGAGTGGAATTTTGATCCATTGGAAACTATATATAATTATTCATGCAATACATGCATTATTTGAAGTATGAAGTAATTCAAATTTTCTGACTTATATTCGCTAAGTGCACTGAGTATTATTTAATAATTTGTTTAGTTCTTTACTTTTTTTTTAGCAGGAGTAATAGCGTCTGACTAATAAGTGCTGCAAATCAGTGAATTCCCCGAACAAGTCGGACTCGTTATAAAATAAATGTAATTCTTACGTAAATTTCCAATTGAAATAAATACAATATTTCTTTACTTTAATAATTACCTTATTCGTTAGATGGCTATGGTGAAGGGGAAATTTCTAAAATGCAAACAACAGGATACCTGCTTGTATGGGCGAACTCACACCCTTGGCTGGTTTATACATATCTACAATATTTTAAAGCTTTCTTCAACACACACACATACACCCGGGAAAATCTATCCATTATTTGGGCGCAAAATTAATAAAAATAACAATACAATTCTCGGGTAGACCGCTAGCTTTGACTTGGAAAAGGATCAAGCAGTTATCTAGCATAAGCAATCGCTTAGATAGCCCCTATATTAGCCTGCTAACTGAGGGACAATAATGAAGCCTTAATCCTCTTTAATTTTAAAAGTGCAGTTTTTTTTGTACAGAGCCGGCTAGATCAGCCTTGCTCGAACTCACAGATTAGTACTCTTCCAGGGCCTCAGAAGCTTGAAGGAGACTGGCGGCATACAGATCCCTTTATTTTCAAGAGCATGCTTCTGGGTTAGCTTGTCAAGAGATCTACGGCAGTCACTGATGATTCTGAAGTTGTCTACATTAGTATCAACTGCTTTAACCGCCGCATACGAGTATGTACGTGTACATTGGCCGGCTACCACCTGAGTCCTATGCCCAGATCGGAGCATCAGTCGTAGAATTGGATATAAGGTGTTATTAACACTAAATACTTCATCGCTAATAAAGTAACATTTTCCAATGAAATATGTATAGCAAATGTTTTCGATATACACCAAAAGATGGAGCTTCGACTAGCCATTTAGAAACCATTATCTTTTTTTTTCTAAGAACGGACATCGACTCGTTTTTTAATCCTGATCCGTAATATATATAATTTGTGGGGTCCTTCTGTGGGTACAGGCTATAAAAACCAAAGCTTATGACCCCATCTCCAGCATAACCCAAGTCTTTTTTGCACTATTTATCAACTTGTTCATACTATATTTATCCATCGATATTTCGTGCAAAACTTGCTATATAATGACAGCAAAAAAATTATTTCGCAATTCTCTGGGATCGCCCTAATGCTAAGGTTTGTACGCAGGTTTGTGCCATAAACAACGGTTTCTGTTGCATATGCATGGCGTTGTTATGCTATCCTGTGCCTAGTCGTAGCACGTGAAGGTCAAACTTAATTGGCCAAGTATAGGCAACGACATCGGTTCAACTCACACACACACACATACATATATATATACAAGTATATACATACATACACGCATTCGAGCCCCTCACAACCGTTGGCATGCGGCTGGCGGTTTCTTTTTAAAAATAGGCTTCAAGGTCCCCCAACACACTGCCTGGCTAGCTGGCTGGCTGGCTGGCTGGGTGCCTGACTGACTGACTTTTGCGCTCTTCAGGGCACGCGTTTAACTGTCCGTACAACAAAAACGGCAACAACAAACAGTGCTGTTTCGATTTATCGACTTTTGATGGCTCTATGGTTGCGTTCAGAGTGCGCTTGGGACTTCATTTTATTTATTTATTTTTTAACTTTTAGTGATTTGCAGCTATTTTTGTATGCATCCCAGGTTGTGAGCGAGCCCCGTTAAGACTCGAAACCATAAATCTTGTGGCAATTTTATTGATTTTTGCGTGTGTGGCTTACACTTGGATGTATTTCCTACCACCATTCCGTTTGGGGGCAAGTCTATTATCATCGCCTGCACTCACAGTGCAATTGGTATTAATTTGCCAGCTTAAAGCGCAGTAGCGCACAATTTATCTGCAGGCCATCTAAAAATAAAGGCGCAAATAATCATAAATAATACGATCGTTGACTTTCTGTGTTCCTTGCTGCTCATAATCATGAGCTTGAAAATGTGTCAGTGGGAGCTGAAAATATGTGTACGATTCTCATTGAAATAAATGGCATATTGAAGGCGTAATGAAGACCTACAATACGAATGCCAGCTATAATTTGCAATCGTAGGAAATGAACGAGCTAGGGCGCAAACTTGACTATAAAATTTAGTAAATTATGGTGGCTATGCGGAGACTTGTGATAATCAGAGTATCAAGGCCTTTCTAAAATTATTTCATGTTTGAAGTGGTTTGTTTTTGAGACAGCAATGTCCATTGCCCCAATCTCCATACGATGTTATTCGATTTAGTTGTTGAATGAATCTCATAGAACAATGCATAATTATAAAACTCATCGTTTGTTCTTAGATTCGTTTCTTAAAAATAATACGCTTGATTGTGGTTTCTGATTACCTTCTGGTAGGAAACAGATGTCCCTATTGTAGATTTTTCTTTATTAAGAAAACCAATACAACTTACAATTGATAGCCGAAAGATCATTTGAATTTCTTAAAGAGCCTTTAAAAAAAATAGTATGTATGCATAAGAGATGATCGTCAAATAAATCAATGCCCCGATTTGGAAATATGACATCGATAAATCTTTTTTTACATAAATTTATTGATTTAAAAGAATCAAAAGCAGGGCCAAATAAAGACTTGAATTTTTTTCAAAAGCTAAAGCTGTTCTTGCTTTGCAAAAAAATTACGACAGTTCCATAATCTCCATGATATTATTTCAATGAAAGAATAGTTATTAATTATTTTTTTTTATAATTTTTTTATAATAACGATCAGATCAGACGAGCCTGTATTGCTGGGAATTGCTGTTAATGATGTCTTTACGAGTGGACGTTTGTTTGTTACTCTTTAATCCTTTAAAGCTATTTTCACCACTGACTACAAGTGGCCGAGCGGACTTATATCCGGTGATTGTGCAGATCAGCTTCAGAGATTATTGCAATCTTCACAAATATAATTAATTTTATATACATACATGGCTTTTATTTTGCACAACCTAATCCGTAGTCACAACGAAACCATGACACACATATTTGTTCTTGATAAACGTTCATTACTGCGTTGTCCTGGAACATTTTGTATCCAATCGGAGCATTCTAATGAATAGTATAATGCTAGTGTATCAGACTAGTGAACTATATAAGAATTGCAACACAAAAAGAAAACGAAGGATAGGTTAATAAACTGTGATTTTCTCATTTAATTGTCCAGAATAGTAGTTCTATTTCTGCTCCAGAGTAAATACAAAATAGAAAATTTATGATTATTACCAATAATTTACAAATGCCACTCTTTTAGCGCCTTTTTCAGTATGGCTCTGATGGTTCAAGGCCAAAAATGGTATTAATTTGATCGAAGTTGTTAATTCGCTGGTTGCTTTCTCGTTTGTTTCTTGACTCTTCATTTTTAGGCGAATCACTTCGATAAACACTTTCAATAGGCTCTTTTTCAACCATTTAACGCGAAACAAGTTTGGGTCTTAAGTCTTTCGTTTTTTGCTTGTTCTTCTGTCCATTTTGCGCTAATTGTAATCGCGTTCTCCACTTCTGCCCTCTTTTGACAAAACGCTTCATGTGAAGCGCTGCGCACTCAATCAAGCCAATAAACGACACATTAATCACCGTTCCAGCTCGCACAGTAGCCGAGCTCGCGCCCAGTTTGCCAATCAATCGCCTTTTAACAAGCTAACGCGAAAGAACAAAAAAGTGGTTTGCAAGAATTACGAGTATGTTTTAACAAGATGCTTATCAAGAATTTCTAACACCTTGATGCATGAATATCAATTTTGAATGGACTGTTATTTGGCCAAAACACAAACATAGCGATGAGTAGGTTGTGTAAGCTAGAAAAGCGAACTGCTCATACACGTAGATGCCCGGCAGCTGATAAGCGAGGCTTGCCAAGGCGCCTGAATACGTGCCGCGCACGCAAGTTTCTCTTAAGTGGCTCGGCGCTCTCTGGCTGCCCAAAACGTGCCAACTCTTACACCTGCGGCTTAACTTGGCCATTTCTTTGGGGCCACATTGCTATTGCTATTGCTGTCGTCGTCTCCGTCTCTGTCTCTGTCGCAGTCGCTGCTGCTTCTGCTTCTGCTGTCGCCTCTACCCGTTGCGCATTGCTAATGAAAATGTTATAAACAGCAACGCTGGGCCGTCGCACGAATCAGTTCATCTGCTGTCGCTGCCTGGTCTGGTTCTAGAGGTGTGTTACTCCTCTCTTCATCCACTCAGTGCGTGTGTCCGTGCGTGTGTGCTCCTTCTGAGCCAAAAGCTACAAAGACATTTATCGTTCTCTACTCGACAGTGCAGTGCCTATAGATTATACAAAAAAAGAAGAACAATCTCATACAACTGGCGCTTCAAAAGGATTCTCGTTTTGTGTGTGCGTGTGTGTGTGCGTGTGTGCCTCTGTTGTTCTTCTTGTTGCTGTTAATTGCAAACAGATATAGCCGCGTGATAACAGTGCATTTATTTCATTCACAGTTCAAGGACGCTGTGAAGGCTGCTTTGCTGATTGCTATTTGGCCAGAGCAAAACGAAATTAACTTCGTTACTAAGAATCACACACAAAAAAAAAGACAAACAAAAATGCGCTTTTTAATTGTAAGTAATAAAATAAAATACAACCATGGTGTAAAGTGGACAAGAAACTAGTTTAGTTTTGTGTGACGACGACAATTAATTGCCGAGTTGCCGTTGAACTCATTAAGCGTCTATCAAGTTCGTGACTTAAGTCTCTCGAATTAAATTCTTTCGCTCGGCCGTGCTGTGCTGCTTTGAACTTTCACTGCGTGACATCGCGCCAAATTAGTTCTTTACCCATTTATTTTTTTGGCGAGAGCTAAAATCTATGCAAATATTGAGAATGAGATTTATGATTTGTGTCGGCTTTAAGTTAATAAGGAACCAATTTTCGAATAAAACGATTATGCGAGTTTTTTTCTTCGTGGAGCTCTAATTTATTGCTTGATATATTGGGGAAGTGGAAAACAGTTGAATTTTAACGTTAGATTTGAATTGTTGCTATGATTCTTAGTTTCTTTTTCATTTCCTTAATAGTTACAAAGATGCCAAAAGATAAATTTACATATCATTTGCATATACGAGCTAAGCTTAGTTGGTGGGTGGACATAGAAAGTAAATCAGATTTGTTATCTATAATAATATGTGAATAGTACTAGATATGTTCTTTCTTAATGTGGGAGTAATGAGACTTCTACTGTTGAAAAAGCAGTGTATCAAATATCTATAAGTTCTACACTTTGAGTTGAAATATCGGAAATATTGAAGAGAGATCTAAATATAACTCGTTCAATTTTTTTTATCATCCTAGCAACAAAATGTTCTAAAAATCTAACATTTCTTGGAAATTTTGATGACAAAAGTGCAGAGAAGACATATTGTTGAAACTCACATTGTTGAAACGCACATCTTAGTTTTCACCTGGAAGTGTTGTCGTTGAAGGTCAGAGAATAAAGCTCTGCTTTGAAGAATTACTTTCATTTTTTAACAAAATATAAAATAATATTGAAGAAAGCCTACAAGTAATTGTCATTTAAATAAGCAATATTAAGCCATTTCATAATATGGAAAAAAATAAAAATATGTTAATTCTGAAACCAAAAAGAATTAAGTTTTTTTGCAATATAAAATTTTCCATAGTAGGTTCAATTTATTTCAAAGCTGTGTTCAACAAACTCTGCTGGATTTTTTAAACAAATTAAAAAACTTTAATAAAACAACTAAAGATCATAGGTTCCCTAAAACGTTTAACTAAATTCCACAAAGTCAGACCTATCTAAATGTCCTTTGACGATGATATTTGAAATATTCATTACATATAGAACATAAAAATAAATATGATTTTTTACAGAATGTATTCAGAACCTAAGACAGTCACATTCCAAGAGCCGATTATCGATTTGCTATTAAAAGTGAAAATTATTACGCATGGTACATTAGCACACGCGCCTCTGGACTCATCATATTATTGACGACTGATGCATTATTCATGCTTCCTTCCAACAAGCCCTTAAACGTAGAAGTGCGTCAACTTGGCAGCCAATTCAAAAAAGAAAAAGGAACAATTTTATAATTTTGAAATATGACACACAATTAAATGCCCAAAAGTTCAGTTATGACTTCATTATTCAATATGCCTACAAGGCAATCAATATTCCAGCGACGTCAGAGAAGCATGCGTAGGCTTCATAATTGTAGACAAGAAGCATATTAATAATTAATGCCAAGGAATGCCAGAAGTTCTTTTGGAAGAAAGACTCTGGATGACAGCTTTTGAATAAAGTTTATTATCAATAATACTGCATAGCAACGATCTCTACATTCCTACAGCGATTTACATTATAGATTAAACATCATTAAATTTCAAATGGCAGTGGAATGTGACAATGTTTTATTATAATTTTTTTATCAATAACACCATATTCTTTATGACCGTATTATAAACTTCTTGTAGAACCAACATCCAACTGCTTTCAACTTAGCAATCAATCGCAGCTCAATAAAAAGTCTGCAGATTAAAGAAAACAACCCGCTGCGTCTCTGTAATTCATTTTATCTGCAACAGAACAATCTTAGACTCCAAATTTGTATAAAGATGACCGCATAAATGTTTGTGGCCTGAGTATTTTCAGCTATTAAGCATTTTATTTTCAAATAGAATATAAATTAAGACAATGAAAGGCTGTGTAAACTTCGCGCGTTCGAATATTAACCCAGTTTTATTTTTGGACAAGCGCCCGGATTGAAACACACCCAGAACGAGGAATGGTAATGGGAATGGGAACGAGCCCAGGTTTCGAACGTGTGCCGAACGTGGGCTTTTGTTTCGAGGCAGAGCCGTAAAGAAAACGAAACACAAGTAAATGGCTGAGACAAAAGAAAGCAGACAGAAATACATCTTTGCCATAATACCTATAAAGCACTCAGAACAAAGTCTATTAAATAAATAAAGACAGAAATCTTGACAAAATGCATAATGCGTAGAACAGCTTGCAAATACAAAAAATAAATAAATATGAGTGAAAAAATCGAAGCTGCTTTGAAGATCGTTTAGAGTTACACATCATCCGCGCAAACACACATACAAATACACACTCGCACATGCACACCTTGTGAGCGTTTTCGGATTCGTAACAGCCGCTTATCGAGCGCGAGAAATGTTTGGGACCACCTCTAGGTCAATGACTTTCTTGCCATTCCGCCGGGGCAGTGACAATTCCGCTTTGATGGATGGGCCAGCGGTTGCGGGCGGGCATTGTTAGTGGGCTTGTTCTTGTGTGAGTGTGTGTGTTTGTGTGTGTGCTGGGGCTAACGGTTGACGTAGATTGCGTAAATATTGATCTTGCAGAAATAACATGAAGCCGAAACCTCCAGAGAAGTAACAGAAGAAGACGTTGAAGCTGACGCCGAAGCAGGGCAATAAGTTGGAGGTGGAATCGTTTCGAAGTTGCGCAAATATTTATTGAGCGTGTCTGAGCTTATTGATAATCAGTTGAAGTGGCGGTGAAAAGATGCTGGAGGCCAGAACCTGGCAATCAGGCCAACAACAGTACGTGCGGCTCTCACTTTTTAGCGCGCTGTTCAGCGCTTACAAAAATTATGCAAATGCCAACTGACAATCTGACAGGTGGAAGAGCTGCAGGAAGCTTAGAAAGGCTTTCATGCTCGCAAATTTGTGCTTGACCGCATTCTTCTTCTGCCCTGTCATCATGCAAATCTACGTGTGTGGGCTTGATTTTCTGCATAAGGTTCCACAACACTATGCAACACAATATTGAGCCCCAACAATAACGGAAAATGCTATTTCAGCTAAGCATATTTTTGAACTATAAGGGAACTAAAATCTTTTTTTGAAGGCAAGAGTTTTTTAATGAGAATGCTTTAGCCAGCGAACGTGGTATGCAGAGGAAAACCTACATCGAAAACATTATATTTTGGCACCGAAAAGTTGTATTTTACCCTCCAGACTTGATACAGTTTAGTTTGTCCTAAGTGACTGATTGGCGATCAACGCACAGCCCAAACGGTAAATGCTAGGAAGCCGAAACTTACACATGTGTCCTTTCACAGTGAAAGTGAGTGGGAAATTCGAGCTCCAAAGGGGTGAAAACGGACTCCAACGTTTGTATGAAAATTCTGATTAATCCGATCGGTTTTTTGCTATTTTTTTCTGGGGCCTAAATTATAGGCATTTTCCCGTGGAAATAATAAGAGCTACGAAGCTGAAATTTGGACAAAAGTCGTCATTTATAGGGTAGGTGAGCACTGCGAATGGGAATCACTGGAGAGGGCGCCCACAATATTTTAATTTAATTTATCTGAAATTTCACAATTTTATTCCACAATATCATTATTTAATTTTTCGGAAATTTCACAATTTAATTCTCGATTTGCCAGCGCTTAGGTACTTGGTATGAGAATCGCGGCGTAAATATTATTATTTAATTTATCAGAAAATGCACAATTTAATTCCACCAATTTATTATTTAATATTTTATATTTTCACAATTTAATTCTCGATTTGCCAGCTCTTAGGTACTTGGTATGGGAATCGCAGAGGAAGGCGGCGAAAATATTTGTATTTATTTTTTATATTATTATTATACATAGAGCAAGTTTATGCGTCTTTTATTGTACTTCTGAAGTCGCACTGACACAACTTTTTAACTAATTTCGGTGTATTAGTGCCTAAGCAGTGTTTTTGAGAAAGCAGTTCAATGGCTCTGAAATCTACATATATTTATTTATTTATGGGCTAGCTTAAAGTTAAAACTATAAGCTAACAGAGGTTTATAGCCTGGCTACCAGGGCCTTAAGCTACGATAATTAAATATAAGCAATGAAACAAATATAAATTCCTTCTCAATTTCTTGCATTCTCTAAACATCTAAAAAATAATATTTTTGATTTAATTTTGCAGCTGTCAACACTCCTGCTGGCATCGCTGGCGGCCAGCCAGGCTCAGAATGTCGAGTAAGTATAGAATATTATTATTTTTGCCTTGCCTTGCCTTGCCTTGACTTATCTTGCCTTGATTTGTGAATGCTGTGTCATTGCCGTAGAAATAGTATCGCATGATTACCAACAACAAAAACAAAAACAACAACAACAACTACTACAACAATTGTGAAATGCTAGAATTGTGAATTGTGACTAAAACCCTGTGACTAAGCTCTCATGCATACAATAACTAAAAGCTCACCCAATCGTAATCCTCATTAGACTATTAGTAGGCAGCTAGCTTTCGTATGAATACAATACAAAATACAAATACAATAAATAAACAATACCATACCAATAGAAAATCCAATTCGAAACACCAACAAAAACAAACCTAAATTTCGTTTACAGAATTGAAAAGCAAAGGCTGATCAAATTTCCCGACGATTTCGATCCCAGCGAGCGCCAACCGTCCGACACATTGCCCAAGCCCGACAAGGTGGACGAGGCCAAACGCATACTCGAACAGATAGCCAAGGTGAACGAACAGTTTGGTTATGTGAAGAAACAGCCGGAAAAGCCCAAACTACCGCCCATACTCGACTCGAGTCAGTATTTATTCCCCAAGCCCGCCTATCAGCCCTTCCATGCGCAACAGCACCATTTTCCGGGCAGCAACGGGCAGACCCTGCTCGAACCCTCGATACGTGCTGTGAAGCTGACGCGTGACGGGCTCCTGGCCTACAATGTGCCGCCCAAGGTGGGTAACCCGGCCAAGAGTGAGAGCAAAAAGGAGAAGCCCCCACAGCTATATTACCGCCCCAGTCAGGTGCTGGTGCCTGCGCCCAGTTCTCCGGAAGAGGTCAAACAGTTGCCCGCACATTTCGCCATTCCCGTCCACTTGTATAAACTGAATAAGGAGCAGTATTTGAGGGAACATGCACCGCAGGAGTATCGCGTGAAGGGCTACAAAATCATTGGCGATGTTGATAGTTTTTACGGCAAGGCCAAGTCTATTTCCCAGCGGGGCAAGAACACGCCCAAGTATCATCTATTCTTTTTGCCACGTGAGTTGGCGCTCAATGAAGATGGCACGCTCAAGAATGGACCTAGCAACTCGAATAGCACCACAACCAAAGCACCGCCGCCCTCAACTAGTCCTCCCCCAACTATCAGCAGTGCTAAGGAAAAGGAGTCCCGCTTGGAGGACAGCAATAACAGAGAGAAGCTGTCGGGTCGTCCGTACCGCGTGCAAGCTAGTGCCTCCAGCAACAGCGCTCAAGACGCCCACAGCCAACATATAAACACCCAGGCCCAGCTCCAGAGCAATCGCAAGCGCATTAAGCCATTGCGGAACAAGGAAACCCAAGTAAATGCCATGGCCCAACAGTCGCTGGCCGGCGGCGGCGTGGCCACGCTCTCCTCCAACATCAGAATAACCCCAGCACCGAGTCATGCTGTCAATGCTCAGTCGCAGGCACAAACAGCAACGGCATCCGCATCCCAAACCAACGCCAATCCCAATCTGAGTCCCAATCTTAATGGGGGCGTTGAACAACTGATGCCCACTCGTAATCGCTTGAATCCATTTCGCGTGACAAACATCAATTTGGCCGACATGCAGAATCAGACCTCGACGGCCATAAAGAATGCATTCCAGAACATTTTCAAGTTTCCCTTTCGGCCAGCCACTGCGGACCAACAAGCTGTGACTGCAGCATCACCTGCAGTGATGGAGAGCGTGCCGCTCCAGTCGCCTCATCAGGCACTCGCACATCCCGGCCCCATGCAGCCCTTCTACACCATCGGCGCTCAACAGTACGATTACAAGTGGGACGATGATCAGGAGGGTGCGGGCGATGGCAGCAACAGCAGCGCCAACGAAGACGACACCATCGAGCAAGTGGACAATAATGCCGCCGAAATCGACAGCAGTATGTCGGCTGAGAAGCATCTGTTCGCGCACAAGGCCCAACACTTGATGCACAGTGTGGGAGCATTGGCCACAGCCCATCATGGCACCCAGAAGCAGGCTCTGCGCGAAGGCGGCATCATCATACAGCGGTTGAAGGTGCGCAAGGGCGGCATAGCGATAGCGGGTCCAGGGGGCGTGGCTACTGCCGGCAGTGGCGGCACAGCGATTGTCGGCCCCGGCGGCTATGCGCTCACGCATCCCCGTAGCCTAACGATTGCTGGTCCCGGTGCCAAAGTTATAGCCATACCAGCCGATGTCGATCTTAAGAACGCACTACAGCGCACAAATCTCGAGGCTAAGAGCTTTCCCCGCGAAGGTAAAGTGGTCGCCACTGGTCCTACAGTCTATTATGCGCCGCCCACGGGCACGGACTACGGATTAGAAGAGGAGGAGGAGCCACAGTTCCAGGGGCCGTTTGAGGCTTGAGTTCTCTTTACGTTTTGCATAAGCTATATACGTTTATACGTTGTCGAAATTCATGAGTTCTGATTCACCAAACGGGCTTAGGCATTGTTGGTAAGCGGCTTCATAAAAATGAAACTACGAACAATGCATGTTCGATAAAGTGGACAGTCAGCTTAGTATCCCAACACACCCGATATAGCACTACTTTTCAAAACATTCCTTAAGTTGTTCGTCATTTTAATTGACTACTTTACAAGCTAATATTTATGTTTGCGGTATCTCTTTAAATTATTGAAACAAACTAATTTTTAGTTGTATCTCTTTAGATTATTGAGGCAAACCTTTTTTATGATATAGAATCGAGTTAACAACATTTTCATATAGCCGTTAACTATAAGGTAGAGCAAAAATGTGTTAATTTCAAATATAACAACAAATTTTGAGACCCCGAAAAGCTTTTCTTTCTTATTGGAGTAGATTTTTTTTTAAGAGTAAAAAATAAGATGTTTTGTTGACCCCATCAGTAGTTGATTTCGAATAGCTTTATTTTTGAGAGTAAAAATAATATCCTATTAATAATCTTCAATTTATATAAGGCTCTTTAATCGGATTATTTGTATACGCACTATTTTGGGTTATATGAAGAATATTGCTCCAAATTCATAGATTTATTGAATCTTATTAGATTTTGTTTTTGAACATTATTTATTAAGAAGTTCGGAAATAGAGCTTGCGGAATTGTATAGGAAACAACAGATGAAATTGCTATAAAATATTAAATACTGATAAATACTGACTTTGAAAATATTTTCATTTTTGCGCAGTTTAAGTTCCTTTAAATCAAATTACAAAAAAGATAAGAATTTGAAATACGTCTGATATTGTAAAAGCATTTAAACATTTATACAGGTATCCCATATATACAAAAGCATTTTCAAATGTAGTTTCTAAATAACGTCCACTTTTTCGACCGTGCACTGTACAGACTTGATTACAAGCTCATTTACCCCTTCTTTGCCTTAATTTGGAATCAAATTTATGAATTTTGGACCCCGTAAGCATGAACGTAATAATTTGGCAAATAATGATTTAAATCTTTTGTGACTGTTAGTATTTTTTTATTTTACCAACTAAGTTCGACAATAAATGTTTGTATTGTGTAATTTGTGCATTGCTTTCATCTTGTCTTTAATGTACGAATCCATACATATGTATATAGAAAACAGACACACACACACACATTTATCTTTTGTGCATACACCACGCCCACTAATACTCACATACATACATTTGCATGCCTGGCCACACTACTAACAAGTGCGCATACCTATTCCGTTAACCTACTTCTGTATATATGTAATTTGTATAAATCAATCTCTCACTTTTCCTATGCTTTCCACCTCCTCTACTCCTTCACCTCGAACCCATCCACAAAATCTGCAACACAAAGTCCACATTGGCGCCTCGCAAGTTACGAAACTTGGCCGCTACGCCAAACGCCATTACTGACCTATGCAGCGCCTGCCCCCGCACCAGCAGCCGCTGCCGCACCCACGCCCGAGAAGCTCCAAGTTGCTGCTCAGTCACAGACTCAGCCAGAAGAGGCTAAGGAGCAGCCAGTGTTGCCAATCGGTGCATTTTATCAAGCTCCTGCTAAGCTCCTGCTGCTGAACTCGCCGTATTTTGCAGCCTACAGTTTGCCTCTGGCTTATGTGGCGCCATCTAACGTTCAAGCTGAGCTTGCGACAACAACAACAACCGTCAAGCCCGCAGCCGGCGAAAAAGAAGACGAAGAAATACGAAAGCTAGAAATGGAGATTGAAACGTTGCAAAAGCTTCAGGCTGCCGAGTCACAGAGCCAAGACACAAACCCAGCGGCGGGAGATCTGAAGAACGATGTACGTTTGCGCGCAGCCATTGGAAAAATAAATCCGAACTATGTGATCGAGGAAATTGTCACAGTGCCGGGCAAACATGTGATCTCCAGCACATCACTGCAACGATTGCGCATCGAGAACCAAAGACTGCTCGCAAGACAGGCACAACCTGCCAAGCTACGCAAGGCTGGCAAAAAAGTTCGAGTAGTGCCACCCGTTAAGGTGGAGGCCACAGGACGCACTCGCACATCGGGCAATGTGCCACAAATACCCTTCGGCACATACTTTCTGCCCTACCACAGTGACCAGGCACAGGCCATAAATGGACGGAAACAGGCTGCGCTCATACTGGAGCCCCACTCCAAGGCCGTTGTAGGCAATGGTGGCACAGCCATTTCCACCCCAATTTCGAAGGCGCTGCTAAAGAAGGGAGTGCCCACAAATGTCTACTTTAATCCCGAGTCGGTGGCCATAGCGGGCGTGGGTGGCAAGGCGCATGCGGCAGCCGATCTGGAGCTGGACTTGTTCAACTGAGCGAGCCACTGGGCTAGGGTTCTTGACATATAGCATAAAGTCCATTCAGAGAGCTAATCAAACTATTTGTTTAAAAGTATTTATAACTCATCCTACATTCTTTTGTGATCAAAGCTCAACTTTTAATCGACCCTTTTACAAATATTACGAATAGCCATGTGAATTTAATTTAAAAGTATCAAGAACCCTTCCCAAAGCTCGGCGTGCCAATCGAGGCCAGTAAGCTGCTAAGTGAAATTAAAATCCGTGTCATGTTTAGTTGTATATACCCATAAAGAAATAAATTAGTGAACCTGTGTAAGATATAACGCTTTGTAGTCGCTATCATCGCATCAACTATTATGCCACCATGTAGTCGTAGAAGGTTTAATTTTGTATCCATAGCTTTTTTCCCCTATTTTTTCTCATCTGTAAGTTGCACACAGTTTCATGGCAAACTTTTTGCTTCAATGAAGTAAAGGCGTCTTTGGAATTGTCCCCAAAAGCAAATTTCAAATAATTGTGGAATAATGCAAAAGATCTGTAGAAACATCAAAACCGTCTTCATAAGATTAAAATGAAACCCATATTGTCAAGTAATAAAGTAAAGAAGATCATAAAATCTTCTCGAAAATTAATCTAAGAATAATGAATGCGAACTAGCAGTAGAAGTATCGATTTCCTTTTATAAAGATTTTGAACCTTTTTTTCGTTTTTAAACAATTTCATCAATAATTTCTTGATTCAAACAAAGAATCAAATGATTGTTTTGGTTAAAAATTATGTTTGAAAGAACAAGGCATCCTAAGGCTCCTTAAAACCTTTTTAAATCGTTTTTGAATTAAATGAAATTAATCAAAAAATTAGTATAGAACCACTCGAGTGAACTTGATTCCCTATATGAAAAGAACTATGCATCCTTAAGCTCCTTCAAACCTTTTTAAATTGCTTTGAATTAAATGAAATTAAGAAAAACATATCAGAATATCATATCAGATTAGTATAGAACCACTCAAGAGAACTTGTTTCCCTATATGGAAAGAACAATTCATCCTTAAACCTTTTCAAATTGCTTTTGAATTAAATGATATTAATACAAACATATCAGAATATAATATTAAAGTATAGAACCACTCAAGTGAACTTGTTTCATAAAAGGAAGACCCTTCAGATGTTTTGGATCTTTTGCATGCTTGAAAACAGGACATTGGGGACAATTTTTGCAAACGTTTAAAGCTTAAAACACTTTTGTACATAAAATTTATGTAACTTCTACCCATGCCCGCCTTCCCAACTGCCGTTCCCTAGACACAGAGCTTTCTCACCGATCATCTTTGAGGAGTTTCCCTATTATGGAGGCCTGCGCGGACAGTCGTTGCAGCTGCGCGGCGACAACGATGGCAGCGTTAGGAGCTACATTTTGAATTCGCAACAGCATCGAGCACAGCCGCGGGACTCGGATGATACCATTAGTATAGCAGCTGCCAGTATTTCGGCGACTGCGGATGATGACGGTTCTAGCTCGATCTCGGGCGACGCCACTGTTGGTCACTTGCCAGCGTCGCTGCCGCATGACTTTAACAAAATCCAGCTGGCCGCCGCGCGTCTGGTGGCCATACAGGAGATGGCCAAGCGCAAGGGCTCCTTCAGCGATGAGGATAACAAAATCTATGCCAGCAGTCTGCTAGAGTTGGGGCAAGCAGCACAGAATCTGGCACTGTTGCAGCAGACAGGACAGATCAAGGATTTCAGCGTCTTGCTGCAGCCTGAACTGCTGGGTGGACCGCAAAAGAAACCCTCGAACCTTGGATTGGAGGCCAATAATGTGGCTGATCACAAAATCGATGAGCAAAAGATTGAGGAGCCGGTCACAGAACAACATTTCGGACCCGGCGATTTTCTGCCACCCAACAACGAGGACCCCTATGAAGACGTTAACGATAGTGTGGCCATCATGGCACCCAAGAAAGATGCAGCTGTGGCCGAAGCGAAGCCAGTCGGTAAGTCAGGAAAAGTATTTTCAAATACTAACTGTGTTTATTTAAAAAATTCTGTTACTTCCGTTTAGGTCTATCCATAGCTGGCGAGGGCGGAGTGGCCTCTTCCAAGCCAAATGCTGTAGCCCTCTCCGGTCGCAATGGACTGGCCGTCGCCTCACCGAAAGCCACAGCCATTGCCGGAGTCTCGCCCGAGGAGGCAGCTGCCTTCAGCATTTCCTTGCCCTCTCGCAACCAATTGGTCATCAAATCCCCGAACTTGGCGGCGGACAAAACCACGAATGACGACTACGACTACAGCGACATCCCTGCGGTTAATTTCCCGCCTAGCCGTGAATCGCCTGCCCGGCCCCGACTGCCCGTCCACTTCGAGGGCAGCGATGCATTGGTGCAGAAATGGCGCACTGCGATTGCCGAGGAGTATGCGGCACGGAAGGCAGATAAGCCTTTGATTAGAGCGCCAATCAAGCGACGCTTGCATTCAGAATAGATTTAGAGATTTCACTAATTTTGAGATTGTATTTATATGCTCTATAAATTGTACGCGTAACTTTTGTGCCAACTTTTTCAGATTGCCAATAAAAGTTTCAATATTAAATTAACTCTTAACTTATTTGTGTTAAATTCAATTTAAAATCTCCAAACAGACGAGCTGCAATCTAAACTGCATTATGTGCTGTATATAACTAAGTTTTCTAGAGATTTTCAGTCGCTGACTACAATCGAAGGTTTTCTAAAAATACACTATTCACTCACCACCCAGGTTAGGATCTCAGTTTTCTTTACTGCCGACACCAAATCATGCGATATTTAACCAAAAAGAATACAGAAGTGTAGTTGTAAAAGGATCATTAAATACCTTAGACTAGGGTTTCACAAACGGACGACTGACGTCGACTAAAGCTAGTAAGTTAGTTCGCTGGTTATCCAGGGGAAGATACTGACACGATTAGTAGAATAACGTTATGAAAACTGAATATATTGAACATCTAAAGGACCAAGAATTAATTCTCAAGCTCACATACATATGTAGCGGATATTTTTTCGAAGTTAAATGAACTTAATTTGTATTTGCAAGCATTGAACGGAACGGAAATTCGAAAAAGTTCATGCTGTGAAAGAATGGTATTGAAGTGTCTGCAATTTCCATTTGTCACTGTTAAAATTGTTGTAACCACTATTTCAGTGAGAAGATGAAAAAACTCGACTTTTTGAATTGAATTTGTAATCCATTTCAAGACCACCTACCAGCTGGTATGTCAACAAAAGGAAGTAAAGAATTAACTGATATATCAGAAGATTCTTCAGTACAAAATAGTTTCAGTCGTAAGCAATTAATGAACTTCTGGCTCTCGGTTTTTTGATGTTCTATGAAAATGCTCCTCCTAGACCGGATTTTCTAATATGGCTAACATTAAAACTAAATACCAAAATAAATTGAACTTATCAAACTCACTGCGACTAAAAGTAACTCAAAAACTGTTACAGGAAAACAATTTTAGTGCTTATATAATAAATTGTTAAGCTTTGTTATTTAAGAGGTATTGTATAGTATATTGGTAACGGTTGCTTTTCTTAGAGGTGGGTCCCAAATTGGTAAACTTGTATTGGATGGGTCCTAGCCCAGACAACTTTGGATCAATACATCGGAATGTTTAATAAATCCAAGTACACCCTTAGCCTTGTTCACAGTAGGGATGTGAAGAGTCATATATGTTTCAATGGAACATTTTCCATCACGTAAATGGAGCATAGTCCGATGAAAGGTATTGAAGTCCAGACGCTTATACCGAAGAGAATCTTAGTTTGATAAAATACCTTTTACAGCATCAGCATACAGAATCTGATAAGGTTAAGAAGAGATCGTCAATAAATTAAATAAAAAACGCAAAGCCAAGACTTTGAGGCACACCATTTGCCTATTACATAAACGGGCTTAGAAATATTCGATGCTGAGACAATCCAAAACAAACAAGCGGAGGAACATCATAAAAAAAACAAACTTAAAGAGCACAAGGTCATAGTTCAAAGAGTCAAATGCTTCACTGAAGTCGCAGTACATGGATAACATCGGTTTGCTTTTTTAATAGGAATGCATTATTTTGTCGTAGTACTATGCTTTTCCATATGCGAAGAAAAACAAAATTTAGAAAGAGTGTATCACATATCATGAAGAATCGTACCCAATGCGCTTCGCTTCAAAAAAGAGATAAAGTAGACATTAAACTTACAAATTAATGATAATATTACAAATTAATGATATTTCTAACGATTTATAACATATCAACTACTTATAATTCTAATAATTATTAAACTTATTCTGCTCTAACTGATTAACAACGATCTACTGATTATTTTTTAGTTAATAGGCAATTGTTTTGAGCCCAGAAATGAAGGAAAAGTATGGAATCTCAAACAAAGATTGCGAATAAACATTTATAGGTATGTTTAAGAACTCTGCTCCCATCATACTTTGTCGCTGAAGCATTTGTTTATTTAATAGCATTTCAACTAGTGTGTAAAGCTGGATTTTTAATACGTTTTGCACAATTAGCAGAAAAATAGCATTAGAATTACAAAAAATATTCTAAAAATCAGACATAAATTACAGATTCAAAAGAGTGCAAGAGAAAATCTGTAAATCTTGTACGCGTAGTACAAGGGTAAGCATGTTTAAAAATTACAATAAATTCAACTCATTCGAAAACCACACTCAGATCAGAAAAGCCAAAGAAAACCCTGTGCCTTCTATTAAAGAGAATTCAAAATTAACCATAAAAAGGATTGACGTGCTCATGCAGGTGTGGCTCACACCATTATCTGCATCTTCACTCTAACCCGATTGAAGAGCTTGACAAATTCGCATCTCAGCATTATCAATTCCAACCCGTTTTACTTGTAGATGGCTTTGCATTTCGATGGTCAATAAAGTGGGCTGTCGATTGCCAGAATGTACCAGTTTCCGATCGTTAATGCTGTTAGACTAGCCTAGATCTTTCCAGAAGACGCTTACCACTTCAGGTAGGAAGTCATGCTCATCCCTTTTGGTTTTATTGAAATTACTTGAGTGAATCCGTTTGAATCGTGTTAATTGAACGCCGGCCGGCCATTGAACTCAATGTTCAATGCGTTTGGAAATTTGTGTTGCCTGCCAGCAGGCGTTCCCACAAGCCATGTACGAGTGGACTGGAAGCATTTGAATGCTACAGAAGGAAGTGATTTGACTTTAGAACAAAAATAAATTCCACGAGGAGAAAAGGCGATTGAGGCACAAAATATGGCAAGCATGTGCAAATCTTGATTAATCTTTTCCGCCAGCAGGCAGAAAAATATAAATTATCCACTCGTATAGCATGGAGCGAGTGAGCGGCCAGAGCCAAAGCCAGAGCCAGAGTTAAAACCAAAGCCAAAGGTATTCAATTTGCACCTGAACCAGTTTGTTTGTATGCACGAGCATGTATGGCCTCCCTCTTGATCTTGGCCATGCATTAAGCCAGCGATTGTGGCTCTGGTTGCGCTTGACTTCTATTACGCGAGCGCACAGGTTTAACAAACTCTAGAACTTGACCAAGTCCAACATGAGTTCGATGGCGAGAGGTATCAAACAACAACAAAAACAACAAGAAGAATAACAAGAAGAGCAACAACATCATCTACGATGACCATCTGCCAGTGGTAAGTGCAACAATAACAACCACACATTGCAGCAGCAGAGCTGAAGCCAGAACCCTCAACAAGTACTCGTACTTCTTGTTCAGAGCAGTTCTGCCAGCTTTGGCCAACAGCTTAAGCATTTACTGCCTGCTTTTCATGCTCCTTTTGCTCGCTACGCTATCTAGCTAAAGCCTGTCTGTCCGTCTGTCTGTCCGTCTCTCTGTCTGATTGCTTGTCTGTCGATCTGTCCGCTTGCCGGCATGTTTTTGCTCTTTTCCTGCGGGAAGCTGCACATTTTCAACGTTGTTTGCTGCATTTTTTGCTCGCTTTTGTCGTTCTTTGTTCTTGTGGTAGGTCAGTTGATGGCGACGGCGACGGCGCACGTTATAAAAGGCCATGGCCATGGACTGTGAGCCACCAGTTTCCTTGAAGTGGTCGCCGTGTCAAGACTGAAGTCTGCAGCAGTACATACATACTCGTAAACAGTTAGTACCTACCTAGTTATCATCTAACTTCTATTTGTGCCAAGCAGTTGTGGTAGCAGCAGCAGCCGTCAAGTGTCGCTCGTTCTCTTGTGATATTCTTGTACCAACTCTTATAGTGGCCATAAAAGCGCAACAACGACCCACAAAGTACTTACAATAGCTGTTGGAAAGTGCCAATAATAGAAGCCACGTCTTATCAAAACTAGCAAAACAAAAAAGCCACAAAAGGTAAGTTCTGTTCCTTTTTTTAACCTAATTGATTAGCTCTTTTGCTGTGGGCTGGTGAATTAAATTGGGGTTAAATGTCAAGTTTGTTGGCTCCATTTCTATGTTAGCTGAACTCGGAATTTTAGAAAGTTTGCAGTGTGCAGTCATTTGGCACAGAAATAGGCGTAGAAATGCTGAACTAGTTTTGTAATTGACTATTAATGTTAGCTAAAGAAAGAATGTAGGGACAAAGTTGCCGCAGAAGGAAGATATAGATCAGTGTTTTACCATTTAAGAGTGGGGTTTGAAAAAGATTTTAAAAGAAAGTATTTTGTGGAAAGAATTCTAACAAAAAATTACTAATAATAAACAAGAAGCGTAAAGGGTTTGATTTGATTTTTCAAGGCAAAGGTTTTCTATAATAAGAACATTTTCTCAAATGTTATTTAATGAAATTTTGATAGATTATAATGGATCGAAGTTTTCGCATTTAGTTCCAAATAACAAACATATTCAAGAAAAAAGCAAACTAAGTTAATTTTCCACTATTATAATGCAATTAAATTATAATCAAATCGGAAATTTTCTTTAATGAATAGATTTGAAAGCAAAACTTTGGCCACAAGCATTTTAAACCAAACTTTAACACAACTACTTAGTTGCTGTAAATGAAATAAAATTTACCCATTCACTCCGCAACAGTTTTTAAAGTAAATTCATGTTATTCTTTGGGATCTTAATAAAATAGAGACGTTAGCATATACTGAGACATAATTAAAAACTTTCATAGTAAGAGTGCGTTAATTGTTCCTATGGCAGTTAAATGAGAAATGAGTAAATTAAAAGGCGGAAGAATAAGATAGGTCTGGTTTAAAAGTTTTCGAGACATCTCTCTACTCTTTCTATCCCCGGTTGCATATATTTTGACTTTTTAGTATGTTGTGGGTAGAAAAACAATTAAACAAAATAATTAATTATATTTCGACACATTTGTTTCTGTCTAATTCTGAATGCTACATGTCCACGAATAATATTTAGTTTATATTTTAAAGGCTTTTACAACTTCTACGTATATTTCCAAAGTTAAATCTAAATCTAAATTGAAACCAATAATAAAATCTATTGCACAGTATGTGTGAAGAGTACTCAGTAAGTACTTAAAAAATGTAGTGTAGAGACTAGAGCTAACAGCATATAAGACTCGACTAAGTTGTTAATGAAATCAGTTAGAAAGGTATTAGCAAATGGCACAAAAAAAGATACTGATTATTTTCTAGCATATAGTGTTCAATTATCAGTATCCTCAAAGAAATCGTAGCTGCACAGAATTGAGAATTTTCCCACTCAAGCAAAAGAGTAGGGCAACAAACTCGCTTGTCAGCTAAGATCACTTGCAGCTATTACTTTGTATCTACACCAGAAGTGCAAGAATAAGGTGCAGAGATGCGCAAAAGCGCCAATTAAATGACAAAACCGGTTAATAGCATCCTGCAAGCGGCATTTACCATTACCACTCGTAAATAACGTTAAATTTAGAATGGACTTTGCTGGGCCTAAACTAAAAATAGCTTCCTCCAACTGGCCACACCAGTTTGCAGAAGACAAACTTGAATTGCCGGGAGGGGGGGTCTGGCGGATTGGGGAGTGAAGAGTGAGGAGAAAGAGGAATGAGGAATGAGGAATGCAGAGGGTATTGCACTTCTAGATCTATCTATCCATGGAGAAGAGCGCTGACAGCTAAAGTCGAAGCAATTTGTAATTCCCAGCACGAAAATGTACGTCTACGCCCTGTTCTGCCTGCTGGCATTGGCGAACGCCAATCCGCTGCACTCGCATGTCGAGCCCGGCTCGCACATTGTCATAGTGACGCCGCAGGCGCAGGTGCATCTGGAGCCGGCCCTGCGCTATGTGCATGGTCTCTCGCCTTTGGCGCGTGTCGCGGCGCCACATCACGAGGAGACCATTGTGTATGTGCCAGCCGGTACGGCAGCCTCTGTCCTCCCCGTGGTGGACAGTGTGGGTTCTGGTCGTGCCACTGGCGCTGCCATCGCACCTGACACCAAGCAGATCGAACAAATTGGCCAAAACATTGAGCAGATACAGCAGCAGGTGCAACAGGGCGCCGAAAGTTGGGGCGGACAATTCAGCGATGCCTCCAATGCGGCCGCTGCCGCTGCAGCTGCAGCCGGTGCTGGCTTCTTCCCCAGCTTCTATCCACCGAGCGGCAACATCAAGAAGGAGGAACAAAAGCTCAAGACAGAGAAAATTGAATTGATTGAGACGCCTGCCAACACTCAGCCACTGCTGACTGCCACCGAGGCACGTCACTTCTACACTCTGCCGCAGGTCTATCACACGCCCGTCGTCGATGTCGTCCACGCACCCGTCTATCTGACGCCCATTTCGGCCATTCGTGCGCGCAGCATCCAGCCGGAGCAGAGCATTGAGCTGAAGGCCGAGGAGCCCCAGTTGGAGGCACAGCAGCAGTCGCAGTCGCAATCGCTATTGCAGCCGCAGCCACTGCTGAAGGAGTCAAAGGAGCCGGAACTGCAGCAAAAGGAGCAGCCATTGGAGCCGCAGCTCAAGCTGCAGCCGCTGCAGCAGCAACAACAACAGCAGCAGCAGAGCTCCAATGCCGAGCTCTCTGAACAGAAGGCCGAGTTTGCCGGACGTCTGCTGGAGGCCAATGCGCTCAAACAGGAATTGCAAAACTCTGAAATTGCTAAGGAGCCCGTAAAGGAGGAGGGTGAGTCTGCACTTAAGCAATTATACTAACACTTTCATAGGACTACTCTATAGATTTAAACGATAATTTTCTCCTCATTTAAATCTAACTTTGTTTCAAGCTAAGGGCTTTATTAAACGAATTCAAAAACGTAGAAGGTTACCAATTGTTCCGTATTTTTTTTAATGTTTGTTTTTGATAATTCTTTTTCCATTGATAATTCTTTTTCCATTTGAAAGCTGGTGCTTTCCGAATGGTCACATTTCAATTTGGTCCTGTTCTGACAAAGGCATCCATACGAAAAGTACCTTTAACATAACACATTTAGTCCGAACAGCTGCTAATTCTATTTCCGAACAGGATGCTGCTACTTCAAAATCATCCTCGAAGCGTTAAGTCACTTTAAACGACAAAAAAAAAAAAATCATTCAATGCACAAGACCTTTACAATTTTACTTGTTTATTCTTTAAATTAAATGTCATTTATTGAATAGATAATTCTTGTACGATCATACTCTTATACTGCTGTTCCACTCTATGAGCTCGTCAGTCGAAATCTATTTATATTTATGCATTGGCATTCCTACGAGTACAATCGTTTTTCATTACAAATTGAATTTGTTGAATTGTTTACAGATCCTGCTTATAAACTCTTCTTCGTAAAATAGAAAAAACCTCAAAGGTTGCCTTAACAAGCAAAGTACACTCCAGTTTAAATATTTATGTTTTAACTTTCAGCGTTCATTTATTTTGTTCATTATTCTTGGCTCATTAAAATGTATGCAAAAGACTGCACACAACGTAGAGGCATTCAGTTATTAGCGTCCTTCGCTGTGCCTATTTGTTGATTTCTCCGTCTATATGAACGCGCAGATCTTTTCAATCAACAGAGTTATAGGCACCAAGCTTGAAATGTACACTCATTCTCTCCATTGGCACATTTAGTAAAACTTTATGCTCTTACAACTTTATTCATTATATGTTGACATTTTATCTATACTTGACTAGCTTCTTCAACGCATACTTGCATATGCAATTTAGTGTCTAATCGTTTCACAAATTCCTTGATTCACAGCCAAGCCACAGAATGAGCCGCTGATCAAGGCGGCTCTGGCCGAGCCCCTGGAACAACAGCAACAACAACCGCAGCCGGCAGAGAGCATTCCATTGGCCCCACAGGCCTAAGCAGGCCACAACACACGTCTCACGCACACATGCACACAATCAGACACACACACATACACAGACACACCTGTGAATTCTATGGGCAGCTTTGGTACTTCAACTCATTCTGTTCGAGCGCACGTGCGACCCAACGAGTCGCCATGCCAAGGGTTTCAAATATAAATACATATACAAACATATTTTTAGATACTAACACACAGCGTACGATTTTCCATTTCCACATTAATTAAAGCAGCATAAAAAGCGAAAAGTAAGCAAAAAGAAAGATCAACAAAAAAAAAAAAACACACACACACAAAAAGTACATGAATAAACGTTCATTATAATCATCATCAAGCGTTCACATAATCATCATCATATTATTCATAACCATAACAAAAAAAGTAAAACAGAACAATAAAAACAAAAAACACAAAAATAAAAAGTGAATGTAAAATGTAAAAAAAAACCAACAAAATTGTTTTTCTTGTTTAATTAATGCATCGAGAATTAATGCTGCGACCAACGAAAGACTTAGGCAACACACTTGCCCTACATTCGTCCATATACATACATATGTACTTGTATGTATGTGTGTATATATAGTCGCATGTATAGTGGAGGGCTTTACTTATGTAATCCCCTGGCCAATGGCTTCTTGCGCACTTCAGAAATTCCCGCAACATGAAAATATTGCACATATTATCGGCAGACAAACATAAATCGCGCTCCTCTCCATTGCCTCTTGCATACCAAATAGATCAGATTGGGCGAACCCCAATCGAACGTGCCAAGCTCTAGTCGCAATGATACCAGTATTGTTCAAATGGTTTTACAACTACACGCGATATTTTTATTGCTTAGATATACATAGAGGTGCTTACACTTAACATAAATATGCTTTCAAAAGTAGATATGCTCATTAGATTGGAGAATGCTTCCTTAAGATAAGTTTGTGATTCATATGTTTTTGATTTAGGAGTACCTTCTCAATTTTGACCTTAAGCTCTATGCATTTATGCCCTCAAATAGAGATTTGATGGACATTTTGTATAGGAAAAGTATTTTACCTACCAATATTCGTTTGAGTTGAAACCTTGATTTCAATCACATCTAGTTTTTAAACTGCTTAGCTGGTGAGAAAAATTAATGCAATAATTGTTAGCCGAAAGCACAGCTTTTAAGAAAATCGGTAAAGTCGGTTACATTGGATTTCTTCACATTTAGTCGACATTGGAAATATACCAACAGGACTACCAAAAGGGAAATAAATCCAAATGAACGCAATAAATCGTAAACAAGGATACGGTTCGAAGCATTAGTGGAAAAATGCTTACATTTTGAAGCCAATTTATACATGTGATGATTAAAATAATTTAGTTTTTGCAGAGCTGCAATTTTCACAGATAAATTTACAAATCTAAGAAGTCTGGTAAGTTCACAAAAAAAAAAAACACTGCCATTATATTATTATTTAAAGTTTTTTTTTAAAAATCGGCCTGCCTATTGAAACCAAGATGTTTAAATTATTTGCAATTTTTCATAAGCTTAGTTTTTGCGCCCCTTCAGCACTGAAGTTTTCACAAAACTTAACATATTTTGGGCTACAATCATGCCTGCCTATATTTGAGAAATTGTTGTTTCAACAAATTTAACCGTACAATAATATTGTTCAATCGATAATAAATTGTTCTCCGATATACAATTGTTAAAAACATTTTACTCTAAAGGAATAAAAAGCTATGCATCAACAACTATTTACCTTTGAAAACGGATTAAAAATTTGCAAAAATTCTTCAGGAAATTTAATCAACATACTACTCTGCGAGTAGATAATTAAAGATTACAAATTGCTGTTCATTATCTAAATTCGAATAAATACGAGTAGAATATAATAATTATTAGACACTTAGTTACTTCACTTTTAGAAATATAAATAGAAACCGCTCTCTATATCCGAAAATCAACTAAGACTTTGTATATAGCCTACTTATTTAATTTATTATTTTGCCTTCGAGATTTGAAAAATCTCAATTATTATTTCTCACCACCTGCAGCATTTTTTTTATTCTCGCCTACATCGTTCACTTTTACGGTGGTGGTGTCCTCCAGGCTCTGCGGCTGTACCGCTTCGTCCTTGGGGCGACTGGTGTCTGTGTAGCGATAGATGGAGAAATAGGTTTGTATGCGTTGCAGAATATTCTCCAATACGGGTGGAAATTTGTGCTCCACACCATCGCCATAGATTTTGATGTCCAGCTTGGGCTGGCCGGGCATTAGCAATGGCGCCCAACGCAGGGCGTTCAAAACGCTGCGCAACAACAACAAATTCTGCCTATTGCTGCCTTTCAGCTCCGGCGTATGTCTCAATATTAGTGTTCCATTTGGTTTCAGCTCCACATGTCCAAAATTTTCCGCAGCTATGGGCAGCACATTGTTGTTGTTGTTGTTATTATTATTATTGTTGTTGTTGCTCTTAACAAACGTTAGCGGCAATATAGCTGCTTGCAGAGTACCCGCCAGCAACAGCAACAACAACACGCTCATATTTAAAAGCATGCCATGGAATTGCATCTTGTGGTTATTTGTTAATGGTTTTTCGAAAAAAATACTTTTGTACTTTGCTGAGTGACTGTTTGGGACGAGCGATTACCGCAGTCTGTGTCGTCTGTTGATGCACTGCCCGGGTTTATCGCGAACGCACTTATTTGAACTGGCCATGCCTTGCCCTCGACTTACACTCGTCTTCGGCACTTCATGAGTGTGACTTACTTTGGAGCACTTTAGCTTTGTTTCGGTCTTTTGCATTCGTCTGGCAGACGGCCAAGTTTTTTATTATTATTATTTTGGTTACGACTCTTGCTCGCAGTGCTCGCTGCGCTCTTTTCTGTCTGTTGCCAGCCATCTTCAGGTGTTTGAGCAACTTATTTGCATTTATTTGTCAGCCAGCTGTTATAACATTTCTCTGGCTTATCATGCGACGTCCACCAATACGTATACGCGATATTTTTATCTTTTATGAGGTGAAAGTGTTATATTCTATTTCGCTGGCAGCAAAAATAGATTTCAAAAATATATACATATGTGTCGACAATTCTAGACCAGGAATTTAGAGCAGGAATTTATCTATTTCTGAAAGGTGTTTGCAGACCACACTTTATAGGTATGATCATATATCAGCACCACGAAACTGTGCACCGAAGATTCTTTGTATCGGACAATATAACGAGACTAATCACACACACATACTTATATATATACTATAACATACATGTATAGCCTTACAGTCTTACAAACAATATTAGACTTAGAAAGGTTTTGATATAAATCACTTTTTGTTTACAAAGATATTGGAACCAAACTGAATATTGAGAATGTTGTTCTCATTTATGATGGTGTCGCTTTCATTCATGGGTCACCAAATTTTATCAGGAATGTCCAAATGCAAACAAGGTAAGAAATAATTTCTAATAACAATTTTAATTCGAATATATATTTCACGGCCTATGACCATAGAGGAATAATGGTTTTGTTGCAAGTCACCAGGGTATACTAAATATATAGTATCGGCGTAGCCGATTTATTGAATCTTTTCTGAATCAAACTCAAATTTCAAATCGAACGCTGTAGTTGTATTTGTGCGTTGAAAAGTTAATAAAAATGTATTCATAATATCAATATTTATAAAATTAACAAAATAAAATCAGTACAAACAAAAAAAAAATGCTTTTTTTTAAATGTATTTGAAATGAAAAAAGAAAAATCTGACGTAAATCGCTGTTTTGTAAATTCCTTTCTTCGTTTTAAAAAAGATTTCTTTAAAATAACCAAAAAACTAATGCTGTATCAGTATCAAAAGTCAATGAAGTTATAGTATCTGAAATAGTATTAACAGTGCCACAAACAACTATGTAGCATTATAGTGTTCGGATAAAAAGTATAAGTAGCAATAATTGGCTAAATCATATGAATTATTTAAACTAATACTTATGAGCGAACGACAGAATTAAAAACAACAGTGCTCTACGCTTCTCATACCACGGACCTAATCGAAGCCGTGATCGGGGCTCAACTATATCTAGATCTAACGGCCGAGAAATGAATATACACACAATACAAATTAAATTTGTTAGAATACTTCTATGGAGCTTCTGCACTGTGGGTCGTTTTTACAATTATAGAATTAGAATCAGGATTATAATGCCAAACTGACATTTTGGACAAAATCTCTGGGCATTGTCATGACAAAGTTTTTAGTCATTTAATGAAGCAAATGAATTAAGTTCAGCATCTGCAAACGAATTGCACAAACAACAGCAAATATATAAGAGTATATTATAATTATAATCAACATTTAATACACACAACACTGAGAAACCTGATCACGAAAATTAGGTCTGCGTTTTTATTTAGACTTTTGCATCATCAGCGTTTTGAAAACAATAACAAAAGCATGTCAGTCACTGCTTTTTACAAAATGTCACAACAACAATTCAATTCGATTGCAAACCATACTATAGTCTATAGTTTATTTATCATTTAGGATTAATGCTTACGTTTTTTTTTGTTATTTTTGTTATTTTTATCATGATGATGAATTTTAAAATTCCAGAAACTGCAAATATCAAGATGAAAAACAAATTAATGATCATTTAAATGCATGAAATACCAAGCCACACAAATCAGTTTGGTAGCCAAAAGACAGACAGACGATATACTATATAGTATGTAGAAATCATCGCTTCTTGAATATGTTCTGCCACAAATATTTCGAGCCACGTAACCTGTTAATGAATCAGAAGGTTCTATAGAACCAAACCTTTGTTGCTTGTCTGTTTTGCTCTTTAGTTTAAAAACTAATGAACAGCTCAAATGCTGAGAAGCATGTCCAAAAAGTTGATTTGTTCTGCCGATATTCGTGCCTAAGACGTCAATGAATTTTTTATAAAAATAGCTCAGCGATGCTCATCTAACGATTAATGATCCGTTTTGAGTTCGCTTAATATTTCCAGGCATGATGTGGCGCTTTGTGTTGTCATTTTAAATGTTTGAAACGTAATACTTGCATTTTATTTTTTGCATCTATAGTATTTTATTTATAAGCCACGCCTAAACGTGCAGCCTTTCTAGTATTTAACTAGCAAACTTATTTTGTAATTAACAAAAACTGCGCAGTTTGCTTTTCGCATTTCTATTTGAAGGCAAACAATTGAAAATATTTAAATCGTGGCCCTCTATGACAAGACTTATCAATGCAGCGAAACTTCAAGCTAACTTCCTAGACCCTAATTACTAAGAAGGTTCTCAAATGACAAACTTAAATAGCAAATGTACTTATACTATATATATTATTTATATATGTATAATTTTGTATACATACAGATCCTTTATATTCTGTATGAGTTTGTTTCATGTGATACTCTATAAAGAAAATGAGATTTGATTGGTTGCTAAATTTATCGCAAATGTTTATCCAACCCCTCAAAATGTTTATAGTCTGTTTTCGAAATTAAATAGAAACTTATTAGAAGCTGTTACTTAAAACTATTCAAGCTGGCTCTATCGGAAATATTTCTGCTTAGACGAAGCTCGTTGCTGACTTAACAAATTTTCACTAGATCCGTTTGTTCTAATAGAAACTTATATCAAGATTGTTGTTTACTGAAGCCCTTCTACAAGTTTTAAGACCATGTATATGTATGTTCTTTTTGCCACATTTTCTTGCCCCTTGAGTATTCAACGATATAATAAACATAATTAAATTTATACTCTTTAACTTTTAAAATGATACATGGCTCCCAATTTTTGTAAGATATGGAAAATTTTGAGAAATCTGTGATAGATATATGTACATTAATCATGCATCTATTCGTCTATTCTATAGTATGTAAGCTTTTAAAGCCAAATTTTATTTCGATTAAATGACAATAATTTCGTTCGTTATAGCAACAAATGCATTATTTTCCGTTAGTTCTTAAAAAGCAGCTGATTTGTTTTAAAATTTTAATATGAAATAAAATGCCTTTTAAAAAATTCCATTAAAATCAATAAATTGCAATATGAGATATTGACATGTACTTATGTATTATTGAAAGTGATCTTTTCTGAAAATATCTTCTGTAAAAAGTTGAGCCGAGAAAAGCTGCTGGCAAAGCATGGAAAAAGATTACATTAATGGCAATAACTTCTTTAAGATAGACCTATCACGATGAATCTAAATATGAGGATAAATAGATAGAATTTCCAATAGTGGAAAAGTAAGTCTGATCCGGATTGACAAAAGGACGGACAGACGAACGCCCATGGCTATATCTTATTATACTGATCAAAAATATATATACTTTATGGGGCCTGTCCCATCTCCACCTGGGTGTTACATACATTTGCATTAACCAAGTACACCCTTTCGTCATTTGAGTAGAGGGTATAAGAATGCGAAGTGCCTCTTGATTATGAAATACAATTAACCCTACTTAAGTAATTCAATATCTACAATCAATTCTTGAACACACACTGAACGCACACTCATCAGCACGCGAAATACTGCTAGAAGTTTCGAGGCAACAAAAGACTTAGGCAACGAACTTGCCAAGCTTAATATCAATCGCCGTGAGAATGCGTGTTTTTTTAAAGAAGCAATTGACATTTGATATTGCACTTGAATATATGATTACCAGCATCCCATCTAATTATGCATAAGCCAGACATCAAGTGCTTGACATGCCAGAACTTCCGTAGCTGTATTCAATATTTTATTTCTTTCATTTTACAGGAAACCCAAAGCTGTAAATTTTGAATTAATTAGAATCATAAAGTAATGGAAGTGCTCAAAAATGATTAGTTAAAAATAAATCACATACTGCTGCGTACATGTGGATAGAAAAAAATGTATAAAGTACTCGTAACTGACAGCCGACGATCAAACAAATTGCCACTTAGGTGGAGATTCAGTGAGACGCGTGTGTACATCAAACAATTGAAGATGAAAAAATTATAGTATATTATTAAATAACTAATTGTGTGTGTCCATACATACACGTAAATACTATACATACAATTAATGATGTTTTTTGAAGACAGAGCATGAGCATCTTGTGAGAGGGAGAAGTGTGAATTTGAGCGCTGAGCTGCCAGTTGATAATGAACTTCAAATTGCTGTAGTAGCTGTTGTTGTTGTTGCTGCTATTATTGTTTTTGCTGATGCTGAGTAAGAAACCGGACAAGCAAAATACGCTTATGAATACGTTGCGCATCTTCATTCAGCGTGCTGTCGCTGCTCAGCTTTAATTTTATGCAAAAACAAAATTTAAAAAAAATAAAAAACACATAACACCTAACGCTTGAAGTTAGTATAAAAGCAGCGCCTTTAGTTCAGATTTGTTATTAGTAGCGCGTCAACAACAGAACGAACAGTGTCAAAAAATCTATTTCCCCCCTACAAATAAAAGTGTATAAAGAAATTTGTGTTCGCGTTCCAAATTTTGTTGCCAACGACATGAAGTGTTTTATTTTAGCCGCTCTCTTGCTGGTTAGTAGACAAAACGTTTTAAAGCCTTTTAAAATGATAATAGCCACCATTTAAATAAAAATTTACGAGCATTGCGCAGATGTTTACGCGAGTTGATGCAACTTTATACAAAATCTAATCCGGGTTCTATAATTGAATTAATAGTGGCATTAGAGCAAATATTGATCTAAGACGTCGACGATGTTGCTGCTGTTTATTACACAATCTGCAGTTTTTATTTACTCGTGCAAATGCCGGGCATTGCAAATAGGCATTTGGATATGGGAAATACTACAATACTATATAGCATATCTGCTAACTTGTCACAAAATGGCCGCAATGACATCATGCATATCAAGTTAGGCTTCAGGCCCAAATCAAAAAGCTGTGAAGCGTGTCACAAACGTGTTCAAGAATGACCATTTTTGATGTAGAAGTTTTTGGGCATTTGCTTAATTAATTCATAACCAAATTGAATTTCACGTTGCAAAGTAGAGGCGCGCTTAAATATTTCGAGTCTAATCAGATTTTCACTCGGTATTTGCGCTTTTTTGCGCTCTAGTAACACGTGCGTTTCGAGCATTAATATTTAAATGCGACAGTTCTGTAAGTCAGGCATATAATCTAATTGACTTTTGAGTCATACTCGTATGTGGTATTTGCATACAAGTTATTTCGTCTTAAAATAATATCAGAGTGTTTGAGACAGACTAATATAAATTCAAAGTAGTGTTAATGCAAAAGAAAAACATAGCCATAAAATTCAAAACCGATTTTACAATTGCGTAAAAAACGAGGAAAGTATTTTTTGTGACCACGAATTAAGACGTAATGGAGAGATTTAAAAATGTAGAGAATTTGCTATATTTTAGCTTTGATTGAAATATTTTATATTCTCAATGAGCACAATACGTTGCAATCATAAAATTACGATATTTTTAACAACAATTTTTTAAATGTTTAGTGCCACTAAAGCCACTGGATTGATTGCATTGATTAAGGGCTGTTAATCGAATGCTGTTAATGTTTGACACTGTTAAAGTATGACGCTGTTAAACTACCACTGTTAAGCTGTAACACTTTTAAGCTGTTTGCAATAAATAAATAAAAGCTTTCCTGGCTGTATGGAAATTAGATGTAGAAGATTAATGCTACTTACTGCGACTATTGTTGTTGTTTTTTTCCCTATCAGTTCCGGCTCCGGTAATTGATCATTCATTCACGTCGTCAAGTGCTATAAACTATTTATCAATTGCTGTTCTAGTCCAATTCATCCTATGTTTAGATTGCGGTAGTTTCGTGCACTAATAAAGTGTATATAATTGTATTTATAGGCTGCCAGCGCCAATGCCGAGAACATATTCAAGATAAACATTTCGCCCGAGGAGGCGCAACAGTATCTGAATAGCGCACAACTACGAGGCGTCAATGACATCGAGTATGCGCCGAAGACCGGAGAGAATCCGCTGCCCGAGGCACGCAACGAGAAGGGCGAGTTCGTTTACATGGGCCGTGTGATCGAGCATCCCGAGGAGTATGTGGAGGAGCATTACGACGCGCATCAATATCATGGTCAAGATGGTTTGGGTCAGTACGTCTATGGTTACAAGGATTGGAATCAGGGCAAAAACGAGAAGAAGGACGAATCTGGCACAGTGACAGGCTCATACAAATATGTGCAGCCTCATGGCCGCGACTTTATTGCCAATTATTATGCCGATAAGACAGGTTTCCATGTCGAGGACAATCGTCCGGCGCATCTGAAGCAGCCCGCAACCAAAACGCCAGCCGTTCTGAAAGCCGAAGAGGAGCACTTCAAGCTGTGGGGTGAATTGGCCGCTGCCGCCGGACACAATCCCGATCCCTATGCAGCCGAATACCAGCAGGAGGGTCGCTACCAGCCTGCCGAGTCGGAGTACAAGGAGTATGTGCATCAGGAGCCCGAATATGTGCCCGGTCCGGAGGAGACGGGTGAGCCCAAGGGCTTCTTCTATGCCTTCGACTACAATGTGCCACTGTTGCGCAACAAAGCCGAGCGCGAGGAGCTCGAAAGGCTGCGCGCCATCAATAACAAGGACGAATAATATGCCGCATGTGGCCTTATTCCTTTTGTTTTTAGTGGAACTCCTATTTATGTACCTAGAAATACATAGCATAAAACTATTTATTCGATTGATTTAAATAAATTGCACAGCACACTTCCAATACATTTCTCAAATACTGCATTTTTATTCATGTATGTAGGTATCATATATAAAAATGTGTATAATTTTTGTTGTTGTTTTCTTTCTTTTCACGTTTAACTTATCATGGTAGTTGTGGTTTTCTCTTACTTTGTTGTTTTGGGTTTTGTCTTATATCGAGCGCTTGTATAAATTATTGTTGCTTTACATTTACAATTTTTTGTTGCTGCAGCTCATCGTTTTCATTAATTCTTCTTTTATTCTTATTCTTTTTTGCTTTTTCGCAAAACAGCTAAAAGTAAAATTATTGCTTTTGCTTTTCTTCTTCTTCTTCTGCTTTTCTTGCTTGTTTGTTTTTGTTTCAGTTGCAACAATTGAACTTGTTATAAGAAAAAATGTATCGTTAATTGTAAAGTAATGCCATCGCTTAGCAAATTAAGATGACGAGGGCGCGGGCGATCTTTAAACTAATTTACACGAGCATTTGTTTGTTCATTTACAACCAGTTAAAAACTAACATTTATGTTAAGTTAATGTTTTAATTTAATTTAAACTGTAATTCATACACAATAAACACATTTGTTTAGTTTTATATAATAATTGTACAGTACAATAAACCGAATTTTGATTTTAAACGTATGTATGTTTCCTTGCTTTAACTTCCTTTCTTATAAGACGCTGGCCATGGCACAAAAAAAGTTGAGTATGTCGATTTTTTGTAGCATGCTTTTGGGCGCTTTTCGAAAATACGCCACTACTGTTTAAATCTAGGGTTCGAAAACCAAAACCTTTTAAAATATTTAAAACGCATCGGGCATCGACCTGCCATTGTTTAAAACCAAATTAGATTTCATTCGTTATACATGAGAGCTACATAGGTGAGTAACTTGAATTGCTTTAATGTTGAAAATAATTTTCGATGTTAAAACAAAATTTGATTTTTCAAAATGAATCACAAGAATTTCGTTTTCGTTTATGAAAAGCAAAACGGCATATAAGTTATTTATATGGCAGCATTTTTCAGTCGATATTGAGTTTCTTTTTAATAGTAAGTTGCAATAGTTGCCAATATGATTCGAATCGTATTGTAAATACTGTGTATGTTCTAGTATGTAATTTGTATTTTTGTAAATGGATTTGCTTTAAATTCAGAAGGCGACGCGCACAGATTTAAAAAAATTTATAATAAAAATAAACAAGTCTAATAAACAAACAATAACATTTAGACGAAACAAAAATCACATTACAGGACAAACATCAATAATATTTAAGTAATATAAGTAGTAGTATAAGTTCGCTTAACAAGTTTTTTAAAAATGTATAAAAACGTTACTTGGTAGTTAAATAATAGAGTTTAGAGCGTCGTCTCTGAACGTTACAATTTCCACCGGAAGGAGATCATTGTGTGCATTCAGAGGGGAAATTCGTAATACTTTTCAATTGTTGAATGTAAATAGGAAAAAAGGGATTTGTGGGTTTATATGCTAAATGAATTTGGAAACTGTGAAGTGTGTGATGAAGAGTTCGTAATGCAGCATAGTCTAAATTGTGAGTCTAGAATCTGTGCAAATGTTGTTAAGTTCTGAGTCGATCTATATAGTATTTTCGAAATATTCTGCGGATTTCCACATTTCTCCACAGTTTTATGATAATTTGGCGCTTGAGTTACGTTTACATTTCTACGAGCCTAATTTTAAATACAATATGTATTTTGTTTTTCTCTCTTCATTTTGTATGCATTTCTTCATCGTATTAATTGTTGTCTCTATGGTTTCGTTTTCATTTTTTATTTATCTTCTCGTCTTGTATATAAGGCAAACTGTTTGCGAAACATACAAATATTAAATTTGTATATGAAACTTTGTATATAAACTTGCGTAACATACTTTTGTTGTTTTGTTTTTCATTGAGGGAAGAGGAAAGATCGAATGATCTTTTGAATAACTTCTCAAAAAATGATCCTTTACAAGATTGTAATATTTGTTTAATTGCAAAACTATTGAAAACAGTTATATTATGAATTTAAATACATACATAGCTCCGTTGGATTAAGTCCCAGAATTAAAATGTAAGTAAAAATTCAAACATCTGAGGTTTTACACCTCAGTCCACAGATTCAAGAAAATAAAACTAACAAATAATTTCAAAGCTGACGACACCACGGTAATAAAAAATGAGGTCAGCATCAAGTCTGAAAACTATTTGATTCCATGGTTTAAAAGTATCACTGGGAAGGAGCTTTTTTTGAAAAAATAAACTGAATTTTTAGGATAGATGGAGATGGAAGAAAACCAAACCAAATGGATAACATTTTCTACTACTTCTTACTACAAATAAAGACATGTTCAGGTTTATAGGAAAAAAATGTATTCAAATTGGTGGCAAAGATGCCATTTCGGATCAAAAAAAGTTCAAATAGTATCCATAAAAGATCAGGATTAGCGAGTCATTTAAACGACTGCGAGCGATGCTGAACGATTCTGCATGAAAGGCATGGAAAGCAATGGAACTCATGATATATTATGAGCAATCAATACATTATTTATGCCAACAAAGCTACTAAGGGTGTCAAGTCCCAATAGAGTAACTATGAATCTTATACTCTGTAGCGTATAGTAGTTTGAATTCGCATGTGGAGACGAAGGAGAAGAAAGGGACAAACATTGAATATAACTATATTTTTAAAGTTTAAATATAAGCCCCATATTAAGCAACATAGATTTTAAATTTGATGACAAGGAATGACATATATGCTACAATTTTTGAGAAAACGGAATGGTGACCATAAATTATAATTCTGTTTGATATTTTCAAATGTTGAAGTGGTCGGTCTGGTTGATCTCGTACAGATCTGAACAGCCTTTAGAGAGACCACGCTTCGATAACATTTTTGTGGTTGAAACATAGAACAGCCAGACATATTTTAAATAATGTAGCGAAAACAGATTTAAGTTTTTTCATACTATTGCGATTCATAATTGCCGCGAAATCATTGCGATTGGTTTAGTCTGAGCCAAACTCCAAGTGCAACTTAAGAGCAAATTAGTCTTATTGCTTAGTACCGATCCAGTTTTCGACTTACAATTCTATGTGAGGCTGTGAAATGGTCATTTAATACATTTGCAAATAGTTTAATACCATTTAGCTAAATTTACCGGGACCCATTTCCGTTGAGCTAGTATGTACCAAGTTTGACGTGGAAATATAACATCTTCTGACTTACATTTATGATATTTACACAATACCCTGTTTGTAATTCGAGTTGCAATTTATCCTCAGTATATTTTGTAATGATTTTACTAAATGCATGTCCTTTGTTAGCACTTTGGGACTAGGGATTTAAACCTCTTTTAGTATAGTTTACAAGGTTTTTTTTTCGCTAGTTGATAACAGAATTTGTTCCAATAGTTGCATTCATATTTCATTTCTTTGTGGGACCATTTTTTGTTTGAACAACCCCTACAGAGCATGGCGCAATATTTAAATGTTTTCGTTCAAATTTCTGGATATTTTTTCCATATCTAGCATTCTTCGTGCTTTCTGTTGGAGTCAGAGATGGAGAAAGATAGAGTCTGTCGGTTGGTTTCAAAATTGACTGATACAGCTATTTTGTATATAGATTTGTATATACTATATAAAGGTATTTGTATATAAGTTTTGTATATGCTACGCACGCCCACAAATCGTGCCAGGGGGCTACGACTCTATGCTTAGTTGCTAGTCAAGTGCGTTTTGTTTTGTTTCACTTTTGTATTTAGCTGCTGGGAGCAATATAACTTACGTGTTGATCCTGAAAATACTTTATTTGGCAGCTGTGGCCGTAACAGTCGCTGCATTCGGCGCCACCTTCAATTTGATGAACATGTTGTTGTCATTGTTGCTATTCCCACCACCATCCAGTTTATTCAGATCGAGCTTTTGCACCTCACACTCCAAATTGTTGATGCAATTCTTCTCGTATTGTGTGGTGGTATTATCCGATACAGACACATTTGATGCCTTGTCCCCAGCTGGTTGCTCAGCCGGCGCCACTTTCTTCTCTTTGCTCTTCTTAAGGGCATTCAGAAGCGTTTTCTCTTTGCTCTTCGACTCCTTATGGTTGCTGTCCTTATCTTTGTGTTTATTGTTCTTGAAGCGCGGGAAAATGCAACCGTTGGGCAGGAATCCGCCCAGTTTCTCCTTCTTCGTCGGTGCTGGGGGTGTGGGAGCGGGAGTGGGCGTGGCAACGGGCGTAGGTGTGGGCGTACTAGCGGGCGATGCTGGCTGCGCTGTTGCTGTTACACTGGGAGTGGACACAGGTGCGGGAGCAGGTGCGGATGTTGAAACAACAACAGGTGTAGATGTGGCCATTGCAGGAGTTGTGGGCGTGTTAATGCCATTAGTGGTGGTGTTGGGCGTGCTGAGCTTCGTTTCCGACTCAGCTGTGTTCACTGCTATCGCCTGTTCTATGTCCAACGTGGGTGGCGAGGCATTTGTCAAATGTTGCACACCACCAGCATCCGTTTGATCCACACAAGCATCGCTTGGTGCTGCCTCATTGGCCAGCATTTGCTCCATTTGCTCACTGGCCACTTTATTGTCCAGTTGCTGTGCGAATACGGCGAGTGTAATGCCATTGGCATGCTCCGGCACTGAGTCTGTGTGTTGCAGACCCATCGAATTGGTGGCTTCGGCATGGGCAGGCATTCCGCTCGCCGCTCGCACCGCGTCAGGAGACTTGGGAAACATTTGCTGTGTGGTTATGTTCTGGTAGTGTTGTTGCTGGCGCTGCTGCAGCATCTGCTCCTCACGCTCCCGATCACGCTGCGCCTGCACGGCATTCCAGACGTCTTTAAGCTCGCCCGAAATGTCGCGATCCTTGAGTATCACGGCGTTCCTGAGAGAAAAAAAAAATTTATAGATGAAAAATGTTGCCTTTAAGAACCAAAGACACCTATCAGACATTATGTACTTTTCACCTAATTCTGTTTTTACGCGGTAGATTGGTTCCTTAAAAATGTCGTGTAAATAAAACCGTGTAAAAAAAACATTGGTCATAGTATGCAAAATAAATCGTGCTAAATGGAATAAAGTCGTGTATATATGGTTATATACAATTTTTAATTTTCAAACCGAGTTAAATCAAAACCATCTTAGTTTCTTAGCACATCATGCCGTTTTTCATAAAATTGGTGTGCGATCGAAATGATTTCGAAATATTAAAAGAATGTGTTAAACACATTAAAAAAAACCTAATATACTTCTGTACATTTCATGTACAGAGTATAAAAACGAACAGAAAAATCATCTATATACCCTTCTCTGCATCCTAACTGGTTACTCTGTATCCTTATAATGCATTTATTATTTATATTTTATTTGATTTGATATTCTTATAAACAAAAATAATTTTCTACAAAAAATCGGAATCTTAAATTATGATTAAATCATTTCATGACAGCCAACTATATAATACAGTCATCTGACATTGTCGGCCTTGATATACTAAATTAAATTACAGATACCTAAATAAAGCTTTAATAGCCAAACAAAAGGTTTTCAAATACTATTGTTGATTTGACGACTGCACACGCGCTATATTGGATTTCTAACATTGTAATAAATAGCATCGCATAAATGATAAATAAATAACGACCTACAAAAATTTATATGATGATTGGAGCGTTGTATCCAAGGCTTAAATATTAGTTAGGGCGTAAGAAGCATTTTAAGAACACTTTTTATAGCCTACAGAACTACTAAGTATCTCTCACCTGACTAATTTCACGCCGGGATTCATAGCCTCGACAAAATCGCACATTAGCTCAACCATAGCGCGGCGTTCCTCGGGATCTTTGCTATGACGACCCGAATCTTTGAGCACCTCGGGGTTTGCCATGACAGCGAAAACAATAGGCGGACTGCGCGGGCTGCCTGGCGGCACCTGTGAGCGAGCAATTGGAGTAGTACATGAATTATCTCATAGATTTAAGCAAAACTTACGCGCATGCCTCCATAGAGTGGTATGGGATCACTGGGTTCCTGCGGTATCACAATGCGCGTCCAGCTCAACACGTTTATGAAGAGCTCCTCACCCGTCTCTGTTGTTGTGCGTATACACATGTGTGGTTGCGGTGGATTCTTAAAGTGTCGATAAGCACGCGAGTGTCTGTAACTATGAGGTGGTGGAGATGATTGCATCAGCGTTAGCCCCAGACCAGCTAACCCATTGTTGGATTGCTCCTGCTGTTGTTGTTGTTGGAATTGTGCATGCTGGTGCATATTATTATGCTGCAGCTGTTGCATGGCATTGTTGTCATAGTTGTGGTTGTTGTTGCTGCTATTTGTAGTCTCAATGGTTTCGTGGACGTCAGACTCAGCGTCTGTCGCTGACGTCGCTTCAGCATCAATGGCAGTATTGCTGTTGTTGCTTGTGTGCTCATTTTGTTGTTGTTCACGTTGTTGTTGTTGTTGTGTTTGCTGCTGCTGCTGCTGCTGTGGGTGCTCTTCGGCGGCACTGTTCTCTGCCTCAAGCTCTGCTGCCGACATTTTTGGTGGTGTTATTGCCTTTACCTTCCGTTGGTGTTTATTTATATATATGTGTGTATGTTCTTTATGATTACCAGTCTTTAATATTAATTATTATGTTAGTTATTTACTTTACAATTTTTCGCTGTGCTCTTTTGTCGGCTTGCCGTCTGCCTTCTTTTTTCTCTTTTCGCCGCGGCGAATTGCCCACAACTTCGTCCTCTTTGTGTGTTCTACCATGCACCCACACCAAAAACTGCGCTCTTCCTACTTCATAGCGGTCCTTTTTTCCAATTTAGCCTTTAACCTTTTCCGTAATTAATTTATATGCATGCATAGTTCGAGCTCTGGTCTGGTCGCTGTCATTAATGTCCTTTCCTCCTGCACTCTAAATACTGAAGTCTTTATCTGACACGCACGCACACACATGAACACCCTTAAGGCTGTAATGCTCACTGCTCACCCCGCACACGCACACGTACAAGTGGGAGTAGTTGGTCGTTGTCTACGGAAGAGAGGGTAAAACAAATGGAAAAAGAAAACATTAAATTCGACAAAAAACATCAAATGGAATCCAATTTAGCGGACATTTACATAAAAATGCTCATTTTACAATAATGCACTTACACATTACACAGGTTTTCATTTATGAAAATCGTTTTCCATTGCACAATACACACACACGGGCACTGCGTTTCTGTTTCACATAATTTTTCCACCGACTGCTACCGTTGTTGTTGTTGTTTCGCTGGCTGCTTTCCTTGTTTTGTAGTTCATTTACATTAACTTACAAACAATGCACCACCCAATTGTCGGCCGCGCGTCTGACTGAATGTTCGCTGCGCTGATTTTTATATTTAGCTTTTTAGCAGCTTTTCATTGCAGCAACGCATTTTCCGACCGAATTTTCCAACATAAACAAAAAGCAATCTTCCTATGTTAGAATCAAAGACTGCCACAGAGTCTAAAAGTGCTCTTTGCCTGAATTGAGTAGTTCTGACCTATTCAATTTGCACATCTGGTAGCACTAACTACTTTAATACATACACACACATATTAGAGATGGTAAGAAAACGATGTTTTAATGTTTATCTCTGGGTTTGTCCACATCACCATCGGTACACCCCGCAAAGTGGCAACCCAGCAGAGCCGGCGTGAAATTTGCAACCGCGTTTCAACGAAAAGTGACTTAAGTTACATAAAAGGCTACCATTTGAAAATAAAACAAATACTAAAGTAATATTGCATCGCCCCTATAAGTGTGACTAAGTGCAGTTAAAGGACCCTCTGCCAATTGACGCTTTAATTGCAAATTTGAGTATTCTGCATTGCGACCTGTGGTCGTTGTGTGTATAACAAAATGGCGTCCTCAAACAAATCGGGGTCTGGCTGGCCGCGCCGTTCTAGCCAAGGCCAAGCAGATGCCACCAGCAATAATGGAACGCAAAAATATGCACCGAATCAAGCGTTGACCATAAATAGAACAATTAATCTGTAAGTGCTAAAATAGAACCTCTTTGTTTTTTCAATTAATGATCCTTGCTGTTTTCCACAGCTATCCCCTAACAAACTACACATTCGGCACTAAAGAACCCCTCTTTGAAAAGGATCCATCCGTTCCGTCCCGCTTTCAACGCATGCGTGAGGAATTCGATCGCATTGGAATGCGTCGCTCCGTCGAGGGCGTTCTGCTCGTGCACGAGCATGGACTACCACACGTGCTGCTTCTTCAGTTGGGAACCACGTTTTTTAAGCTGCCAGGTGGTGAACTAAATGCTGGCGAGGATGAAGTGGAGGGTTTGAAACGCTTGCTCTCAGAGGTATGTAGGTCAATCTATTAAGATGATTTTGTTATTTTGCAAAACAATAGTTCTGTTATTTAGCTTTTTAATCGAGTCCTATAGGTTAAGACATCCCTTTTTCACAGATTGTAGAAGTCTAGAAATATATAAGTTGTAAACTTGGCATCATATTGTTTATTATAGAGATCTTAACAAATCGTTATTTTTGTTATCAGGCTAACTAACTAGTTTACTTTAATATCCGAATTCATCTTAATGGAAACAATTTAGACTAATTTGTATGTTCATTGGAAGTCGCCAAGATGGTGCGAGAACAGCTGATAAGCATGGTTCCATTCGAGCTTATATTGTTTCGTATTGCTGTTAAGAAAGGTTTAATGTCTATACCTAAATCCGTTATGTTATGATCTTACAGACGCTGGGTCGTCAGGATGGCGTTAAGCAGGACTGGATTGTCGAGGATACCATTGGCAATTGGTGGCGACCTAACTTTGAGCCACCACAATACCCCTACATTCCACCACACATAACTAAACCGAAGGAACACAAACGACTCTTTTTGGTGCAACTTCACGAAAAGGGTAAGTTATGCAATGTATTGCTGGCCAACACCTTTTCACATTTAAAAAAGATGGAAAGCAATCCTTGCATTATGTATGTCCCACGCGTAGGTATTTATCCAGCAGCATTAATAAACACCAAAAAATAAATTACAGCAATTATAATACATGCATATATATTAAAACATATCTAATATATCTCTTATATATATAACTACTACATATAACCTTGTAAAGTTATTTGCCAAACCGATACGCTAACAAACCTCATGTCATATCTTTTCAATGCTGTTTAGATACGGACAGGAACGCCAGTTACGATGTACCCTGAGCTGTTCCAAATAGCGCCGTGTGTGTATCGTGCGTTCAATCGTGTAATCAATCACGCAACAACAAGCATCGCGTTTTAAACGCTCTACTCTCAAGAGTGCAATCCATAGACCAACCAAACGAAACTCAATCAAAATGAGACAGAATGAGACAGATCGAAAGAAAGAAAGATCGAATATTGAACGGCGCAAAAACTTCCTATAATATACATACATATGTCCTGTATTCTGTATATTTGACTATCTCTTAGTTCCTCGATTCTAGTTCAAATTGTACTAAATAACTTCATTGTTGTTGTATGTATTTACATTTGCTCAGAGCTGTTGGCATATTTTGATCGTTTGTTCAGTAGTTCGACTGTTTTGCTATGCGCGCAATTCCAAATTGTAATAACTTTGTAAATATGTCGACAGCTATTCGTTATATTTCTTTTTTTTTCATCGAGATGTGTGATGTTTGTTGTCTCGACCTAAGGCGACTGCAATATGAATGAAAATATGTTGAAAGCGTTTAAGAGATTAGGGCAGCAGATCATTTTGTAATTACTGTCGGTCATGTGCACAAATTTTTCTGTAATTTATTCCCCTTAAAGAAACAAAATTTGTGAGCATGCAGGGCAGTCAGACAGGTAGGCAGGCAATACATATGTATAAGCACAGAAATGTTTATGTAAAAAACAAAAAACCAATACGAAAGTAAATGAAAAATCTCTAGCTTCTTGGCTCGTTTCGAACTGTGCACTGAACTCGCAATTTTAGTTCAGCGCACAAAAATTCGCACACACTTACTACACACACACACACAACCACACACCATGTAATGTTTTTTCTCTATATAAAAATTTATGTTCATAATACTTATCACAATTAGTAGACTTCGTTTGATATGCAACATCCATATGCCATGATATTCCACTTGAAATTCACAAATATACCTGTATTTAGATAAATGAATGTGATTGTAATTGATTTTATAGAGTTTGCATATCAAAACGAATCCTAGTAATTAGTCTAAACCAACCAAACAACCTGTGAGAGAACTGTGTATGTAAAATGAAATGATAATGCAACATTTGTATAATATCTCGTACAAATATTTGAAGCGAAACGTTTTTTTGTATAAATTGTATAACCAATTGTAATGCCAATTATATAGTATCTATATATGCAAATAATCATTGTGTACATTAATAACGCTATATTCTACATACATAAATTCTTCCTCTATCGTTTTCTGTAATCTAGCACTATTTGCTGTGCCCAAAAATTATAAGCTTGTTGCCGCCCCACTCTTCGAGCTCTACGATAATTCACAAGGCTACGGACCGATAATATCCTCATTGCCTCAGGCTCTGTGCAGGTGGGTGCCATTAATACTCTAATATATTTCCGGTTTGTATGATTCTAATTGATTCTCATTCTCATTGCAGGTTTAATTTCATCTATATGTAAGAGGCAGGCAAGAGGAGCACACAGGAGGCATACATACATACTTTACAATCCTAGTTAGGCCGCACCATCGTTAGCTCTACTTAAAATGCAGCAACTCAATTCAATTCCGCTCAGATCAGTAGATGATGTTCCAATTAAATATTTATACCTATTGCAGATTAAATGGAAATCCAAGACAATGAGTGGCTTGGCATATAGAATTGAAAAAGTGTCGTCTTTATTTGTATTGGTACATATCCGTGGTTAGCTTAACTAATTGTTACATAGAGTGTCGATAGATTGCGCATATTATCTGTATATTTTAGTCGAAAGCCAAATTTAAATTACGATTTGTGCTTAATGTTCTTTGTCGTCTTTAAATGTAAGTACATAATATATGTTGTGTTATTCTAGAGCATATAATCGCTATAAATCTGTTCGAAATATTCGCGTCTGCTGCAATGGAAGATACATATAGATATATATATTTTTATTTATTTATTTACTGTTTAATTCTGTTTAGTTTCCTTTAAATATTGTTAACTCAAAACTACGTCTCCATTTGCTGTTAAATAACATTACATTTTGTGACTAAGTTCGCATAACAGCGCTGTTAAGTACTATGTTAGCATGTGCGTAGGTGTAACAGATGATTGACAAACTAAACAAACAATTCAAATCAACAGTTTTCACATTTGAGATTACCAGCTGAGAAATGTGCAAGCGTAGCATAAAATGAAATATAACTATTTAGTTAACTAAAGCACAGGAACAATGTGTGTGTGTGTGTTGGTATTATTCGGGTTCGTTTGTTCCTCTTTTGTCTACACGTCTTAAATGCTATTACTTTGTTTCATTATATAATTTTCCGTTATGTTGACCAGTTTACGTACAAAAAATTGCAAATATTGCCATATGATCTCATTCCGTCAATAGCTCCTATTAATTATACAGCTAAGGTGTGTTTCAAAGTCAATCTCTAAATGTAAGACTCAACAATAGGCCCATAAATAAAATTTTTTAAAAGTTAGTTGTTGAATACAAATAAATAGTGAAATTAAATTATTGTACAGCTGATCTAAACATCTACTAAGCGTTTTTTCAAAAATTAGATGTATAAAACAATCAGTAAAGAAATTACTGATTGCTATAGATATTTAAAAAAAAAAAAAAAAAAAAAAAAAAACAATTATACTTTTCTCAATAACAGAAATAATTTAACCATCAAAATCGACCTTTTAGAAATTATATTTAGGGCTTATATCAATCTCAATGTAAGTGCAAGATCTTGCCTTGCGGGTTATTTCTGTTCTAAATCGTAACTTTGATACACAACCTGATGTTAATTCTTTGCTATTTTTTCTGACGCCTAAGGTTAAATTTACCACAATTTATTGTGATAAAACTTGAGATCGTTGTAACCCTGATCGGTTAATCCACCCACTGACGAGACGGTAGACATGGCATCTGTATTATCCTGTCCAGGCGAGATGGCATTGCCCAAGGGTCTATTTATTTTGACCACACCGAAATCCTCTCGTTCCAGCTGATTGAACTCCATCTTGGTGCTAGGCATGACGGCCATGCCCACTCCAAAGGATCGGTTCTTCATGCCCGTATGCTGTTTACTCAGCTGGAATGCTGGGGCCCGACGATTATCGCCAATAATGCTCTCGGCAATCTCAACATGGCTTACCTCGGGCGGTGTGGACGTGTGAGATTTGGGTGGTGTATGCGGTGTTTGAGGTGTCACCACCTCGGGCTCTGGTTCTGGCTCCGGTTCTGGCTCAGGTTCTGGCTCCAAATCGGCTTCAGTGTGAATACTGGCATTATCGTGGTCGCTACCGGACTGTAATTTTTGCAATTGGGCGGTCATTTCGGCGATGTCGTTGCCGCCGCTGTTAATAAAACGTTTAGATATTTAAACAAAAGATACAAATCGGACTGATCTACAGCACAAATGATTGGGAAGTACTTGATGTTGTTGTTAATTTTATTGCACAAACAATGAAAATAAATTAGACAAAATTAAGCAGAGTGTTAAAAACGAGATTTAAACATAATTAAGTTTTTACGCAGAAATCACAATTGTCAGGTATATGTTCATTTGTGTTTTTCTTTTGTATGTTTGTATAATTCAAAAGATTCCAATTGCCGGTCCTTTAGCCAAGCTGCTAGGTCTGCATATCGATCTAGATTGTGTGTGTGTGTGTATATTTGAGTGTGTGTGTGCTTTTCTTGTATGTGGGCGGCAAGTGCAGCGTCTTATTCCTGTGTGTGTGTGTTTTTGTTTCTCTTTTTATGTAAATTGAACTATTCTATAAATAGGTATAAGCAAAACTATAATTAATTTGCTAATTAGGGGAAATAAACTTTGTACAAATTTTAGCTTTAGTTGGTTTCACACAAAAACTGTGGCCGTGTGCGTATTTGTTGCTTTCTATTTGATTCTGTAAGATACAAAAAAGAAAAGAAATGCAGGAAAATGATAAAAACACAAATGAAAAATAAAGGCTACGTGTTAGTGGTTGACTGATTTGTGGACCAGTTAGGGTTGTGAGAAGGGGGAGGAGTACTAAAGTTATTTACCTGCTGGACTCTGCACTGCCGCCGCTTTTTCCTGACTTGCCGCTGCCAGCATGAATTATCTGCAAGATTTGTATAGAGGGGGGAGTGTATTTTATTAATTTGTTATTGACCATTTCACAAACAATAAAAACCACATCAACTGGCATGCAATTAAACACAAACAAATTAGGTAAGGCACGTAAGGCTATGTCGCTCCCAAGACTTATGCAAATATTTAATAAATGAAACCATTTTTATATGACCACCTATATAAATAATAGTAATTATGGTATTAAGTATTTATATTATCTTATTTTATAAACATTCAGATTTTGTTTCTGAAACTTTCCCATTGAAACACATCTATTTAATTTAGGTACTTTATGACTTATTAGGGATTGTTCGTACTTATTGGATCACAATGTCTTGCTTTAAAGTCTCATTAATGAATCTGGATTCTAGAACATTTATTTCGTGTCCTACCATAATCCAAACCTCTTGCTAATTTATTCATATGAACGATTTCAATCCCCACCGCCTGCGCTTTTTTAACCCCAATAGGCACCTGAGTCAGAAAGCACACTTTAGCGAGACATTTTGGGGGTTAGCAAAGAGGGTAAGTTCGCCACATACATATACATAATTATGATGTTAAATTTATATATTTATATTTGTTTTTTTTTTTACTAAATAGTAATAATTATGAAATACAAAATAATAATAATACTTTGTTCTGAGTATGCTGAATAATTTTGTTTAATTAGCAGACTTGACAATTGTTTTTCTTTTCATTTTTGTGCCTTTATTCAAGTTCGCATATAAACAGAACATTTTCAAATTCCAAAAGTAAATAAACATTCATTTGTGTTGAATATTGAAAATAATTTTAAATTTTCGATTGCGCGAAACAACGGTCGATGGTGGCATCGATAATATCGATAGCAGCATCGAAAGTTTGTCGGCACTTGCAGCACTATCGATTAAACGTCTCAGCTGGCAGTGTCATTACATAGTTTTGTGTGTACAGAGAAAAAGGTTAATATAAACATTTTGAAGCTTTTACAAAACAACGCGACAGAAAATGGTTAAATCACCCGAGACAGTTGCTCTGAATGAGCTCGATAAGGATCAAATGAAAACAGTGAGTACTTTTGTTAATAAATTGTCGGTCTTTTTATTACCTCTACCCACGTGCAGTTTTCCGATTTCTTGATGTCATATAACAAACTGTCTGAAATGTGTTTTACGGACTGTGTGCGCGACTTTACATCGCGGGATGTCAAGGAATCAGAGGTGAGTGCCTATATATATTAGAAAGAATCAATTTAAATGTGTGTTTGTTTCAGGACAAATGCTCTTTAAACTGCATGGAAAAGTATCTGAAGATGAACCAAAGAGTCTCACAGCGTTTCCAGGAGTTCCAAATGATTGCCAACGAGAATGCGCTGGCCATGGCCCAAAAGACCGGCAAGCTGTAGATAATTAACTTGAACAATTACTTTAAGCCATTCTATTCACTATTCAGTGCAACAGTGTTGTATGTCATAAATAAACCCAAATCGCTAAATGTAAAAGCTAGTCTCAAGGAATTATGCAATAACTTCTTTGAAGCTATCTCAACCAAATATAAATATTGTTACTACACACATATACGCGAATGTGCGCCAAATCGGACTTCTGTGTTCTATCGGAATGGGAACGGACAGATGTAGGAAAAGAGATTGTACGAAACGTTTAGTTTTTTATAAAGTTTGAGTCGGCTCGGACTACTACTAGCGAAGTTTCAAGATATGTAAGGATGTTTTTCAATACACATTCATTCTTGTGCCGTCCACTTTCCCCAATTGGTAAACAGCCAGTTTTTTTTATCATCGAACAATATATAGGTTCTAAATTTCATAAATGTGCCGCAAAATTGTTTGAGTAATTACGAAATTTTGTTAGTTATAGATTTAGGAATATTTTTGTATTATCACAAATGGATATGGCATTCAAAACTAGAATCTATATGCGAGGGGAAATGCTCAGATATAATAAAAGATAATTGAGCTCTAAGAGTTCACTCATGTTGCCGAAAAACTGGACATTTTGCAAAAAAAAAAATAATTTTATACCATTCGGATACTGAAACAGTATCGAACATTTCAATCAGGGTTTGTAAAAGAGATATACGGTCTGGAATGAATCAAATGCAGTAAAGCACGAACCAAGCCTAATACCAATTTTGTGCTCAGACAGTAGTCTGCCCAGTGGTACCATACAGGTTAGCGAATCCATCTAGTTTATTACATAAATACTCAAAACTATGCTCTGCAGAAGATTTCATTTAAATTTATAAGATAAAGCTCTTATAGGTCTCTAGAGTGAAGAAATATGTTCCCTTAAAATTGTGTAATATTAATGATACATTAATTTAAAGATATTTATAATGAAAGTTTATTTGAATTATGGGTGCCAATCTACATTTACATTAAGTGGTGGTCAACGCACGGCCCAGACGGTAAGAGCTGGGAAGATAAAATGTATCCACAAGTACAGTTTCACTTCAAATGGGGTAACACGGAATCCAAAAAAAAAAAACTGGTTTAACGATTTTTTAATATAAAATCGATTAAATACTATAAGGGAGGTATTACAATAACTGTTTTTTTTTTTGTGGTAATTTTGTGCGTTGACAACTCAAATTTCAAAATATTCGTCCATTCTGAACAATTTATAACTTATAGTATGTTTCGTGCCCAGTGAGCAACCTCAACCTGGTAAGATCTACTTAAGCTATGGCCACACATCACCGATTTTACAAGTTATTAAGACTATAAAGTTACTCAAATTAATTTCAATAACAATTCTATACTTTATTATACAAACTGGTTTGCCTATTGTATCTTTCAAGCTATTTGTTAAATAACTCAAATTTGGGGGCGAATTGTTTGCATGTCTGACCGTATTTTTAATTACACATCAAATCGGAACCTTTTGTTATTAAATGAATAGCTTTGATCAAAGGTGCTAAGTATTTCAATTTGATTCTTATTCGTTAAATGCAAAATTAAGGCTCGCTAAACTAAAAATAGCGCGGAATAATGTAATGGTATAAGAATAATGAATCTATCCCCACTTTTATTTATTGGCACTTGGTGGAAAAACGCAAAACGAATATACATATAATATTTTGTTCGACTGAGTACTCCGAGTGCTACCACTTGGCCGCAATAAAACTAGCACAAGTGTCAACTGGAGTTTATATTCCCCACACGCAGCCATCCCCACACAACCAGCTCAACCGCAAACGACGGCGAGCACGACAGGCGCCATCAAAACAGCTTCTTGGCACGCAGCCAAGCAACCCCAGGAATTTCCAAGGAACTGGGTATCGACGGTTTTGTGGCACCACAAACCAAAGCAGTGAAAGTTTTGACCGAAATGTTTCGTATTCTAAAACGTACACATAAGCATTTATTGACACCGAGTTTTACATTTTATAGTTTCCAGAGTTGTCGAAGTAGTTCAACACAAAATTTAGAATGTATTTTTCAGGTATGAAGATAAATTGCCTTCACTACGAATTTGCACCTTAAAAGCAATATTTTCTGAGTATTTGATGAATTGAAACTTCAAATTTACACGTGAGTTTCCAAAAAGAAAAACTTATCGCCTGGCACAACACACTCGGGAGAACCCTAGCTAGTCTTATATATATGTACATATGTATATCATTGAGGAATTGGTGTATTTGTTATAGCAGTTCAAATGTTCGCTGAATTTCATGATGACCGTATTTTTGAATATTTTTTTTTTCATTTTTCTTTCTAAACTTTCAGCACTTTACTGAACGGGAGCGCCGACATCGCCATTGCCCATTTCGGGCGTACGGACCAGATAAATGGTGGTCTGGCAATTGGGACAAGTGGTGCACATTTCAGCTTCCGGTGGTGGGGCAGAAGGTCCGCCCTGTTGCTGCTGTGAAGAAGGTGTAGAGGGCGAGAGTAAGGACTGAGTTGCCAACTTATTTAAAGTTTAGAGAGTCGAGCTGGCTGCTGAAGAGAAACATCCTAACAGACGACTGCATTAAAGGCGTCTGTTAAAAAGTCCGTTACATATGCGTGCGCTGCAAGCTTGACTCTCTTTAGCTTACTGGCTACCACTGATATTTACATAGCCCTGTTGTTGCTTGCGTGGCGAGAGAGGTTGCTGTGGTGGCTGTGACTGCGCCTGAGCCTGCTGTTGAGCATAGGTCGCTGCTGCCTGCGTATCCTGAGCCTGTTGCTGCTGCTGTTGTTGTTGCTGTTGTATCATTTGTTGCTCAAGTGCAGCCTGTTGTTGGTGCTGATGTGGATGTTGTTTTTCCTGATGGCGCGAATACTGGCCAGCTGCCGGTTGTTGCATGTAGGTCTCCTGCTGTTGCTGTTGCGACGGCGTTTGTTGCTGCGGCGGCTGTTGTTGCTGCACCTGTATCGACGATGCCTTGGGTACAACGCCATGAGGAGACATGGGGGCGACCTGCTGCTGCATGTTTCCGATCATTTGGGCCGGTGGCATTGTCTGTTGCACCGGCAGCTGTTGTTGCTGCTGCGGCTGTTGTTGCTGGTACACCATTTGGGGTGGCTCGCCACCTCCAGCCATCCGAATGGATGCCACAGCAGAATGCTGGGAAGCTTGTCCTTGGACGCCAGCTGCGGCTGGTACATTCCCCCCTACGCTGGTGTCAAGACCAGAGTGACGAATGCGTGGTGGACGCGCAAACGGATTCGCATTCATGAAAGTATCGTCCACATCCTGCAGACCGGAGCGCTTCTGCATGGGCTCCATGCGATAGGTGGTGCGACTCAACGCATCCAAAGGACTCTTCCGCGGCTGTCATGGGAGGGGAAGGAATAGCATTGATACACGTCCTAATTTAAAGCACACTTATATGGGTGGCTGATGGTGCTTACATTTTCCGCCTCACGTTTGGCCTGACTGGGCGTCAGGCTGATCTCACTGCCAGCCTTGCGGGTACCCCCGGCTGGAGCGGGAGCTGCAGCTGCTCCATGACGTGACTGCAATAAACACACACACACGCACCTCGTAAGCACACACTTCACAGTTATTTCATTAACTTACAGCCACACTCATTTTGGAGGCATGCACACTAGCTGTTTGGCGTGCCCCTCCTGTGTTTCCAGGACCACCGCGTCTCGAATCCATATAAATTATTGGCACTTATACTATAAACTTGAAAAACTGTAGCGTGCACACGAAACTATAAAGCGCAAAAATTTTTTTTTTCACTCGGAAAATGAACGATTGAAAAAAGTAATATGAACAATATTTTTTTAGAGTCGATTCGAGTAAAAATATACACTAAAATATTTTTGATGTTACACTGACGACGACTAATGTGTAAATGAAACAAACGCCTGGAGCTCACTGGGACGAAATAAAACAAATGATTGACGTCAAATGCAACGTTTACTTATTTGCTAATGACCAAAATTGCAAGACACGTAATACTATATACATATGTATGTATGTAATTGATGATCAAATAGAGGGAATAATTAATAAAATATTCAAAATAAATGCAGTCTCACTCAAACTTTAACAGCGCATAACTTTCCCCTTCTTCGTTATTTTCTTGTTCTTTTTGCCGCTGCCACATAACATAAGACATGCATGTTATGTACATAACAGCCGAACAAGCAAATGCACGCCCAATTGCTCTCAGGCAGTGCGTTTACATTCGGACTTGCTATGTTACGGCAACTGCGGCGGAACGCCTTTCATTTCAAAGCTGCTCGGACTATAATTGTAATGTCTAAGTACCTCGGCCATGCTGCAGGTCGGACGTGGGGCACCGTAGCGTCCGGACGGGGAGATCTGAGTGATTTGATGCAATAGGGGGTTCGGTTGTTGAGAGCCATTGTTGCGTCCACTCCGTTTGTTAGCCTCATCGCCTAGATAGGCGGCACCAAAGAGCTGAGTGTTAGGGCTTTACGATTGATCGATGTTGATGGTTGATTGTTGTTGATGTTGGTAGTATTTATTGTTGTTGTTGTTGTGGTTATTAGTAGCGCAACATGTGAATGTAGAGAATTGTTTGTTAATTTTACAATTAATATTAAGCAATTCAATTATTATTAACTTAAACATTAAATGCACGAAACCAAGCAACTACAACACGCACAGTAATTATAAAGCAATATGTGGTTAAATTGGACAATAAAGCAGGCTAGAACTTGAAGTATTAAAGACCTTTATATAGAGCTCAGAAAAAAATAAAGTGGGAACACAAAACGTAATTTAATTTCATTAAATTACAGAGTTCTATGGTTCTTACAATTGGGAACACAAAAGCTTACACAGAAACATGACCATAAGTCTTATCCAATGCTATTTTTTAGAAGATATCACGTGTTTGCTAAACTATTTATACGACTTGCTAGTTAAAGGACGCCTAATAAAGTTTATGGTTCAAGATAAACACGTTTTTGAAAGATTTGCTGCTCTACTTTCGGGAACTGCTGTACTTGTAAGCTATTAAACTAAAAAAAAATAAATACGTATACATTCTTAGAATCAAGCTAAATATTTGTTGACTTTCTTTGTTTTATACAAAATCCAAACGCTTTTCTTAAGACCATCTCCATTTTTAAGCTGTTACTCTTTAAACCAATACCAGTATTATCCAATTTTAATGTTTAAATAAATTATATAATTAGTAAGGGATGGATACAAGTATTAACAATTAACTTAGCTTCTTAGATTCTGTAGGTCTTCTAGGAATAATTTTTCGTTGAATTTCCGTCCGTTCAGTATAAGATTCACATTTGTCATAAACGATTATGTATCTCAAAAATGTCAATGCGATTAGGCCCCATAGTTTGGATCTTTGTTTAATGTACGTACATGTATACTCCGTGTGTTCGCTATCGATGGCTGCATTTCCGCAGCACAACAGTAGCTAGTGATTAATATTATCGCATGTACACACCTACAAACAAACAGCTCAGCTTAGAATTTGGCCTAGAGTCTAGAACCTGGCTGGAAACGGGTTGCGTGCTTGCCACTTGGCACGCTATGCAAATGCGCCAAAATCAAAGAAATGGCCAACTAAGCCAAGTGAAATGTTTCCTGCAGCGCTCGCACACCTTAATTACGTGTAGGCACTCCCACACCCATCCCCATTTCCACACACTATACCTCACCTGCTTGTGATGTGCATGCCACCATTGGACTGCGCCGGCGATTTTCCATTGCCGTTGCCCATGCTTGCCTCCTCATCGAAAAAGCCTTCGTAGAGAACAAAATTGTTTGCCTGAGGTATGGTTCGCACCAGGCCGTAATGCTTCTTAAAGAAATTCAAGAGCTTCTCTGAAGGTCGATCTATCGAACACTTTACTGGGGTCCAATTCTGATCGGTCAACATGTACTCGAATAGGTGTTTGCCCAGACCGCCGCGTTGACGCGACTCGTGTATATAGAAGTCCAAAATAGATGGAGTCTGTTCTACTTTGCGCGTCCTACCCTGTTCATCGAATAAATAGAGATCCTTGGTGCCTACCTTTAGAAGACCCATGACGACACCGCTGAGAAAATGTAGCATTATTGTTATTAGTTATGGTCGAGAAAGCAAAAATAAATATAAAATTATTTTTGATAATACGCTGCCCGAACTGGATTATGATTTTAAAATGGAACATAAATCTGAAATTCATTTTAAGGGTGGGCTTTTGAACATAAAGTTCAATTTAATTGAAAAGTTAAAACTCAGGCAGAGTATTATCATTGCATATTGTAGTAGGCCCTACTTACTTGGCACCATAAGAGGTATCTGAGAGCAAATAGATCGTTTGATTCTCGGACATGCGCAGGCGCTGTGCTGTGGTCACTGGTTTGTTCAGGCCTTGCGATACAGCTGACAACTGACCCAACCGATCTATCACCTCGGACATCTTAGATGTGGCATCTCTGTGTTCATCATCCATCATCATATCAGCATCATTGTCATTGGGGTGTGAGTGTTGAAAATAGTAGAGAGTGTAACGGTTAGTTGTCGAAACTATTCATTTCCGATACTACGCAGCGTACAATTTCAATACTCACAAACACTGACGACGATCGCCGCGGAATGTGTGCGGCAAGAGATTCGATGTCACTTTGATGATTTCGAGCGGAAACAGCGGTTTAATGTCGAATCGGAACTCTGCCATTTTGCTTGGCCTATATCGATGAGAGCTGCAAATAGGCAAAATGAAATTGAAATGTAAATTGAGATTAATAGACCGTTGCAAAAGCGAGCAATTTGAATAATAGTAGTACGAACATTTACTCTTGATTGCAATTGGCAAAAAGGCAGCTCAATTTTTGGGTGCGACTTGTGTGAGAATCACGGCACATGCAATTTTACAACTAATTGCTACGCTGCTTTTATTTCTATTGCTGTTATTGCTGCTGCTGTTATTTGTATTGCTGTTGCTGATGAATGATTCAGCGATTCGAATGCATACACAAACAAACGTGTGCAGGTCACTGACAGGAATGAATAAATAATTTACCGTTGCTAGGCGTAGTAGGTCAGTCCTATAGTAATCAGAAACACAAATCGATTAATTTAAAATTGCGTGTTATCGCTGAAGCGTTCATAACAGTCAACTTTAAATGTCGTTATCCTGGGCGGAGTGGGTGTGTTGGCAATTTAAATATGAATTATCTGCATACACATCTACACACAATTGTTTGCATGATTTCATTGTTAATTTGTGGCGGGTGCAACGAACCTGTCGGCTGCCGACGCAACAGACGACGGCACACGATAATGATGTTCGTAATTACGCTAAGACTTAGATGCTTTTTGGAGGGGCGGACGGCAATACTTCAGAGCGTATAAAACTTTTGCTATGCCTATTGTTGGTCTTGGGGTCTATTCCGTTTTGTCAGCGGAAAAGTTGAACAACAGTTGCCGTAATTCCTTTTTGTTATTGTCTTTGCAGTCGGCAGCGCGGCTCGAATGTCAAAATGCGATAGCAACAACGATGAAAGCGACGCCGGCAGCGCGGCGCAGTGCATAAAATGACGTGTTACACATGCCCCCAGCAAAGGGGACTGCCTTGCAATTCTCTTGTCAGTGTTGTTGTTGCTGCTGTGGGTTCTTTGCGCAAAACCGTTGACGTTGCCGTATGCACAAGCATGTATGCACATATTACATATGTACATATGTATGTATACGAGTACATACTAAATATAAATCCACAGTGCTAATCAACTGAATAGATACAAGGCACATCATACAGTATATAAAAAGATTTCCTAACAGGATATTCCTTGCTGTTGTCTAAAATTTAATTTTGAGATTTCCGATCAGCCATTTAAAGCTGCTTGATACAAAACCTGTATTGTGAGCTACAATATAGCGGAAAATACGATCTCAAACAACTGTTACAACAAAATCACATTAAAATATGTATTTTAAAATATTTTTGAAGTTAGGCTAGAGTTAAATTTGTATATGTTATATGTATGTATTTGTATTCTTATGCATCAGCCATTTAAAACTGCTTGATACTAAACCTGTATTGTGAGCTACAATATAGCGGAAAATACGATCTCAAACAACTGTTACAACAAAATCACATTAAAATATGTATTTTAAAATATTTTTTGAAGTTTGGCTAGAGTTAAATTTCTTTATATGTATGTATGTATGTATGTATATGTATACTTATTGTAGTGTATGCATTGAGCTGTTTGCAGTTTGCCTTTAAATGTTTTGTTCAAGGCCGGTAACTCGTCTGTTAATAGCATTTACAATTAAGTGTGTATATTAATTATCAACACTTCTAATGCTAGAAAACACAATTTCAATTTTCACTAAACCTATTCTGCTGATTCGCACTGTATATGCACACATGCATGCATATGCATATACCCACATGCAAACTTATTTATTTTTATAATCATCAAACAGCCCGGTGTTGTTTTGAGCTCGCTTTATAACTGTTTATTAGCGAGCGAGCGCATGATGCAAGCTTTTTACAATACAAAACAACAAGCAGTAACAGCAACGCAAACACAATCAAGTGGTTGTTGCTTTTGTTGCAATTCTGTCGCTGTTCTTATTATTTTCACTCCCCTTTTTCATCATTGCTAGCACATGTGAAAATGTGTCAAGTGAGCTCCACTGACGTTGCCATGCAACTAAGTGTGTGTGAGAGCGAAACTGTTATCATGGGAACTGAAGCCGCATGCATGCTGAAAAATAACACTACATATGTATGTGTGTACATAATTCCGCCTTATACTCTCCCTCCCTTTCAATTTAACTGTAAATCAGCAATAACTGCAGTTGGAAACACGCCGTTGACAACTTGCAATTTTTCGCATCGAAAAACAAATCAATTCATATTAACGATTTAGACAAAACTTTTGCTCCGCAAAAACATGTGTACACATTTTCCATTTATTTATTATTGATGCAATTCTATAAAGCTATTGCATATGTACATACTTATTCAACTGGGTTGAGCCTGAACTATAGTCTAGTCTAAACAATTGTTTTGCAAACCTGCCTGACAGCTACAATAAAAACAACAATAAGGTAAGGTAGCGTGAAAACAAGCCCACACCTAAAGACGTTGACGACGTTCTGATTATACAAAGCCCCCAGTCGACTAAATGGGAAGTATATTATTAGGAAGGGAAGTGCATTCGCGGTAGGAGAATATTAAATAACGTAGCAACAATAATAATAAAATACAAACACTTGCATTTAGTATCCACAAGCCCCACTGTATATCGTCCTGTTTAAATAGAATTAGGTAAATTATATATTTATGTATATTCCATTATCGGATCCCAGACACAGCACACACGTGCCTAACTGCCCAAAGGGCGCAATAAAAATTGGGTGTCAAAGGCACGTACTTAGAAATGTATGTGACACACATAGAGCCTTCGCTGTGGTTTGGTTTACTTTGAAGCTTTGTCCTAAACACGTCAAGAACGTTCTACCACGAAAAACAGAACGACTTGAATGAAATTTATACGGCCAACAAGGTCAATCGATAAATGTTGAAAACCAGGCATAAGTTGCCAAGGAGAATCCTAACGCCCAACAACCCACGACAATAAAAGCGACTGGAAGCAGAGGGACACGTTATCCTAGGTTGACGTGGAGTTCTCAAAACCTCTTTTAATTCGTACATCACTTGCATACCCTTGATAACAAAAATTGCAGCCAAATGTTTTACAAATTCTGAGAATCCGAAAAATATATCATTTATTTCTGAATGTTCCGATACCTTTCGAAAATAACAATCTATAACAGTACTAATGAAATTTATATTATAATTATGATGATGAATATCATTAGAAATACCATTCTATATTAAGGACGATATCTTAAGATTTTTTACTAGGCGATTCGATAAACAGCGTACATATGGTTTTATATTGAAAGCTACAAAAATTAAGGACGTACATACAGTCCAACAGATGTTTGTAGTTCAAGGCAACTGCGTGCGCCCAGCAATTATATTTGAACACTGAAGCTACAAAATAGTTGACGACATTCTGCAATTGAGGCAATTAAATTTGATTTAAGCCTTAAATATGCATGAGGCAATGAAACCGTTTATAAGTACAGTACTCTTCCAGATATCGAAAGACCCTCCTTCTTCGCCCTCTTGCATTTCCTTTTTGAAGAACTGCAAACTGCATTTGCAATGGCAATGAAATACATACACCCCGGAGGCCTGTTGTTGTTTACGCGTTTTGTGGTCGATGATCAAAACGACAACAACCACACAACAACAATAACAAGTTGTTTTTCCAAAACCACAACCATGACAACAGAAACAAAATTGCAATTGTTATTGTTAGTGTGGTTGTTGTTGTTTGCACATTGCACGCGTCAATTTAACATCAACGAAGCTTTTTTTTTATCTAAATGAGTAAAAGAGAGCGAATGGAGAGCGAGGGACCCAGAGAGAAAGCGACAAGTGGTTGGCCGATCCTACATTTAACGTAATCGCTAATAATAATGCATTCAAAGGTTGAAAGCAATTCTACACCTATCGAATAGAACGTTAAAGTCGCACAAGCCCGACTATTGTATACACTGTAAAACTTTGTTGTACCAGCCGTTCCTATGACTCATACAATATAGTCAACCGATTAAGATGAAACTCATAAGTACACAATTTGTTGAAAATAAATGGAATAAAAACGCAAGCAAAAAAAATTGTTCCAATTGGACTTTGATGTTGCACCGACCGGCCCTTTTTCAGCTGTATACATATGTATATATATGTATGTATATTTGTCATTTAAACATTCTATTACATCCTCCGTATAAAGGTATGCTGACTTCTCTTTAAAATTTAAATTAATAGTAGCCTGATGGATTATGTATGTACATACAAATGAAGGTATGAAAATACAGAAATATAAATTATGGATGTTTTCTAGAACAATCAGAGCAAGTGAAGATGACTTGAGGTAATAACAGCGTCTCAGCAACAATCCAATCTGTAATGATTATTTAAATGATAAGACTCGTTTTAGACAAACCATAAAACAACCGAAATTTTACCAGACACAACAAAACGTTGCTGATTATTCAACAGCGATCTGATCCAACCACAATCAGCTGGACAGAAATGTGTGCGACTTATGATAAGCCGCGACTCCGACTGCCAAAACTGTGACCAAGGGACATAACAACAAAGCATGATCATCAAACCGGTTCGTGTCGGTTCCACAATTCCACAGACAAGTTTAACGACACCTTTGTTCCGTTTTTCCTTTTTTTATTTTTGCGTTTTAAATGATTTGTCATAATAATGGTCTTAAGCTTAAATGCCGATTATACGAGTAGCAACAAACAAGAAAAACTTTAAGTGTACAACTTAAGTGCGTATTTGCACGGAAAGGATTTCAAATGTGACTTGCAGATAATCTTGAAATAATTAGGTATTCTAATAATCTCTTAAATAAATAACACACAATCTCTGTACTTTTACTATACAAAGAAAGCGATGAATGACCGAATTATTTACTGCAAAGAAAACAGACATTCTAGCAAATAACTCAACATTAATTTAAAAATCGATCCATGAGCTAGTCTTGTTTTTAAAAAATATTTCCAGTTTTGTAGCTCATACTACTTATACATAAGTATCTGTCTGGTTTTATACTAAGCAGCTATGAAAAGCTCATCGACAAAATCAAATCTCAAAAAGCAACTACGAATACCCATAATGTTCAAGAAAATCACTTGTTATTGTAACAGAGTCTCACTCACACACTCGCACAAGCAAACACACACAGACAGACTGCAATTGTAATTAGCCTTTATCGTATGATCGTTTACTGTTGCGGCCAGTGTCGTCTGGTTGCTTTGTTAGTGAGAGCGCGAGAGGGAACGAGAGCACAGTTGCCTGTGTATTTGTTGAGTATCGCGCACAGCTGGCGAGTTTTCCTATAAAGGCAGACCGCTTCGTTCAAATCAGTTGTAAAAAGCAAGTCAACGTGTACAGATCGCTAGCGATCGTTTATTAAATACTTAATCATCCAAGAGGCAGAAATAAGTAAACTATTTAAATGTGTGCGCTGAGCTGACAACAAATTGTATCACCAAATAAAAGCGAAAAGAAACCTGCAAGTCAAACAAAAACAAAAAACAGCTGAGCTGCTTAAGAACGCGACGCGCGTGTGCGAAGAACAAAAAAACACAAGATACAGACAAAATTTTACAACGGAAATTTTCCCAGCTAATCGAACAAAGCAAAAGCCGCGTGGAACGTTAAGTTTTACGTAATAAAGACAGCAACGCGAAAAATTCAATTTGAACACACATTTCAACTCCATCCCCAAAGATGAGCTCCTCAGTACTTGCCATGGCACGGAATGCGTCTACAAATGGTAGCGCCAGTTCCTCGAATGGTTTTGGCAACGCCGCTCTCCTGGCAAAGCAACTGAATGCGGCACTTTCTAACGGTAAACCGCCCGCCATGACAGCCGCAACAACAAGCACAACAACAACAACTACGCCTGTAGCCAAACAGCCCGCATTGGCTGCTAAAATCATCCAGCAATCAGACATTGTTTGTTTCGATGTGGACTCAACGGTCATCTGCGAGGAAGGCATCGATGAGCTGGCCAATTTCTGTGGCAAGGGCAATGAGGTCGCGCGTGTCACCAAAGAGGCGATGGGCGGTGCCATGACCTTTCAGGATGCATTGAAAATACGTTTGAATATCATCAGGCCGACGCAACAACAAATTACCGATTTTATACGTCAGCGCCCCAGCACCTTGACCAAGAATGTGAAACGTTTTGTGGCCCAACTAAAAGCAGATGGAAAACAGGTTTATCTCATATCGGGTGGCTTTGATTGTCTGATTGCGCCCGTGGCCCAGGAATTGGGCATACCCCTGTCCAATTTGTATGCCAATAAATTGCACTTCGACTACGAGGGCGCCTATGCCAGTTTCGACACCACCCAACCCACGTCCCGCTCCGGGGGCAAGGCGGAGGCCATCGCATTGATTAAACAACAGCATGCGGCCGGCGCACTGATAACAATGATTGGGGATGGTGCCACCGATTTGGAAGCTGTGCCACCGGCCAATTATTTCATTGGCTTCGGGGGCAATGTTGTGCGCGCCGAGGTCTACAGAAATGCGCAGTATTATATAACAGACTTCGAACAGCTGATAGGAGCCGGCAAGTGAATAATTTGACGGAGAGGGAGGTTGCCACGAATTTAGTATTGCTAATTGGTGTGTTTTAGTATGTAACTATATGTTAGAAATGTATCGTATATGTATTAGCTTTTAATGAAAATGCCAACACAATAAAAGCGTTAATTAGATAAATTACTAATTACGAGTCAAGTCACATGTGGAAGCTGCGGGCATAGCTTAACAGAGCGCTGCTAAATTACCGCTCTATACAATATGGCATGTTAAACAGAACACTGCTGTAGTGTGAACCGACAAAAAAATGTTTGGCGTGAAATCTTAATACATATTCACGTGTGTAATTTCGCCTGTTTTATGACTGCAAGGTCGAAACATTTAGCACACTTTCTAAACACGTTTAATGCCAAAATGGTTGGCTCTAATAGCTAGGCAATTACGCGCCTCAAAGTGATTAAACATTGTTTATAACAGCATTTTCAATGCGTCTCGAAAAGCGGGCCAATACGGCTGTCCAAGGCTGTTCTGCGTGGGTGTTATCGAAGCCAAAGCGACACGGCGGCTGTACTGCATGAGTAGTTTGAGGGTCAACGTCATCGTGTTTAATTGCGATCGCGCGCCCGCGTGAAATGCCCGACGTTTAAGCCATATAAGGTACGTTCGTTACGGCTGCTGTCTGCTGTATAGAACGCCTAACGGTGCAGAGGCGTAAATTAAGGCCAACATGGAAGGCAAGCCCAACAAAAAGCGACAGCAATTAGGCGAAAGCAGGCAGCCTACCAGCAATGACGATGAGATCAGCAACAACAACAGTGACGGCTTAAATGGCCACAATCTGAAAGATTGTACATACATATGTATGTATGTATGTGCATACAACATATGTATTTTCGTGTATGAATGTCGACTTTTATGCTATGACGCATACGATATGCAAAGCACGAACAGTCAACTCACGCACCACACTCCCATCGTTAGGCGGACAACAGATACAGCCACTGCGTGATTTTTACCTGCGGCACAAATGCATGAAATAAAACTTGGTTTTATGCTCACTGAGCCACAGCCAAAGATACGTATAAAAGCAACAACAACAATGTTGTATAAAGAAATGTAGCATTAGGTCGAAAGCTTGACAAAACTAACAAAATAATACTTACCGCAACAATAACTATTATAATGGTTGTGGCTAAACGCACTGCTTAGACGACTGGTCGCTGGGATGGGGGTCGAATGCAGCCGACACTCTTTTGTTTTTATTTCGGCGTGCGTTTCCAAGCAGATTCCAATGTATCTGCTGCCGAAGTTTTGTTGTTGCACTGAGATTCGCCGATGTTGCAAATGATGCTCTTTACTGCTGCTGCGCACTCTGCGGGGGTGCGGGCGGTATAACAAAAATTGTTGTCGTACAGTGTTTTATCGATTGCAAAAATTTGTGATTTATAGCCGAAATTGAATAAATACCTATATACAGCTTATGATTATTTGCTGTACTTGTCACAATTTGTCTCCTTCAAACTGATTGAGAGTTTCAAACTGTTGCAAGATTTTTCCGTACTTTGACGCTTTTTTAGCAATGACGCCCTAATGAAGTTAATTCGCGACTTTACCTTAAATGTCGATGCCAAGTGTACCGCAACGCTTGAAAATTTCGGCCTGACTGAATCTTAATTCGGAGCTTTTATTAACTTGCCACAAGAAAAGAAAAGCTTCTTTATATTTCGCTGCTGTGTTTATCGCCAACACTTTTGCACGAGTTGGCAGCACGGGTCTTTGTTTTGATTACGCTAGCGGTGGTGAGAAAATCGAAAATTGGGTACGATTTGATTTACAGTTGTACCATATTATATTATGTGTTTGAGAAGAATAATTTTCAACCCAATAATATTTGTGTGCCATTTTACATGTTTTTCGCAAAAAGACGAGTAAATAGAAATATCGATACCAGTCGCTTGGTATCGTTTCAATTACAATTAGTCGTTCAACGCACATCCCTAATTAGTCATAGCCAATTTCCATATCCATATTGCTGCCCGAAAGGAGTGTAAAGAGCCAAGGACTCGGTGTACCATGCCAAGGAATGGCTGCGATGCCTCCAATGGCGCCTGCGGGGGCGCGGGAGGCGCAAACGCCACCAGCGACGGCTGCTATTATAATGACGATCTTATTACGGAAAAGGGCGTTGCATTCAATGTGCGCTACACAGGCTGCGTAGAGGTGAAGACCTCGATGAAATCCTTGGACTTTGACACGCGCACGCTGCTCGCTCGTGAGTGCATCAATCGGGTGTGTGAGGCTGCCGGCCTGAAATCCGCTACCAAACGGCGTTTGGACAAGAAATTCCATTCGTATATTGCGGAGCGGCCCTCAATGGAATCGGCCGGAACCAATATCATTATTAATGTGTCGAGCCGGGCACTTACGCTAACGAACGTAGAGACGGGCGAAGTGATTGCCAATCACAATATGCCACGCATTTCTTTCGCATCCGGTGGTGACAACGATACTCTCGACTTCCTAGCCTACATAGCCAAGAACGAGGACGAGTGGCGTGCCTGTTATGTGCTGGAATGTGCAGGCGGCCAGAGCGAGGATTTGATTGTGACTATTGGCAAGGCGTTCGTTCTGCGCTTCAATGCTTTGCGGATGACCGAAACGCCCGCTGCTGCTCCCATCGAGCCGAGTCTTCAGAGCGCCTGTAAGGAGAATGTTAAGGATTATTATAACGATTTACCTAACAAACTGCCACCGGATATACCCATCGATGAGAAAGTCGGGCAGCAGCTGCCTCTTCATCAACACACTCCTCGAGTCGCTCAATTGAATTTAAAGAAACCTCGTGATCGTCTGAGTAGCAATCTGATCGATTTGAACTCCCCGCCTCCCGATCAAACCACCAATAAACTGGCACTTGGAAATTTTGATCCACTCCAGGCCAACTCGAACACAGGAGGAGCTCAATCATCCTCCTCCTCATCGTCCGCTGTGCCAGTGCGTGATGTATTTGATGTACCGCATTGCCCTCTTACGGCTGCAGTGCAGCGTTCGCAACTCATGACCGAAAACTGGTTCCATGCGGCCATCTCACGACCCATTTCTGAGCGACTGTTGCAGCATGATGGGGACTTCTTGGTGCGTGAGTCCCAGGGAAAGAAGGGGCAGTATGTGCTCACCGGACTTGAAGGAAAGACGCCAAAGCATTTGTTGCTCATCGATCCCGAGGGCGTGGTGCGTACCAAAGATCGCATTTTCGACAGCATCAGCCATCTGATCAATTACCATTGGGCGCACGCGCTTCCAATCATATCAGAGGACTCGGAGCTGGTGTTGCGAAATCCGGTGCGTCGACAGACTCCCCCGGACAACTAATATACGAGTACACACATCTACACAAATATACATACAATTTTTGCATACATACCTACATATATACAAACATATATCCGTGTACACACTTAGATTTAGGTGCACTTTAGAGAATATCTTTTATATATCGTCTATCATTGTATAAACAAACAAACAAACGAACAAACCCATTTATTTATGGATTGAATGTGTATATTTACATATGTGCATGTCTACAGTATTTTTCATTAAAATGAAAATAAAGCAACCAAATGCTCAACAGCAAAAAGCTTCTATCTAATTTCAGGGATCAGTATATAGTGGCTAAACATTTTTATGTTATTCATTTACTTATTTAATGAACTGCCAGAACTATTTGAGAATTTCAACGCTACTTCAACGAATACATTGCTATATTCTTATTTGTTTTTATATATATGTATCTACATAGTATGGTTAGATAAAACTACATAGCTTTAATATAAATTATTGGTTAATGTAAACAAAAAACGTTGAAATACCTTGCTCGATTCGACATACCACATACGTATATATTTTTAACACTATTACTGGATAATAAGACAAACAAGTCTGGCTCTATTGCTAATTGGTTGGTCGAATTAAACAAAATCATGTTGATATAAATGAAGCACGTAAGTTAGGGTTGGAAAATGAGTCTTATATTCCCTGGAAAATTCACTTATTTACTTTTTAATATCACATAAATGTTCGTATTGTTTCTCTATATCGGAACCTTTTCGGTATCCAAGTTTTTTGTGAAACAAATATTCCTTTTCGTTCTCATGATAGTCATATGATTTAGGCATAGTTAATTTAGTTTAGTTTAAACAACATACTGATGTGATCAGCATGAAACGTATATATCCCACTATCGATGGCATCCTTTATACTATCGATGGTTTCAAGGAAAACAGAAGGTGCAGTATTTAGTATGCATATTCTGAATTTAACGCATCAACAAAATGCTGCTGGTGTATGCAGGGCACACGATTCTCGAATTTTAGACCGAAGGTTCAAATATGAAGGTTTCCAAATAAATAATAAACTGGCAATGTTGATTAAAAACAGATCCAATATCAGCTTCAGGCCTTCCAACACCAATGGAAAAGAAAACTTTTTTGAAACGAACATTGCCAAGATGTCGGGAACAACAGAGTTACCGCTATGTGCGACATGAGGCAACATTTTTATTAGAAGTTAAAATCTTCTCAACTAGCGATCCATTAGAGCACTGGAAGATGAAAACATATTTATATTAAACAGCGCTGTAAGTCGGGGCTGCTATGATATACACGTAGTAATTATATATTTAGTTTCATTAACTGAATGAACATGATTAGTCCAATCATAAAAGAATAAAATTAGATACAAAAACATTTGGAGTTCAAACTGATATCAGATTTCACTTTAATTTAAATTTATAATTTAAATTTTTCATATGTGATTAAGTTTCTTGCCATCTATATTTACGTTTTCTTGTTCAATTTAAAAACATCGGGGACTGGCTCAGCGACCTAACAGGAATCCCAAAATGTGAGTTCGTTTCCTGAGTTTGAATCGATTGGAATCTCTGCGCTACCATCTTCGCATAAAACATGATTTTAAAAATTTCAGTTTTAAAAATTCTGCAAGAGTGGTCTCATATCTAATAAATGTCAATCTCTCTTGTTATGGCCTAATCTACAGGCCGATTCCGTAGCAAAAAAAAAAAGTTTGAAAAAGATGATGCTATTGAATTTTTATCCAGAAACTATTGAAAACCTCAAATGGCGCCACCATCGATATTTTAGCATCTCTATTTCTGAGTACATTTACAACTGAGTACCGAGTACTGACGACGATGCTTCTGCTCCTTTGGGTATTCCTCCAATCTCGATTCCCTGCCTTCCCATCTCACATGTATGTATGTATGTAAGTACCTTGTTTTTGCAGAATTTTTTAAAACTTCATAAACTACATTAATTCTGTTTTTACACGGTAGATTGGTTCCTGAAAAAGTCGTGTAAAAAAGACATTGAATTGTGCTAAATAAAGTCGAGCAACCAAATATAAAATTTTTAATTTTCAAATGCGACAATTATCTGAAGTATTGCCATACTCAGTTCTGCATTCTTTAAAAAATTTATTCATATTGATTGTGATTGGGAAAATTTACTTTATATCGGAACCGCCAAAAAAAATACTTACCAGACTACTAAAGACTTTTTTGCTTCTTCATTGTCAAGATAATAAGTATTTCTATATTAATTCTTTTTGAGGGGTCTATTGATAAAATAGAGAAGGATTTAAAAAGTTGTATTAAATACTCATAAATGTATATTTCCTAAAGACAGCAGTCTGTATGTACTACCGATATATTCTCTTTCACATTAACAACGTTAAGTATTTGAAACCATAAGATCTGTGAAAGGCTATATTAGAAGCAACTTTCATTTTCAAATGAGTCGTAAAAATGAAGTTCAGTTCAAAAATTATGAAATGGTAACAAAAATATGATCTGACCAAATTTGTTTTAAAACTTAAGTAACTATTAATTTTGTTGGGCTTGCATAAAAAACTCCGTTGTTTATAACTTCAAGTTAGCACAGGGCTGGGGCTCCATTCTATTTCATACTTAGGAGTAAGACGTTTCTTGGGTCCTCGCTATAAAATCTTCTTCAGGAGTACAACGATTGCTTCAACAGTTGTGTTGTGGCTTTGGACTTATTAATATTAAATAAATAATAAATGTAGACTTAAATTTTTTTATTATTATTTTTTTTTAATATTTTAATTCTTTTATAAACTTAAGACTTAAAATAAAAGTATTTAAAGTTTTGTTTTACACAAATGTCAAAATGTTTTACATTGTTCTCTTTTTGTTACTTTTATCTCTGTAATATTTTTAAGCAAATATTTCATGAAATAGTTCTGCATGTTGTTAAATCTTGGTGTCAGTTTGTGTAGTTTGTTGTTGTTGTTGTTGTTACTAATATTGATGTTGTTGTGGCAGCCGGCTGGCCAACCGCGACTCTCAAAGTATTGAAAATGCCGAAAATCGCCATGATCGGACGCAGCATTCTATATTCATAGCTACAAACTACTAATGCAAAACGATCGCCTAACACAAGCCGGCGATCGATTGAAGATTTCTATTTGTTGTTGTTGTTGCTGTTATTGTCCCCGCATAACTGTTGTCAATGTTTTTGTTGTTGCTGTTGTTGTTGTTGTTGTAGGTAGAGATGTTAACACAGTTGGGGGCACACTTCGTGGGGATTGTGTGTTGGGGTTGGGGAATTTACAAGCTCTTCTCCAGCTTGATCAATTCGGTGATGCCGTCGTACATCTCCTTGACGGCCTGGTATTCGGTGAGACCCATGCGACGCTTGTTGGAGATGTCATAGACACCGCCCTCAGCCTCGGTGTGTTCGCCGCGAGTGCCGCGCACCTGCAAGTTGTATTTGGCAGCGACCTCCTCGAGCTTGGCCTTGTTGGAGGCCAGTTTGGGCACCTTGATGTGCACGGAGGCACGGATGGTGGTGCCCAAGTTGGTGGGGCAGAAAGTCAAGAAGCCGAGACGATCGTCATGGCTGAATGGCACACGCTTCTCAATCTCGTTGACGGCTGTGACGAGACGACGGTAGATCTCGCCCAAATCACCACCCTGCTGCATGGAGATGATGCGCAAATGATCCTCCTCGTTGCACCAAACCAGGAAGGTCTTCTTGTCATTGTGGTAGATACCGCGACCAGATGGCCAGTAGCGGCAAGCGTTGGCAGCCTGCAAGAAGCGATCGCCCTCCTTGAACAGGAAGTGATCGTCGATGAGCTGCTGCTGGACAGCCTTCTCCATGCCGGTCAATGGGTAGAATGTGCCCTTCAGCTCACCCTCGAGGCCGGACAGAGTGCTGGAGACCTTGGATTCCATCTCCTTGTACTGGGCTTCAGTCAAACAGGGGTTGAAGGGATAGCCCTGCAGGGAGCGACCGCAACGGACGCGGGTCGAGATCACGAACTCGTTGGTTGGATCCACATTGCCGAAGGTCGACACATCGCCAAAATCGGCAGCTGGGTGCTTGTCGGTCTTCTTGAAGCCACCATGGTAGTCCTCAATGATGGGATCGAACAGTTCGGCGAACACTGTGTAGGCCTCAGCATCGGGAGCGTAGATACCAACGCCAGAGTCGTGGTTCTCCAGACCGGACTGAATGACATCCAACAAGGTAGACTTGAAGGTAGGGGTCACCTTGTTCTTCAAGTTGTCGAAGACCTGCTTGGTCAGGTACTTCTTCAACAGGGACTTGGAGTCAGAGGCGGCCAACTTGGCATAGCCTTCTTCCAATTTAGCGAGAACAGCGGCGTCAACCATGGTGTCTTGTTTGCTGCAATGGAGAGGACAACAATTTCAAATTAGTCAGATGTATAAACAGGCTGTTTTTTATTTTTCAATTTTTTACTTGCGGCTGCCGAGTGGTTGAAACCAAACTCTATTCACAACTCCTAAATCTAGGAGGGTTGATCTTGTGGCGCCTAAAAGTCGACCCAATTTTGCCATTGCTGCCCTTAATGTTTAAGTATGCTACGACATTGAGCTAAAATTATTTTAATTGCAAACCTTTCTTTAGACAACAATATTTCATTTCTTCTTTTCAAATTCTGAATTCTAAAAGAAAATATTAATGTTGAGCTATAGACATACTTGTATGTGTGGTAAGCTGTAATTTCTTGAAATGGTCTTTGAAAGATCCAAACCTACCCAGAACACCAAAGTTTTGTTTACTTCTTGACTCTTTATTTCTATAAACTCTTTTTCTATACAATTTAGTAAGCAATTAGAAGCCTCAGGTTAACAAGTCGATTACGACCTCACTGAAATTTGTGCTTTAGAAATTTATCTTCTGAAATTCGTTCTCATAGTTAACAATTTTTCAGTATTTCCACATATGCTTAGCTCTTCTAAATATCGAAATTACTGATACCAGCTGAGAGTTTTACAAGTATTTCGGTACAGATACAATTTGGGATTAAAACCATTTATTTTGCTAATAAGTTTTCCTCTTCCTGCTGTTTCGTTTCTGATTCATGCCATGTGCACAAATTTTTCAATGGTTTTTTCGCATGCAGCACACTCTTGCACAGTTTTTGAATGCGGCACGCGACTCTATCTAATCACCACCCTCTTGCCTTCCTCTGGCATTAGTGGTGGTTGTTGGTCTCGGTGGCACGGTGGTGGCTGACATTAAATTATGCCGGCTAGGCGCTGAAAACCCAGCAGCTCTCTCTTCAGCTTCTATGCGGGAACGTGCGGGACATGCGCGTTTCGGGGGACCCAACATGGCGGCGGCAAGTGCCTGGGCCACGAATACCACGAATAGAAGGAGCCGTTGCTCCTTTAGCAATCATAGGCCAGCGACCAGGGCAATAATATTTTTATAGCAATTTTTATTTAAGACAAAACGGTTCGAGAGGCTGTTGCGTGAGCACGCCTGGCCCGTTTGTCTGTCTGTCTGTTTGTCTGTCTGTCCGTCTGCCTGGTCTGTTTGATTGTCTGTCTGACTAGCGCGCGCATTTATCCCATGACGTCAGCCTGGCAGATACACAACTGTCTAGGCGCTGGGTACTGGGGGAAGGACCTATGGCAAGCAAATGTAGTTTCACAATTTTCGCATACACACCCTCCTTCGGAAGCAGCTCCGGCCGTGCCATTTGGCTCACCGCCGGCACCATCGCCCTCGATCACTTTCTCTTTCTTATCCTTTGAAGCGCAAAGACCCATTTTTATGAAATTTGATTAAATTTGATTTGATTGTAGTTCGTTATTTGTAAAGTTTCGAAAAAATTTGGCGTTGCTTGGTCACAAAAGTTTGTGTTTTTGGATTTGTTTGTTTGTTTTTTGTTAAATATTTTTAGGGGGAATGTGAGTTTGGGTAAAAAATACTTTTACGATTTGTATATAAAAAAGTTGTTCCGTTTACTTTTTGTTTTTGCAGGTAAAATGAAATCACAAGTTCAACTGTATATAGTAGAGATCTCTATATATGCATTAACTTTAGATCACACACACAAACACATGCACATACAGACACACATACAATAAATGCACATGCACAGAGTTGGCAGCGAGTTTTTATCCCTATCTTTACTTATTGCTTATTTAATTGTTAAATTAAATTAAGTTCTGTGATCGAGTTTTGATTTTCGAGTTGCTTTGTTTTGCTTCGCTTCGTTTTGCCTTCAAATCAGTCACTTTTTCCAGCTACTTTTCATTTAGTTTGGTGGTGTGGTAAGTAATAAAGTGGTCGTCCTCGTAATTGCTAGGCTAAGTATTCGTTGGTATCAAAATAACGGACGCAAAACGATTTTGCTTTCTTGCTCACAACTAGCTTTAGCTTTCTCTTATATTTTTACAAATTTCTTCTCATTTGCTTGTTGTTTTTCAAAGAAATTCTTTGTGCGTTTCTTTTTTATTTTAATTTGCGTTTGTGTTTTTTTTTTTTTTTAATTATTTTTGATTTAGTTTGAAGTTTTACGCGAGGCTTTTCTAAGTATATATATATTTTTTGCACGCTTTACTTGCCGCGCCCAAAGGTATACTACACTACACACGCAAAGCTCGAAGAAGCGAAGGGAAAACGTTCTCGACGTTGAGCTGACGGTCTACAACTGGAAAACTCAGCTCTATGCTCGGTGCTCTGGGGCTGTGCAAAATATTTAGCGCGCGCTTCTTTTTTGTATTCTTCAATGTTATTTCTTTATTGCTTCGTTTTGTTGTGTTGCCGAGCGCACGAACAAACACAATCGGGAAATTGTGAGGAACTGAATTGAGAACCGAACCGAGCACACTGAAACAGGACGCGTGGCGTCCTTCTGGCGCCGGCAATACACCAAAGAGAGCAATAGAGTGAGAGAACGAGAGAGAGAGAGGCGGCGGCTAAATATTCAGCGCTTAATGCAGGAGAGAAACAAACAGAGTTTTTGCCGAAATTTGTCATCATTGCCTCGCTACTATTTTTAGAGGGTTGGGCCATCCGCCCTGGCGAGGGTTGCGCACGAGTTCTAAACCATTGCCTACACACAGGCGCCGGCGTGAGGGTTTCCTTAGTTTTGGGTTGGGAGTTTGGCCATCGCAGGCGCGGCTTTAAAAGCAACCAAGGAACTGTTGTCCCATCAGCACAACAAACAAAATGCGGAAGTATACAGTGGGCACTCGATTAAGTGAACAAATTTTTTTTTTTTAGAGAAATAGATTTTAAATATACAGAGGACTGAATATTTTGAAAATATTTTGTACTATTGTGTAGATTTTTTGTAGTGCTTTTCTGTTTTAATTATTTTTAGCTATAAATATTTATTTTATTTTAAAAAATATTTTGATTGTTGTTAATTTATATTTCATTATTTTATATTTTTCTTTTGAAAAAGTACATTCTAAGAGTTGCTATTTCTGAATTCTGATTGGTTGATCTCTAGTTATAAATATTTATTTTTTTTTACAAATATTTAAATTGTTGCTGTAAAGGCTCGATATAATACATTTTAGTTTTTTTTTTTAAATTATTTTATATTTTTCTCTGGAAAAAGTTATTCTCAAAGCGATTACTTTCTAAGAGTTGCTATTTCTGAATTCTGTTGGGTTGATCTGTAGCTATAAATATTTATTCATTTATTTATTTTATTTTACAAATATTTGAATTGTTGGCGTTAAGGCTCCTAATATTATTTCATACTTGTACTTTTCTTTTTTCTAAAAGTTCCTATTTCAGAATTCTGATTGGTTGATCTCTAGCTATAAACATTTATTTTATTTTATAAATGTTTTAAATGTTGCTGTAAGGGCGCGATATAATGAAATTTACTTATTTTTAAATTATTTTATATTTTCTCTGGAAAAAGTTATGCTCAAAGCGAAAACTTTCTAAAAACTTTCTCTTTCTGAATTCTGATTGATTGATATATTTCTAAATCCTTGAGAACTGTGAGAATAAATGAAATCGGTTAAAAAAAGGTAAAATAGGTATTTAGTTTCCGATGTATGGTTAATGAAAATCTATTCCTAATATGATTGTGAAGAAAATCATGGAATTGTTTAACGACTATATAGGAAAGCAATCAATTCTACTTTGTTGGTCCACAGAAAGAACCCGAGTATTTGTTAGTGGCTTCACTGTATATTTATTTTATGAATCTTGCACGCTCTTAATACAATTGGCAGTTGGTGGTGGATTTACCGGCCGGCAGGATGGCCAATGCACACGCCCCCCGCAGCCCCGTAACCCCGGCGCCCACCCTCCTGCAACAACAAATCGATAAAATGTGTGGCACGCGTCGGAAGCATTTGACGTTGCAGCATTAAATTGTTGCGCCTAGAAGCGGGCAAAGCCGGCAGGCAGGACGCATACTTAGCGCTGTGTGTGAGAACTGAAGGGCGTGAAACGACAATATTTTTTGGACTGCAAATGACGATGACGATGGTGAAGCTGTTCATGGCGTCAAGAGCAAAAAGAAAAAAACACTTGAAACGCGGCAGCATTTTAATTGCTGTAGTTGTTGAATAGGTTATTGAGTGTTGGGTGAAGGGGTGAAGGGGTAAAGGGGGCGGGGCAGACGTTAGGCCAGAAAATCGATTGCAAAATGGAACAGATTGTGTCATTCCCAGCACATTGGACAGTCAAGTACATTTGCACTTAAAAAGTTAACACGCTCAGCTCTTTGTGAGGAAAAAAAAATGAAAGAAAAACAATAAAACGTTAAAGTTTCCTTTCAGGCGCGTGCAGCCGCGTGTGGCACAAACGCAAAAGTATCTCACAGCTAGTCTGGCACGCAGTCAGTTAGTCAGTTAGTCAGTCAGTCGGTTGGACGCGTCTTGCATGTCCGCGCCACATTATTCATGCCACTTCATTTGCTGCTACACTTCAATTCCATTTCAGCATCCACAACTACTTTCTGCTCAGCTTTTTTTCAGCTTCACTTTTTTATTCGGCTAATTTCATTTGCAGCTAAATTACTCAGACGAGGCAAAGTGACTAATGCAGTTGACGGGAGGACGGCTGACGCAGGCACTGCCATATAATGGCTTGACTCAAGCTAACAAACAGTGGGCCCTAGATAGAAATAACTGTGTTGAATAACAATTTACAATTTGAAGAAAACGTCAGATGCATAAGCGTCAGATATGAAGTAGGAAGTGATGCCTTTCACTGAGGATCGATTTTCTGCATATCACGCCTCAAGTAAAATGGTTTTTCCATTACTTAGATGGGATCGCATGAAGTTTGAGAGCACTTTGCTTTAGTTTGTTGCTTGTTTTGAGAATATTAAATATTTATTTCATATAAAGCAAACTGAAAATATCTCTAATACTGAAGATTGTTTAGTAATTAGT